TGCAACAGTCAGTGTTTTTATATTACTGTAATGATTATCAAATGACTATATGTAATTGGACAGAGGTCACTCATAGTGATGAATCCACTGGGAACAATCACTGGACTCATGCTAGCTCATTGTTTTGTTTTTTGTGATGCAGTTTTACTGTTTGGTGGTTAGCAGTTAGCAACAGCTGGTAAACAGAGAGACGCATTTAGCAGCTTAAGAACCAAATATTTTCCTCTGGAGTTGGTGGAGACCAAACCAATGCTAACTAGAGGAAATGAAAATGTATATTTTGCATTCGACAGTCAAAACAGTAATAATTAATAATTTAATAAGTTGATCTGTATCAGCTAGGTGTCTAATTGTTTGCTAACATGTTCACCACAGCAGCTTTAGACAGTAATAATATATAAGTGTTGTGTTTACAGGTTGTTCCGCTGCCCCCTGGTGACCAATAAAACAAATCAATTCTGGTGCTCACACCATAGACGGACCAAAAAAAATCCATAGTAACATCTCTCATCTACTGAGAGTCCACTGTTACGCTGGATAATCCTCACACCGCTGACCATGCTAGGTAAACTCTGATTTTGGGGATTTTTGAACCGCTTTACTGGAATACAAACTTTGAAATCACTTTATGAACAGCAACAAATTGGCAGCAGAGATGTTAATTGTAAGTGAATGACCATGTTGACACCACCAGCATCCTGGAAAACCAGATGAAAGGGTTGTGTGACAGAACGTCTCCTGGCCATCTCAACGCATTAGTAGGCAACACATGACATCACCACAACAAATCACCCAGTGACTCACTGATATCTTGTTAATTTATAATAGTAGGTCAGAGTCATCCAGCATGAGTAAGCCCTTCTCCTTCGAGGTGATTTAGTCACACAAGCCATTCAGTTTTTATGAGGCGATGCTGAATACTAACGAAGCAAATCTTCAAATAATATCAGATGGTACAGACATAAGGCTGAAGATCGCCTGGTTTTAGGGAGAATTTTAAGAATCACAGCCATTTCTCTCTGTACAGTAGCCTATACTCAATTTCATTAACTCGGCAAGTCAAGATTTGAATAAAAATTATTCAGCAGAGGCAAAGATATAGATGTTTGTCCTCGCTATAGAAGCTTTCTTTTGTAACACTAAAAGTGAAACATACCGTTAAGAAATATTTAAGCAATAAGCTGCCAAACAAGGTTATTTTTCCTCATCAATTATTATAGTAACTGTCCGCTGCCATACAAGAACAGAGCTGTTTCTTCTTTCCATGTATTCTACATGAATTAGCAACTTTTAATGATGCTAACTTTTTGCGTGGGTAGTGCAGCTTTAGTCTCAGTTTTTTTTACATAATAAAAGTTGTATGTATTAAGTCATCATATTTAAGACTACATGGTGCTTGTTTTAAAACAAATCAGCTGGAACACAAAAAAAGTCAACGGGAGACTGTTTTAAACCAACTTATAAAGCGTTAGCTTAATTAACCAGCTAAAGCTAATCAAATCTGCTAGCCACGGTTGTGATATCACACAGTAAAATCTTTAGCCGCTATAAATGAAAAGCTTTTGTCTACCAATGTGTGACATCAAGTAATGTTTACAAAGTATAAAATGAATTGTATATCATAATCTTGCAGTAAATAGATCCATGCATAAATAAAAACACACAGATATTGACACAGTGCTGAAAACAACCCCTATCTCCAGAAAACTAACAAATAAAACTGAGGAGGAAGAAGAGGGTTTTCTAAAGCAGCAACAGTCAAACAAAAGAATTCATTGCAGTGACAGCTGTCAGCGTCGCAGTCCTACATGGCTCGCTTTTCTGAGAGACTTCTGTACATCCAAAATAATGTCTTGGAGACACTGCATTACATCAAGCCCCATGGTGCCACGATGAATAAAGCATGAGGGAAACACAGGGAAAGTTGTTGGCTTAGGCAAACACATGCAGCCACTTCTGCCTGACCTAGATTTCAGGCACGGGGAGTAATTTTGTCCATCTGCTAATGTCCTTTCTTTTGCTTTCACCACCTCTAATTCGTTCCTGTGGACGGTGAGGCAGACGTGTACGATACATGGGTCAGAAATCCCAAAAAAAAGTCAAATGACTTCTTCTTTAAGTGCTTTACAGAAAGCGAAGTAGCAGCCAAAGTAAGTACAGCCACTGTTCAGTATCAGACATTGTGTGAGACAGACCCACTGAAGGAAACTGTTTGTTTACATATTTCAACTGATTCACATATTTTTCCACTGGAACAGCAACAGGATCCTGCAATCTGGAAACCAATTATACTGAACATACAGTAATTCATGCTGTGATCCTCTGTATCTTCAGTCCTCTGTGTCACTGGTTCCTATCATGTCGGCCTGTGACCTTATGTCTAAGCCGTACCTACTTCACTACCCCTATCACAGGCTGGATGCATGAGCTGTGAGCACTTCAACTGAAGAATGACGTTCACCTCTTACATTTACATTTGGTACTAGTTAATGTATTTGATGCAATAATAAAGAGGTAATGTTCTGTCTTCCTTTTTTCTTAATCACACAAATTATATTTAGACCCCAATGGGGGGGGGGGGGTCCTGACCCCCAGGCTGGTAACTACTGTCCTATGTTACTAAGATATAATTTCTACACCTCCTACAGATTAGTCTATTATGATAAAGACATTATGTATGTTTGGTTGATATGGTTGAAAGCTCCATGAAAGCTGAATGAGTTGTTTTGTCATAATTATGGAACAGATTCTTATAATTTTGTGATTATAAATAACAATAATTATCTATACTTAGGAACAATTATATGATGCAGTACTTAGTAAGTCAATAAGGAGATACCGTCTCATAATAATGGTTTAGTACCATATTACTAGGACATTTTTCTGTTCCTCAGTAATGGAGATTTCATAGTCTCAAAATCTGATCTGACCTCCTGTGATGTGTTTATGTGAGGGCTGAGGGCAGGGAGACTCACTCAGTGTGGGTGGGGTGGAGGGGGTGGAGGAGTGCAGGCACTAATTTGGCTTGCTCTGGATCTTCTCCTCTGGTTTCCTCCGGGCAGAGTGGGGGGGGGGGGGGGGCATAAACAGAGTCATCATGATGGCTTATTGGACAGCGGTCAGAAATGGCTGGGGTCCAAAGGTCACGACGAGAGCGTCTGCAAATGTGTGTGGCGTGTGTGAGTGGCCAGGTGAACGCCTCCGCTCCCTGGCCACGTCACACTCCTCGGCAGTTAAATGTAGGGCAGCAGGTCGATTGGTTTGGATGATCTTTGCAGACCCGGAGCAGCAGGAGTATTTTCATGAATTGATTCCTTCCAGGAAGCATGATGACATGGGGGAGGGGTTTTTGGGGGATGGGGGGGTGGGGTGGGGAGCCCAAGAGAGGGGGAGAGAAATGATTTAAACAGGTCATTAAAACCCACACATAGCTGTGCACATTATGACTGAGTGCTGCCTGTCACAACACAACCACACTGTCAGTGTTTCACTTTCAGCTCCTCTATAGTTTCTGTCCATCACAGCTGAAGCCGTTCTGTCTAAATGGCCTTTCATCACATGTACGCCTTCATCAATATTCAAGGACACAGCCATCGAGCTCCAGGGGATACAGGGTGGGGGGGGTCCAGTCTGCTACGTAACAAACCTTAGGATGTCCCTTTCAGCCACTGTATGGATTTATACACTGCAGCGTACAAGACCCAGCTGCTACCTGAGACGGTGATCTTGGTTCATGTTCATTTGGTCTTGTGTTGTGGATTAATGCAGTTGCTTTTAAAGGGTCAGTTCATATAAAAATACAAAAAGAAAAAGATTTTTTTTCCCCCCTTTCAGTAAATTAATTGTCAAGTACTGTAAGTTTCATAATGTCAGGAGCATTAAAATACTCATTGTAAGCCAGAGATATGAGTCAGAACTTTTACTTTCTCAGTCACAATAATGATGGTCCAAACTATGAGATAATTATAAGTGGGCATAGTAAGTCTCAATTAGTTACATACCAAGTCAAAGCTATTAGTCAGAGTTTAGACTATTTGATTCAAAATGATAAGATACCAAGATATACCGACATATTACGCGACTATTATGAGACACTAAGTTAAGATTATGAATGAATTAGTCAAAATTATGACTTAATTAATCAACATTGTAACATACAAAATCAAAAATATAAGCTAAGATGTTCAAAACAGTCTTTTCAAATCAAAATTATGAGATGTTAAGTCAAAAAATATGACAAGTAAAATAGTATTTCATACTTTTGACCTAGTTAATATTTCATCTGTTTTCCTTTGCCTGGCATAAATGGACTTCCATAAGAATCGAGAATTTTTTTTTCAGAATTTGGGTGAGCCGACCCTTTAAGTTTTAAGGCTTAAATGTCAGGTGATGACTTAATGTCATAAACTTGCAACCGTCACATTGTTAAACATGATTAAACATGATGAAAATGATGCTACAAAGCAAATCTCCTTTGTCACGTCATGTGTGGTCAAGTATGTGACTGCAGTATTTGATGGACTTAAATTGTCTGTCCTCGTGCTTTATTGCATCAATAGTCTGATTATTGTCTGTCACATAAACAAACAAACCCCCCCAGGAGGCTCCTCTCATCGCCTCGCTGCAGTCCCTGGGCGGGCCTGGCCGTCTTTGACATTTGAGCCACAGGGTGACGGCCAACTGCGTTAGAGAGGCACAACAGTGAACGCCCGTCCAGAGGGGACGACATGCAGCTCGCCCCTCAACTCCTGCCAACAAATAATTCATACCACTAACATTTACTTTGTTCAAATGCTGTCCGGTCTTCATCCACCGCCCTGTCTGTGAACCTCAAAGTACCTGACTGAGGTGAAGTAAATGTCTAAGTGAAGTGCAGAGGTAAAAACTATAAATATACAGAGGCTTTTAAAGTATTGGTGCACTTGAGGTAAAAGTTGAAAAATACTTTGCAAACCCCTCAGCTAGAAGAAAAATGGTTAAAAAAAAAAAAAATCCATAACTGATTCTTCATAATCTCCAAATAAATACAAAGATGCTGCTTGAAATCCATTTGAGATACATTAAGTGTGGATATCTGAACCTTATAAAAGTCCACTTCTTAAATAAGTAAATATAAAGGCCTGAGAATCCTTTGAAATTAAATTCCGGCAGATAACCCAGAGGTGGCAGCGAGCTCCAACACTGGAAACCTTAAGCTGCACCAGGAAGCATCACATTTTGGCAGGTCTCACACAGAAGAGAGAGGACGCTGTGAAATTTCAAGACCTCAATTCCCAGAAATGATGTAACATCGCATCAATAAAACTCACACTGCTCGGAGGTAATCCTCTCTCTCTCTCTCTCTCTCTCTCTCTCTGTGGCTGCAGGAGTGGACATGGGGAGTTTTTCACACCAGGTTCAACTATTGATGGATGGAGCGTTTACTGTTAATTCGAAATCTAGTTACTCACCACTATTTAACTCAGGGGTCCATTTATTGTTGGGAGCAAGTTAAAAAACAAATGAATAATAAATAAAGTGTCCAGGATGAATACTCCAATCAGGAGGCATCATTTTTTATCTTCTTCAGAGGTCTGGTTGAGGGTCGGAGGTCATCAGGTCCGTGGGCGAAGGCGCAGTGTTCAGCCTGCAGAGGGCAGCCCTGAGGGTGGTGGGTGTGAAACCAGCAGGGACGAGTTTTCAGGGCGCCAGGAGCAACGGGCTTCCTCTTGGTATCCGCCCTGGATGACTTCCTGTCCCGCCAGTCTCTTATATACACCCTCCCTCCTTCCACTGAAAGAGAAGGAGCGACAAGAAGTTTCAAGACCTCTTCACAATAAAGTGCTTCTTCCAAAACTTAAAAATAAATCTGTTCCTATAGAGTAGTGAAGTGGAGGAGTTATTTCAGGCATCCTGAGTTCCAGAAGTAAACAACCTGTTTTGCATAATAATAACGACAGATGACAGTTGGAGCACGCTAAGGCTTGAAACTCTCCTGGTTGAATCATCAATACAAAAGATGAGCAACTGTGTTCGCAAATATCTTCCTTTCACGGGGGGGATGGAGACATTTTATGTCTTTATTATTGTTACTATTAGGAGACAGTAGAGAGATGACACAAATTGAAGTGAGATTGAGGGAACGACATGTGACATAGGTCCCCATAGGCCCGGACCCCAGCACGAGACGTCACTGCAGGCGTCACCAGAATTACAGAGGTGCATCATTTTCGGGCACTCGGTTGATGTTGAAGGAATTCAGTAACTAAGGTGTTTTGTTTGAGCCTGTTTCTGGCTTCTCCTCCATGGCAACAACATCAGAGGCCCATGGACCATTCACCATAGGAAACTGGTGAAAAAAAAAAAAATTCTCACTTCTCAAGTTGAAAGAATAAAAATTTATGGACATAACAAAAACCTACAGTCTTGTTAAGTTATTCAGGAGCTGCCTGTGTGTTTATGTTGAGTGACACTGAGGATATCTTTGAAAGAACATTTTGAAATGTAGAGTGGTTAAAAAATAAAATTATATTTAAAAAAAAAAAACAAAAAAAACAGCAAGCCTCTCACTTTCTGTATCACTTGGTCTAATAAAGAAATAAAAAACAATTTATTTTCAAAATGAGAGATTTAAGTTTGGAAACTGAGAAAATGGTATATCATTGAATATTAAAGCCATTTTCTTGGTACAGAGTTTTTTTTTGTTTGTTTCTCATCTATTCTTTTGTATCTAGTTCACTGGCACTGGTTTAATACCAATAGTGGAAAAAAATGAGGGAAAATGTCTCCAATGTACTTGTTGAATAAACTACGTTTCCTAAGAAGCTCATTCTTGGCCTTGGAAATATTAGTCATCTCCATGACAACTGAGCAAGCTCTGTGTGCTGATGGAGGTTGTGAGATGTGGGAGAAAAAGCTGGTAAGTGACCTCAAGTTTATTTATTTATTTATTTTTTGGTTAAAGTAGTTTTTCTATTATTCTGCATTTTCAGTGAAGAGTTCAGTAAATAGTAATGTTGGAAAAATAGGCTCTTTGTGAACTATTCATGAAGATGTAGAAAAGCACGCAGTCAGACTACCTCTGAAGACTTGATGGTTGTTCTTGAGCAGCGTCTGGAGGCCTCCACACTCCTTCTTCAGGAGCTGCAGGGTTTCCTGCTCCAACAGGCCGGCGACCTCGCTCACAGAGAGGCTGCCTGAAGAGGAGGGAGGAGGGGGAGGGGAAGGATGAAAGATAAGCGTGACAAAAGAGCAGAAGGAGGTCTATCGACCTTACATTCATCAATATATTACCACACGGCTTCAGGCATGCACAGAAATAATTTTTATCCATCATTACACTCTGAAAAAAAAAAAAAAAAAAAAGAAAAAGAAAAAAAAAAAAGGAGCATCCGATACAGCTGATTGGCTCGAGTCGATGCCACCAGTTGTTTTGGGAGAGGCAGAGCCATAACTGCGGTGTGACATCCTCTCAGCGAAAATGTTCCAGGAGTGAAAGGGTGATTAGTGCTATATACAGAACATTTTACAGCCAGCAAGTGAAGGAAAAAAAAAAAACACCTCAGTCACTGTCTCAGTGTTTCAGTGTTAGTCAGGGCTGTGAAGTGTGCTCAATTAAAGCTGCTCCAACAAGCTGTCAGAGCAACCAGCATGCATTTCACCGCTGCATCTCCCACCGGCCGTTTGAGAGCATGAGTCATTGTCGTCACTCCCCCACTGGGACAGTAATTTTAGATACCAAAGAGCAAAAAAAGGAGAAAGGGGGATATTGAAATACACAAAATCCTAAGCTCTGAGTTTAGTGAATCGTAAGCCGATACATGACGTACACGTTTCTGTTCACAGCACCACGCCTTTGGGCTCCGTTTCATGATTTTTGTCTGTATTTCTGGCTCTGCCCTTTTTCCCCCGCAAGAGAATTCAATCAGGGCTGACCTTTGGTTTGTACAAATGACAATCTTCCTCCTCTTTTCTCTGACATATTGGAGAGGGACACACCACAGGATTTCTAATGCTCCGTTGTGTTGTTTCATAGCAATATTTGACCCAAATCCACAGACATCTTAATGCGATCTTCATTGTACTTTTGCACCAAATCTCTGGTGGCACTTCAGGCAATCCCTGTTGGCTTAGAGATCGGTGGATGTAAGAGAATTTCATATATTGTCTGTGCCTCTGATCTGAGATCAGTTGGTCAAAGGAATAAATCTTCTATTTAGGTTTTAGTTTATTCAAAGTGAATTACAACCGAGCTACAGCATGATGGTTTTCAATTCTGTTTTTCTGCCACAAAAATTCATCAAAAAACATATTGTCCACCCAAATACAGCCCAAATTGAGCTGGTCAAATTGCTGCATTAATCCCTAAAATATGCGACACACTCCCACATTCGCAGACACTCGCACAGCCAAACACAGTCCTGTGCTGCAGGGTGTGAAACTGGGCAGACTGCCGTCCCACAGAACCAGACGCCAGGGAGCTCCAGGCCTTAATATAATATCAATACACCGTTTAAAGCTGCCCTTTACTGCCTACAATGTTAATGGGGATTAATGGGAGAAGGGCAGTATTGACAGAGTAGAATCTGTTTGGACTAAAACCAGGCGTAGACAATTATTAATGGCTCAGCTTGACGCTCAGTTGGAGTTGAATGTGCCCGTGCAAAAGATGGCCAGCGCCTGATTGCTTGTTGTGGAGGATTGTTTTTGCTGCTCAAGCCAATTCAGAATCAGGCTGAGTGGAAAAAGATTAGCTCTGAAATTGCTGAGTGATGAATAAAACATTTGAAAGGATCATTTTCATCAGCCATACCAAGAGCACAACTGTAACATAGGATCACTCATATTTCCATTTTATTATCTTTCCGAAACCTGGAAATGTTTAAAAATAGAATATTAAATAGTAATGGAGTCCTGCCATCTTTACCGAGGCCGAAGTCGGAACCATCCCAACGGAGAAAGAAGAGGAAATAACACGTTTCTGCTACACCTTTTTTTTTTTCTGATCTTGTAAAATACTGGAGAGTTTTATTTCTTCAAGACTCTAGAAACTCTTATAATGAAAACAGTCTGGGAGGGGAACATTAGTTGGTTGGTTCGGTTGAATTTCTCACAGCTCACAGCTGTATGCTTGTCTTCAAAGGGTCACAAGCCAGAAAGGTTGGGCATCAGTACACTGTTATCAGTACACTTATATTAATAACAATAATAGTTCAATCAAGCAAATATTCCACTTGTACTTCTCAAGTGTGATTACTTCCTGGTTTTCATTGTCTGACATGACAATAGAATTGATATATTTGGATTGTGGATTGTTGGTTGGGCAACGCAAGCAGCCTGCATATGTCAAACTGTGACTATTAACACTATTTTAAACTAAACAATTAATCGATAATGAAAAGCTCTAATTGCAGCCTAACTTGATGAAAGAATCACAGACCTCTCAATCAGAAATGTGAATTGCAGGAACAGAATTCGTGTTTACAGCGACAGCATTATAAGTGAGGTGTAATCTGAATGTACAAGTCTGATTTTAGTGCAGGTGAACGCAGCTCAAATCAACCTTGCAGGTGATGATGATGATGATGATGATGATGATGGAGAAGCACAACCTACTGCCGGGTCTGCTGGAGGACTGTGGGCCTAAAGTGCGATGGGAGGCGCCCACCTGTTAATAACACACTTTCACCCACTCCCTCTTCTATGCTGCTTCACACACGCCACAACAGTGTAAAGAACATTTACATCATATGTTCTGTGAATATTCGACCGCACCAACTCTCCTCTGCCAAAAGGACACTTGACTGATTTGAGGTTCAGCGTTGCGGGATGTCATGCGTGTCAGATGTACAGCTACTTTCGCTCTCAGCGCGATTACATAACTACATGAGCCCAGTCAGCAGTACAGCATGCATGAGTTAGTAACCTGACTCATAGCTAAAGTCACAAGATTCACACGTTCACACATGAACTGCTCAAAACCCCCAGTGAGCTATACATCACAGACATCATGCTAAGTAACAGCAGCAGGGCTGGTATCGTTTCCAATATAGGTTTGATTAGTAGAATAAAGTCAATATATAGAAAAGTCAGAAAGCGGCTCATGAAGGAGTAAACGAGCCTAAGAATCTGGCAAAGCTTTCATTGCCAACTTCTGATACGTGAGTCCTTTCAATAGTTCCTGAGACTCAGCTGCAGACAACAGTACTTTACACATACGTCCAAAAACCCTTTCTGTGAGTTTTATTAACGCTTCAATTTGTCACTTCCACTGGCTGATGAACATATCCAACAATAAATATTTATTTGGGCAAATGGGTCAAATCCGCAGGCTCAAACGATTAGTTCTTTTTTTTTTTTATACGCTTTTAAATGCATCCTGTTAGTTTATGAGCTACGTGTGTGTTTGACAAATCTGTAATCAGGAGCAACTGTAACTATATAAGCTATATAACCAAAATTCTCCTGCGGTATCATTTTAATATCGAAATTTTAATGATTATAATATCAATAATCATCAGACTCTTTGAAGATGCACTAAAGATGGAGAGAAAGTGAATCTCAAAGGCTTTTCGAAGACTCTGAGACACTCCTGGATCTATTCAACACAGGCTGGCTTTGCCTGAATTTACCCTTTGTTCTTACACAGCAGATAACTGGTAGGAATACCTCAATACAAATGCATACTCATGCATAAATCATAGATAGTGGTGCATTATTCATCCAGTCATCTCTATACAGAGTTACACTCTCCCTTTATTCGCTCTGCCTCATATTTTCTATCTCTAATTTCAGCACTGACATCCTGACAGAGCATATTCTGTTTTAATCACAGTAGTCTTCATCTCCTTATCTCATTCATATGGTGTGTGTCCGCGTGGCAGCGGGGGTGCACAGGTGTCGACAAAGGTGATGCGTTGGTGGCGGCTGAGTGAAACAGTGTGTATATGTGTGTGTGTGTGTGTGTGTGTGTGTGTGTGTGTGATGCGGCGCGTGGCACTCTCTGTGCCGTGCGGTGCAGGAAGTGGCTGGCAGAGGGTGAGATACAGAGTTCAAAGCGGCGTCGCTCTGGGTCCCGAGGGCCCCGCCAAGTGATGGCGAGAGGGGACAGGGTGGTGCCGAGAGAGGTCGGGGGGTTAGATGGGATGATGGAGGAGGGATCAGACATGAGGCTCAGGCTTCAGATGTTGCCAACGTGCGACAAAGCAGCTTGAAATATATTTTAAGGTACTGACAGGAAATGTGAGAAGTGATTCATGCGTGTTGTTTTGGAGTTGTTCGGGTTACATCTATCCTGCCCTACAAAGGCCAAACACAGGCACCGCATGTTTGGCCAAAACTGAGTTAAAGGAACAGTTTGACATTTTGGAAAATATGCTTATTCACTTTCAGAGCAATAGAAGATCAACACAAGGCTACAACCTGCAGCTGGTTAGCCTAGCTTAGCATAAAAAATATCATACTGTACGCTGCTAAAAAATAACATGACTAGCTTAGCAGATCTCAGCAGCTACCATCTGGTATTCATGTTATTTGTGTTTCCTTTAAATCGCATACAGTGGATTAAATTGTAATATATTTCTTTTTAATATAGATTTCAGTATAAATATTAATGGTAGGAGGACAGACATTTAGCAAAACAGAGACACACGACTAGTTACTAGAAAGCTAGTTAACACATTTTGTCGTGAGATGTATCAGCATTCTTTAAGTTTTATCAATTTAATCATTTGGGAAAAACAACTTTAAAGGCCTAAAATGAAGGCATTAAAAGCTTTATAGCTGTTAAGCAGTGTCGTCAGCCATCTTGAAAACATTGAAAACATCCTTTTTATTCAACTTCCCTACTTCTCTGATCCTAATCTCTGCACACTGTACAGATAATGTGTCCTCCTCTGAATTTAATCTGAACCCGTTCACCACTTCGCTAGCAGCTCACGTCCAGGGAGACTGATTTATTTGTTTATCTCTGATGCTTTGTGGCTGTTGTTGTGTTGTGGCTTACCTCCTCGGTTCCAGTCAGCGGAGGACCCCCCGCCGTCATCCACAGTCATTCCCAGAAGAGCATTAGCAACCTGCAGGACAACGCCGTCAACAAAGTCCCGGGGGAGAGCAGCGCAGTTTCGAACCATTTCAACCCTGTCTCTGGGCTGGAACCCGGCTCCCCAGCTGCTTCTGGGGGTCCTGTCACTGTCTGCGTTCCCGTGGCAACAATGCCCATCATTTCCGATGACTGACCATTGAATTGTGACCCCGGGTGTGGTCTGTCGCCTCTGGACGTAATGAGCTCTCCGTCGCTCTGCCTCGGCCTCATCACGTAGCTGGTAGCTTCTCGACTTTCCTACCAAACACACCTGCAGAGAGAAAAGGCTGAATGTCAGGATGACTCCCATGGGTGCTGAGGCCTGAATCTGTAAAACCAGAAACTCAACGCAGAAATTACAACGTAGTGACTCACTTATATTCAATTCGTAAGAAAACAACAGAATTATGGCGACATAACAATAACACAATAATAATTTTGGATATTTGGATATATCTGATTTTCAGGGAAAATAACTGAATTATTTTTTCAGACAATCACTGTCACTCGTGAACCATTAAAACAATGTAAACTTTCAGGAAAACATTGAAATAGTTCTATGTTCATCTTCCAGTATCGTTCCCACGTGTGAAACAAAAAAATATGAATCTCCTCCAGCAGCCTTTGCATTTATGTGCAAACTGATTGTGACTGATCCCTCTACATTAAAACCACAGTAAATTCCTGCTTGTTAATTTTACATCTCCATGTGTATCATAGCTATTAATGGCTACCAGCTATGAAACAAACGTGCCTTTGGGGACAACAGAGTCTTGATTTATCTCCTTCTGTATATACTAAATGAGGCTCAGGTGGGAAAAAGGCAGCTGCACAGCTGTGCCTGTTTGAAGAACAGGAAGACATTTTATGATAATATTGCAGAGAGATCTAATGACTCCCTTAAAAGACTGTCTTTTCTTGTAAGAAGATATCTATTCTTGGCATCTCTGCTTTGTTGGAAAGTACCAGTGGAAAAAGTATATAATCATAGATGAAGAGAGATGACATGCAACAAAAGTTAAAGAATCAAACCTTCAACTCAAGACTTCACATGGCAATTATGACAAAATTTCACACAAATGGATTATATTTTATGTGATTCTGGATAAACTGGGATGTAACCTGAAACTAGTCTGAGTGGCGGAGGCAGACAACCGTGAAGCAGTAATTCTAGTGTCACGATTTTTCACATTTCATGAATTAAACGATTATTTGATGAATCACGAAAATAATCGGCAGATTAATCAATTGCGAAAATAATCATTAGTTGCAGCCCTAGTTGCAAACTGGGCATATTCCAAGAAGTGTGCAATAAAAGATGCTACCACATTGCATTATGGGAACTGTAGGATCCAGAGATTTTGCAGTGTGACTCACAGTAGAGACTAAAAGTCAGGATATCTTGGGCTCTGCTGCTTTAAAATATTTTGAAACTTCTTATGTAGATTAGAATAAAAGAAAAAATATATATATAAAAGACATAAATCACACAAGACAAATGTTTACAGATATGTCTTATTCAAAATACAAGAAGTCAAACACATCTATGTAGGTCAGGTCTGACTCTGTAAGCCTACCCGTTTGGTAGACGGTATTCTCAGGCAGTCCTCTTCAGTGTTGAAGCCACTGACTTGGCTGACCTCAGTGATGAAATCGATGTATTCTTTATACTGAGACTTCTTGCACTGGCGTCTCTGGTATTTTCCATAGAAGTCAAAGAAACAGCAGGGGAGAACGAAGTAGCGGCAGGAGTAAGACGACCTGCAACATGAGAGTACATGAGACATTCTTATTCAGTGCCAAAGACAATGATGATTATCAGTCTGTCCTGCTTATGCTCATTTAAGTATTTTCCCAACTGTTTTCATGGATCAGAAACTGTTCAACAGACAGGAAGCAACAATCCACTACAAGAGATTATCATCAGTAGTTACATTAGGGGAAAAGTGGATTTCTCAGACTGAGGCTCAACATCGCCATCAGGTGGTCGTCTTAATAAACACACTACTGAGCCGACATGCACAGGAACAAACACACACACACACACACACACACACACACACACATATTCACACATATTCACACATCTTCCCTCTGCCCATAATGTTATTCCAAACTGGAGAGATCAGCTGGCACTTGAGCTGCTGAGTGAGATTGTGTCTGCTGATGACTCGCCTGGCTGCTATAACGGGGATCCACGGTGTGAGTTCGTCCGAGTGGTTCCCAATCAGCCAGTCCGCACCCGGGAATAAGAAGCTCTCACTGGGAGTAATTGCCTTTTCCTGAAATAGCAAAGACCCACAGAGCACGAGAGCGCCTTAGAGCAGGGAGGATGTACACTGGCATGATTTGATTCTGAATCATTTAATGGGAATTGTCTAAAAGGAAAACTTCTTATCTTCTCAAACTTTCAATATATCACACACCTGTCAATGTGGGATTCATGAGAACTTCTTTTGTCTTGGGGCTGGTTGGTCGTGTGAATTCAGCTAAGGATTTATATAAAACCTTTCATATTCTGCTCTTTTCCACAGACACCCCCATCCTCCAACATTACAAATGATGTAAGTTAAGAGTACCGAGGCCTGTGACGTTCAGAGAGCTTCCAAATGAAGGTTTAAAACTAAGCACTTCGCCCCTCGGGGCTGAGAAAGATTGGTCAGCCACGTCCGCTCTGCTAAAAATCAGTCAATAATAGATGACCTGAAATGGAAGCAGTCAGCAGCTTGTTGTCAAATGAGCAACTGAGGCCACACGGCAGAGAGGAGAGTGCAGTGCTATTCTTTTTTTGGGTTGGGGGGGGGGGGGGGGGGGGGAGGCAGGTTTCCCTGTAAATGTGTGTTTAATATGTCTGAATTCAACATTAGTCCCCAGTGTGGAAATGACATTTTCTTTTTGTAGTTTGTAGCAATCATTAAAACAAGTACAACACTGTCTGTCCCATGTTATCTCGATGTAAAAACATCACTGCTTCATTAATGCTCAATAAATAGCTGATATTGTTTGTTTCAGAACTGCTCAATTAATCTTCTAAATATTTGTCCATTAATCAATTAATTAGTCAAAAAGCTAAAATCCCAGAGCCCAAGGTTATGATTTCAAAATGCGGCTCTAATCACAGAGATATTCAGGTTACTGCCATATAACACCACCAAAGGCAGGAAATCCTCACATTTGAGAGGCGGGAAGCAGCTAATTACAGGCATTTTCCTTTAAAAAATTGGTTATGCAGTTAATTGATTATCAGAAGCATTTTCTGTTGATCAACTAATTCATTAACAGACTGACTGTTTCTGCTCTAGTTCAGTCTGTGCCATCATCAAGGACGTGTATTTTAAAATTCAGATTGGTCTATTTAAAATTGCATAACTCAAATCAGTGTTTGAAACATCAAAAGAAGAAGTTTCAAAGTCCCTTTAATAGCTCTTTCTGGAGCTTTTGATCATATGACATGGTCTTCATCAGCAGATGGGGGTCACTCAGAAATGCACCGAACTATCTGTCTAATACTAAGGGAAGAATCAATAGTTAAATCTATTTAAAAGTAAAAAACCAATTACTCAAAGTATAAAGCAGTGATACCAGTGAGGGGGCAACGCCGGCTGAAAAGACACCTCCATCGCATGATATGGATAATAACACTAATTAAAATCCGCCTTCTCCACGCTCAGCCAGCTCACCTCTAGCACAGTCTGGGGGCCGTACGTGTCCCAGATCTTCCTCCTCCGAACGTCGATACCCTTTCCAGGGTGCTGCAACACAAGATGGCATGACAGTCAGGTCAGCGGCTAATCACAGCCACATTCACACTCTGACTATCAGCCGCTGTGTGTAATTTCAATTACACCTGACCTAGTTTGTGACTGGACGTTAAGGCGACATGGGAGTGTGGATTTAATATATTCAGGGCCATGAATCCACATCACCTGGGCTCCAGCCAGCCCCATGTCATTGATTAAGCGGCGAGTGAAGATCTGGCTAATTGAAAGACCTCTGGCTATGAGGGACCAGCGTTTAACGTGTAAGTGTATCTGGATTAATAGTCGTCAATTCAAAGGTAAATTCAACTGTTATTTATAAACCTTTCCTCTGAATTTGAATTTCCTTTCAAGTTCAAAAGAGGGTGGTGGATGCATCCTGTTAGCATTTTTAGCCCAGTTAAAAGCACCAGTCTACATCAGAGTTGGTATATTATGGTTGTTTTCTTTGGCTTTCCGTGGCCTTTCAGAAAGCTTCTCACCTACTGTGTCATAGGAGCCTCTAACTCACCCCTTCATTGGTCAGTATGTGAACCAGGAGGCCGTTTCCACAGCCGAGGTCCACAAAGGACTGTCTGCCAGTGAGACCTTTCTCCGCCCGCTCCTCAGCCCACAGCACCTGCACGACACAGAGACGGAGCATCGTCAATAGCGTACAATCACGAGGGCTCTCAATCATTTCAATGAAACCCAATTTACAACTGAAGTGTGACACCTGCTGCTGCTGCTGCTGCTGCTCACACCTTTTCACCTGCCTCTGACATGACACATGGATTGATTTACTGGGTCAAATCCATTTTTCACAGTCAAATTGATTGACCCACCTTTGGCTGCAGGACGTGACAACATGTGACAGATAAAAGTCGTTTTCATCCACACAAACAAGCACGGACACGTTCGTACACTTGGCTCAAGTGCAAAAAGACAGATGAGCCACGAGGGTTGTTTCACATATTAATGTTCAAGACCCACTTCAAGTTTATTTGAGCCACTAAAATCAATGAAACACAGTTTGAACCCACCAGGAGATATGTCGCTATGGCAACATCCTCATAGACAAACTTCTCAGGATCTGTCACTTCAGGCCAAACCTAGAGAGCACACGAGAATAAAAACATTACACACCCAGTTTATACACACTATATAGAGTGACAGACACACAGACAGGCCTCCACCCTCTCCACCTTGACCATGGCCTTGTACTTCTCCTTCAGCTGCTGGTACACGAGGCTGTACTTTTCCACCGGCAGCAGAGACAAGGTGCTCTTGAACTCGCTGCTCTTGCACTCGGTGGCCCAGCGCACCAGTTTAGGCAGCAGATCTGAGGACAGCCAGGGGAGCTTCGGGTACGCCACGCCATCAGAGAACCAGGCGCCTGGAGTCAAGACATGCAGCTCCAAGGACCTGTTGATAAAATGTTGTTTTATTTCTTTACTGATGTGCTTGTTTTAGACTCTAAGACAATTCGTTTCTGGCTATAGTGTCAGATTTCATCATCTGCATCTGCATGTGTCAGCACTAATTTGCCAAGAGGAGTCAGAGATATGAGCTTATGTGAATTAAGGTTTCACAAGAAACCATAAGGAACATCTGCTTTTTGTGTTTCTGAGTAAAAAAATAAGCTCAGTACTTAGTAGACCAGTATAATTTATCTATTACTAATCTTGTCCAAATGAAGACATGAAGCACTTTAATACAAATAGTAACACTGAGAGGAGGACTCAGTACTTTTTTTTTATTATTTCTTTATTGCTACTACTTTTTTATTTTTTGCTTGTCTGCTTTACAATTAATGTTTAAACTAATTAGATTGATCTAAGTGAAATTACCACTCAAAGATGATTTATTTTTTTGTTTCTAGTACCTATTATCTAATATTTGTTGATGTCAGACACTGACGGTATTATAATAAACCAAGCTAATAAAACTAAAGATCCTTAAGGTGTTCAGACAAAAATAAATGAGTAAATAAATGATGTCAGATGTCTCATGTTGTCCTCCAGACACTCAGTAAGGGACAGATGGTGATTTCAGACTCACCAGTCCTCACAGTCCTGACTGCAGAGCTGAATCTGATAGATGTTGCTCTTCTTCAGAGACACCTGGCCTTCTGCGTCCTCCTCCAGGGGAAGGAAGGTCACTTGTTGTCTGGCAAAGTCTAGAGAAGACAAACAAAAAGTGTCTTAGAAAAAGAAACAGAGGAGACAGAGACTTTCATTCATGAGTCCAGCTCTCACCTCTCAGCACAACTTCTTTATGCAGGCTTGTCCCGTAACTGTTCACTTTGGGAATAAATGTCCTGACCGTCGAGCACCAGGGTTTGTCCTGCTGGTGTGTCTGTGCAGGGGACAACCTGCTGCTCAGGAGGGACAACACATCCTGAGACAGTTCCGCGAGGGGACCGTGCAGCAGGTCCTCCGCGTTCACCTCTTTCCTCTCCGTCTCTTTAGCCCCGCAGAGACGCTTGTTTACAACGTGGGGTTTCTGTATCCACACATCCACAGCGGACCAGAAGCCTTCTGGAAGAGTCTTACATCCTCCTGGAAACTTTATATCCGAGACTTTTGGCATCATTGAGCTTCACACGCGACAAGGAGCCATGTGTTTACAATCTGTGAGAACACTTCCGGTTTTTTTTTTTTTTTTTATGTGATAGTTACCTTACGACAAAACAGTTTCTTTTTTAACTAGCAAATAATTATCAGAATCACATCTTAACATAGAAAATAACTTCCGGCTTTATGGTCACTTTAAAGAGAAGAAATATATTGTCGCTGAATTATGACGATTCCACAGTCATATGATGTTACAGTGATAATACAGTAGAGGGCGCTGTTAGTGTTTGTCTAAGTCTATCATTATTGATCACTTATAAGAAAAAAGATTTTTATTTCTACACGTGACTTTTTTTTGTTGTTTTTTTTTTTCTTTGACTATTTTTTTATGAATATGAAGCAAATAAACAATAAACAGCTGCTGTGGCCCTGATTATCACCTGATTCGCTATTTCTTTATTAGGATTCACATAAGCTGTCCTCTCAGGCTGGTGACCAAGTTAACAAGAACAACAATTCTTCACACTGATTCTGAGTATTAACAATAAAAAACATTCATTTAAAATCTACGACAGCCTCACTTTGCACACTACTGTATCAGAGTCTGTGGTTGTCAATGTAGATGTTGTTGCTTTTAAAGGTTTTTCCATGGATTATGTGTGGCTTTATTTTGCTGTACCTTGGCTGTTATACACGGTGGCTTCTTTCCCAATTTTAATTTACTTTAAGGTCCATCCTGGATTTTTTTTATGTTCTATTGTGAATTGTTGTTGTGTGGTTTGTTATTTTATTCAGTTTTTCTTTCAAGGCACAGTTTGGATTACATGTGTGCTTTTGTGGATGAAATGGTTTGTTTGTTCATTGTAATTTTCTTCTTGTACTAAAATGTGATTGTGCACTCACTCTTCCACTTCTGTCATCTTTTATGTATCTGATGTCCTTTTCATTCATTTCACAGGAGACACCGTGAGATAATGACAGTGGCAGATATTTACAGGGCGACTTCAGCCCACCCCTGAGGCAACACTGCTTCATATCTCTCTAATGTATGTACGTGTGAACGCTGCTCACTCTCAGTATTGCCTCTGCTCACTCCTCATTCTGCTTTTTCCCCACAGTGATTCATACGCCATGCCCCCTCACCTCCCATCTCTGAGCCACGTGTGAAAAGGCAGAGGGAGCTTCCCACACTGTAAGCTGACACTCACAAACTTCAGCCTCAGTATCTGAAGACCAAGCTAAGGTGAGATTTAACACGGCAGAAGGAGTGTAAACATCCGCCCCACGGCCTTTCTAGCCCTGGAGACTCATCAGATCCTGGAGGTGACAGCTTGTTGTCTGAATACCTGTCTGATGAGGTGACTTACTTAAATCATGAATTAACGTGACACCACTGAGGCATCATTTGTATTGTATTGTTTTTATTGTTTGTTAGGCTCCCGCCTGTCAGCTTATTAATAATTCCTGAGAAAGAAGTTCTGTCACACTTTATAAGAAGCTGGAAGTGACAACACCTATCGTGCGCCTCTCTCTCTTTTATAACTTTGTTCAAAGTGCATGAAAGAGGTGAAAATAGATCTCCACGGCCGCTCCTGTTTGCAGCGTCTAAAATCTATTGTGTGTGCCGAGTAATTCAGGCAGGCGGGCAGGGAGGAGCGACCAGGGGAGATACTATACCAGGAAGTGCAAAGTGCAGGCAGGTCCTTCACTGTGCTGCCTGGTTTGCATTCAAATGAACAGCAAGGTTAGAGTAAAAAAAAAAAAAAAATCCTGACAAACTTGTTCTGCAACAAGGAGGTATGAAGGAGGGGAAGAGACAGAAAACCATGACTTGGCTCATGGCTCATGGAAAGTTTCGTCTGAGGTCAAACGAAAGAATTAATCATGGTCCATGGAGAGAATCAATGCTATTATTTATAGTAATAGGACAGTAATAACACCCCACCTATGACTAATAGGACATTTTTACATTGGTCATGGTGGCATTTGGAAACATGTTTATGCCCCGTGATCAATTAGGAAAACAACACATCACATTACACTGTGTCGTTGGATAAGATAATCAACTTATTTTTGCATTAAAATTGCAGTTACCAGTTTATTAGGGACACCTAGCCAAAGCAAATTGTGATGTCATGAGGGTCACAATGTTTTTTTGTTTTTTTTCAAGTGTTTTCAAGAGGTGTTGATTAAACTTGAAGCTTGAAACTTTGAAGGCTGTTGTTTGTAATGCCACTGTATTGCACTGCATTACTCTGAGAGGTGTCTCTAACATTTTGTCAGTCAGTTCAATATTAATTCATCAGCTCCACAAACTGCAGCCTTTGAAAATAACCATAAAGTTGAATCGGCACAAATGTGATTCTGGAGTTATACATTTTAATAAATCATGGGCTCTACAATCCATCAGTATAAATGTTAATAATCATATTATAAATTAATTCAGGTCCTTTTCCAGTAGATAAGGGATCAAACAGTCCAATGGAGAAGTTTCCCTTATGAATGAAAGAGCTCAAAAGTGTCATAAAGGAGGATTTTCCAAAACCTGGCAACCCAGAAGCTAATTATTCATCAATCTATTAACTATATTTATTATATAAACCCTTTATAAATGAAGGCATAATTTATTGCCAGGCTGTTGTATAAACTAAAACTATTTGAGCTAAAACAGATTTGGCCAAGTTCACATGATAAATCTGCACCTGACTTTATTGTAACTTCAACCTCTTTGATATAATGACTAAATGTAAGAAATAATAATATTCCTATAATGATAATAATAATAATAATAATATTGTGTTTAACTTCGCTTCATCCAGTTAGACCATATTGCCAGATTATGGCATTAGCTAATGTTTCTACCTGTGCAGGTAATGTCGTAAGTTCAGGTGAGAGAAGTCAGGAAGGGGTGTGGTTACTTCACAATCTGGAGAGGGGCGGAGAAAGACTCCGAAAACACCCAGGTAGATCGCAAATACACTTGTTGTGTCTCACAGGGACGTGTAACATAAAATATATACCTGCATCTTCAGCGGGAAACGGCCTGGATCTATCAGCTGGTGGATTATTAATGAGGAGTGAAGGATTCAGAAAGGAGTTGTGATTTGTGTGGGAGCCCTCCGTCGGTTTCAGAAACCATCATGGATCACTGGTCTCGAGGCGTGTGTGATTAAGAAATAACTGCCAACGACCGGAGGACTGAGTTATTTTGGTTAACGGTAAGCACCAGAGCTGGTACCAGTCCGGACCCGGGTCTGCGGGGAAGCTGCAGTCTGGGATAACAACTCATGCAGACAGTTTGAAAGTTTGAAATAATCAAGAGGCGGAAAATTAGCAAATTGGATAATTATTGAGCTAAATGGTCATTGAATTGCCCCTTTACAGAAAAACTGAATATTAACGGCGGATATCCCAAATGGCCATATGTGTCTCATTACAAGTAGAGGAATATAACTAAGTACATTTATTTCAGTACTGGACTTTGTTATAACTCTAAGATACTTGAGTGTTTATATTTTAGAGGCAACTACTTTCTTTTTCTCTTTCTCTTTCTTCTTTTTTTTAACCAATTCTCAGATCAAAACATTGTAATTTCACTCCACTACATTTACATGAGAGCCATAGTTATTAGTTACTTTTCTGACTCAGGTTTCATATTCAAAGCCTAGCTGTGATGATTTGATCAAACATGGTGCCTTATGCTGGCAGTTTATACAGCAGTTTCTAGTAGCTTCACCTCCACCAGCTACAACATGTCAGTACTGTTTACACAACAATCCATCAATGATAGGAACCCAATATTATGATATAGCTTTTAGAAGGACCAATCTACTGCACAATTCAGATTTAGAGAGTTGTACGTAGGTAAGAATTTGAATACAAATAGTATTTTTACATTATAACACTGATGCTTTTACTGAAATAAAAGCTCTGAATGCATCTTTGACTGCTGCTCTTCACTGTGCACAGAGCCCACTCATACTGTGTGTAGTGGAAAGAATGCACAGCATCCTGAGCAGATGTGTGAGAGGTCACACCTTTGATAATAAGAGAATGAAGCATTTCTCTGCAAATGAAGCTCTGTCAGTGACTAATAACAAGACTGTTTCAACTGTGTGGCTGTGGGTTTATCTGGATTTGTTCTTCAGCCAGAGGAAACAGGCATCACGGGTGTAAACAACCGCTCCGCTGCAGAAGTTCAGTTTAACTGGGTAAACAACGCTGCAGGCCAGTTTGAAGTTTCAGATAATGGCTTTTGAGATAAAAGCCGTGTGAGTTTAACCAGCGACTGTTCAGCCACATTAGGCTAATAACTAAATAGTTGGACTGTTGGTCACACATGCCTTTACACTGAGAGGATTTTTCAGTAGCTGAGCAGGTTAAAGATTCATCAGTGTGCACACAGGGAGAATGATCACAGAGCTCTCTTAGTTTACCAACCTGCATCTTTGTGTGTGTAGTGTTATTCTTCTGAGTCTGAACTCACTCAGCGGAGAATTTGCCTCATGCTCACTCAAGTTACGTGCTAATTAATTGGGAGTTGTCCCTGGAAATGAATGCAAGTCCAGGCTAGTACCCTCTTGCACATGTCTGGTTTTGCTGTAAGAAGGTTGATTGTTAACGACAATGTAGCTCTGCTAGTTGTTTAGTGGGGATGTCAATTTTTTCCCAGGTCTGCTGACATGGGAATGTTGAAGGCCTTCCCTGACTCATACCTGCTGGGCTTGGTGTGCTGATAAGCAGGTGATTTATGGCTTCACAACCCTCCTGTAACATTAAGAACAGAAGCCAAGATCATATCCAACAAAAGAAGAATTTGCTGCGTTTTCAACTTTTCATTTTGTTGCAACAAGGAAGTTATTCAAACTTAATCATCCTTGATGTTGCACTAATGACACAGGGCAGGGCAGTTGCTTAATATCAACATTAAACATATCAAAGAAATACAAATTGGGCGGCAGACAGGTAATTTAAATGTGAAAATGACACCCAGAACAGCCTCATCAGAGTTTATTCACAGTCATGCTGCTGTCAAGACACTCACTGTGGCTTCAGTAGTCACATAAATACTTGTAGACAGGATCCGGTCCGACTGGTGCCCCTTAACCACCGGCAAGCTAATGTTTCCACCTCTCAGGATCGTCATGTCTGAGGTTGAAAATGAGTCACAACCCTTTTTGCTTCCTGTATCACCCTTTCCCCTCATCCACCTGTTCCTCCTCCCGTGCCTCCACTTGTCTGCTTCTTCCATCGTCCGGCACTGTTTCCCTTGTCGGCCTTTGCTCTCTTTCGCGTCGCTAGCGGCATGTTTGGTAGTGCAAGGATATGCAAATGGCACTTTTCACTTTGCTTTTGTTTATAAAAAAAAATAAAAAAAAGATGTACTGGTCTTTGTGCCTGTAAAACTTTGATATACTAGAAAATGGGATCAGCAGACACTGTAATAGTGCCAGGACAGAGATAGATATAGAGATTCCTCCTCATGGGATACCAACAAACAACTTGTTAAAAGTTGGCACATGGCTAAAGGCTGAACAATCCCCCTCCTCATCACCCACTATGGGCCTTTTGTTCAGTCTCCATGGTAACTTAACAAGGCCCAAGTGGGAGCGAAGCTACAGTGTAACAGGTTCTTTAATGAGATGAGGAAGACTGTTTGGTATTTGCATCTTTGGGTTTTTGTCTTAGATCCATCGACTAGAGTTCTGAGTTCCTGCTCTCATTGTGAAATCCTAATGACAAAAAAAAAAAAAGATTTGCGGAGATTTGATACAAGAAATTTACATTTATAGAAAACAAAAGGTCCCTACACTGTCTCGTATGTCTTGTAAACTTTGATCTTTCCCCCTTTTAAGGCAGGTCATGCTGATGGACCAAGACACTCAGTGGCTGTACCAACTCCTGGCCGAGGTCCAGTTGGAGAAATTCTACCTGCGCGTCAGAGATGGCCTCAACATCACCCGTATCGAGCACTTCGCCTACGTCAAGGAGTCCGACCTGGAGCAGATAGGAATCAGCAAACCTGGTGAGCCTGATCGTCTCCTTTGATCTTCCATGCTGAGTGAAAATCAATACGCACTGTATCTGTCAGAGAACATTTCCCCTTTGCCACAATAATGGATGTTTGTTTCATCACAAGACAAAGAAGAGTTTAAACTGGTTCTGGCACAAATGCATTGTCTTCTGTTTAAAGTGATGTGTTGGTCTTTTTAATTCCCCCCAATCAACCTTTGGATTTGCAGTGTTGATTGTGTTGTGTTGTGTTTTCTCCTGCACATTAATCATAGTCATCTCCCCAAATCAGATAAATTCACTTTGTGCAGCTACTTAAACCATCAAAGTTATGTCATTTTAAAGATAAACACTGAGCATTTAAAGCTTAGACCAAAGCTTAAATAAAGGAATTCAATTTATGTCAATCAAATGTTCGATTAATCTGATGATCATTTAATACAATTTAATCTAATTTGACATGACAACATTAAAGTAATGGTGTGCAGCATGATACATTTGAGTAACGGTTAAGCTAAATTATTGGTCAATATTTTTTTAAGTTTATGTTACTGTAGTTTATAAAACAATAAAGGCTGTGATAAAATGTTAATATGTCATGTTGAGAATAATTATGTAAAATTTTTTTCTTCCAGCACAACGAAGATTATGGGAAGCTCTGAAACGCTACAAGGCAAATTCACGATCACGGCCGTGGATACCGAAGGTCTGAAACACCTAGTTACATTAACATTGTTGTAGATTTCACGTGGATCGTGTGTGAGCCACATGTAGTCAGGCTTGGCAGTTTTTTTTTTATTAATTTAGTGATGTACACAGGTGCTTAGCGGGCGAGGTCTAGATGGAGGGGAGCAGGGGAGCGGCCAGGCTCAGTGCCAGGAAGTTGGCAGCCGCACTCTTCCGTGTCTGATCCAGGACAGCGAGCTGATTCTGGCCGAGAAGCTGGGCTCCGGGTCCTTTGGGGTGGTGAAGAGGGGAGAGTGGCACACGCCAACTGGGAGAGTGGTAAGCAGTATACCACCATATACCAGTATAAGCAGGACTTCTGTTTTTCTTTTTAAAAAATTGGCACCTTTTGCTAATAGATGCTGTATGTCATGTTCTATTTAAAGGGTACAGTTAAACAGTTAGCATGCACTATGAAAAAGATGGTAATTCTGTTTTCTACTGCTGTGTGCAAATATATTTGGGTACAAATCACATTTATCAAGGGACAAAGTAACAAGTGCTTTTATTTTACTTTACAGCACATCATGTCATTTTAAACCAACCATGATTTTCCCCTTACGTATGGAGAATATGATTTGTAGGCCGCGGCATCTCTGTAGCGCCACAAAGCCTCTAAATTGTATGTTGTAACACATTTGTTGATCACCATAATCCACCATATCAACTTTTTGTGGTGCTAATATGTGAGTGTGGTGTTTATAGCTTGTTTTAGCTAGCTAGCTTTAGCCTAGTCTAACTTCATATCATTAACCTTCCTCCATTATCTGACGCTTGTGCTTCTGATGAAGGATAATGAAAAATGTCAAGTCACAACTGGTGCAGAGGGATTTACGCTAACGCACAAACCCAGGCAGAGGGGAGAGGGTGAGGGTGTGTGACGCTGAGCCTCTACGTTTGCCTCTTCTCAGCTTCCTGTTGCTGTAAAATCCCTGAGGAGCAGTATGTCGAGGCAGACAGACACACTGACGGACTTCCTCCAAGAAGTAACCATCATGCAGTCGTTGGATCACCCCAACATCATACGGCTCTATGGTGTGGTGCTCACACAGCCCCTCAAGATGGTGAGACGCTTTGTTGTTTCTTCATGATTGAACACGTTGGGCAGGGATTATTTAGGGACGATGAATGGATCTGTTAAAGCTGGAATACACACCGACCTATTTTTCTGTGCTCTAGGTAACAGAGCTGGCCCCCTTGGGCTCACTATACGACATGCTGCGCTCACGTCAGTATGAGTACCCTCTGGTCCGCCTCTGGCTCTTTGCCACCCAGATCGTGGCAGGTATGGAGTACCTGGAGACCAGGAGATTCATCCACAGGGACCTGGCTGTCAGAAATGTGCTGCTGGCTTCCAGGGAGACGGTGAAGATCGGGGACTTCGGCCTGATGAGAGGCCTGAGCCACGAGGCGGATCACTACGTCATGTCGGCACACAGACGCATCCCGTTCGCATGGTGAGGACTCTTGGAAAAAGTGGGACGATTGAAGTTGGAGGAGGAAATAATGATTGTTCTCACTCATTTTTTCCCCCAGGTGTGCTCCAGAGAGCCTTCGTGTCGGCTCCTTCTCCCATGCCTCAGACGTGTGGATGTTTGGTGTCACCCTTTGGGAGATGTTCACTTACTGTGAGGAGCCCTGGTTCGGTCTGTCAGGCCGACAGGTACGCGCTTGTCCACTACATCAGTCATGCTATGCTTTCAGTGTTTGTACCCATGCCAGAGTGTGTATTTGTCTTCACGTTTGGAATGTGTGTCCCCACCCTAACACTTCGCTCTGTGACTCAGTGTTTTAGTATCCCTGACATTCACTCTCTGCGAAATAGATTTTGTGGCGTGTGGAGCGGGAGGGCGAGCGTCTGGAGAAACCGGCGGATTGTCCTCAAGAGCTGTACACCATCATGAGGAAGTGCTGGGCCTGCAATGCTGGTGACAGACCCAGCTTCGCCCAGCTCACCACAATGGTGACAGAGGTCTGAACATATGCACAGACAGAATCTGTTACCTAAAATAAAAAAAAATGTTCAGTATGTCCGTGTGTTATTTTTCCTGACTTCTCTCTCTTCCTCAACAGGCCAAACCAATGGAGGTGCAAGCAACAAGGGACTTTTCTGAACCCAGAAAACTCACACTGGTGGCCAACGACCTTGTGACGGTCATAGACCACGGGTGGGTGAGGGAAAGGAGGGTGGGGCGAAAAGAGTAAAAGACGAACTTTGACCAACACAATGGGCTTTTGTTAAGATGAAACAGGGGTTTAAATCGGCTCGCTTACAAAAGTGCATTCCAGCCGTGATCTCATGGAGTCCTTGAACGCATTTGGCCTTGTTTGTTTGAACAAGTCCAGCAGCTATTAAAGTTTTTATTGCCCCTGATCTATTTGTAATATATGGCCACAGAACAAGTAGATTTGCATCAGTCAACAAAAAATACTTGAACACATATAAATCCATAAAAGAATTGAAATAATGTAATCTCATTTGGGTGTCTAACCTGTCTCTCTCTCTCTCCCTCTCTCTCTCTCTCTCTCTCTCTCTCTCTGCAGTCTGGAGCTGAGTGAGTGGAGAGGCCAGAATCAGAGGACACTGACGGTCGGCTGGTTTCCTGCGAGCCTCACGGTGCCGTCGCTCCCTCCTGCTACTGCTGCTCCCGCCTCTTCCAGCAACCCCGGAGCCAACCCCGCTTCCACGGCTGCCCACATCTCAGCCCCTGTGAAGGGCAGCCTGCAGCACACTGGGCATGGAGACATCAAGCCCGAACGCTGCTGGGGAACACCGGAGAGCCTGGACGAGTGAGTGACACCCCTCATCCTCCTGTCTATTTTACTGAGACTCTTTGGTAGCTTCCTCTGTAACAGCCTCTCCCCGTGTGGCAGTTAAACGTCGGTACAAAACGATAAATCCGAAATCGCCTACTGGCCACAGTTAAAAATATACCATCAAGCAAAAGTAGAAAATCATATTAACGACCATGTCGGGTCACTGAGTTTTATTGCAGAATGTAAACTGGAGAGCAGCGCTGAACTTTCACCTGCTGTCAGACAGAACAGCTTGGGAGTCCAGGCTGTCAAACTAATGTGTTTACTTTTCTGACCTGTGCAGCAGTGGCAGCTGGAGGCCGAGTCCTGCCAGGGAGAAGGAGGGATCCAATCTGCAGAAAATGGCAGGTAGGAACTTAAAATACATCCAGCTGCTGTGAGTCGAGCTGCAAGACAAACCATACATACATCAGTGTATGTTCAAGATCAGGATGTAACCTAATATCACCTGGGTGTTGGATATAATATTCTGGTCTTAATACAGTGATGAAATGGACAATGAAGGCCTCTGTCTGTTTGTCACATCCTCATTACGTACTACTTACTTGCTTATTTATTATTTAATTATTTACTTAATTAGGATCCCCATCAGCTTCCAGAGAGTGGTTGTCTCCCTGTGATCCACTAAATAAATCTGATTGTCTTTCATGAAAATCCCAGTGAACAAAACCAAAATATTTCACATTCACAATTCCAGTCAAAAATCTTTGGCTCTTTGATTTTGTCACTATTTTCCGGTTCTAGTAAAAAGCTCTTTGTCCTCAGGGAAAAATGATGAATGACTTGTCCTACTACCGTTCATACTCCCTGCTTGTTGTTACACTGTCATTAAGCCTTTTATCTGATCCTTACAACGCGTTTCAGTGCCTTTTAAATGTTTTAATGTAGCTAAATAAGCCATTTGTGCATTTATTTTTTAATGTTTTCATGAATTCTGTTTTTAAATGTCTTGCTGTTTGTTTTATTGTCTACTCACATTTGGCCAGTCTGCTCCCTAGTGGTGTTTTAAGGTATAACAATTTAACAATCTTCTTTTTGTCCTGACTGGTGTGATATTTAACTCTCACTGACTCTCCCTGCGTCTTCAGGTATGTCTCGGAGCCTGGAGTCGGTCTTGAGTGGACACCAGCCTCGATTACACACAGTAGGGGCGGTCAGGGTGGATCAGCACGGCAGACTCATGCCCCCCATAATGGCAGCTCATAGTGTGGTGATGCAGCAGGACCCCCGCCGGTTCAGCGAGGCCAGTATCATCCCCCCTCCTCGACCACCACCCCCCAACCTGAAACGCCTTAACATAAGGTCTCAGAGGAGGCCCAACGTCAATCCAGCCCCAGCCGCCCTCTGGCCATCACAGATGGGTCCGTCCCCGCCACAACCTCAACCTCAACCTCAACCTCAGCCCCAGCACCTGCCTCAGCCGGGCGTCGGAGGCTCCAACATGGCTAAGATGGCCCCCATGGCGCGCTCTACTCCGCAGCTGGACAACCAGACGGACAACAGAGAGAGAGATCGAATCAGAGATCGAGAGAAATCGCCTCATGTGCAGAACACAAGAGACAGTCTCATCGCACAGGTAAGATATCAGTTCTCTTACTGCTGTAGATGTGGGGGGGAGGGGGTTTTTTTTTTTTTAGCTCAGAGGATTAAAATAGAGAGTTGTTGCTCTGCTCTGGTCAGGTCATGGAGGCAGTACATGGAGTGACCACTGAAGAGGTTCATATTGCACTTCAACGCAGTGACTGGAACCCAGTGCGAGCTGAGCAACACCTCAAGGTCAGACCATGAAATGTCTGTCAACACAAATACGAAATAAATGTATGAAATAATTTGTATAGCACCTTTCAACGAGAAGGCAATTCAAAGTGATTTACAGAAGAGGTAAAAGAACACTAAGAACTCTGAAACACAGGTTTTCACCCCGGAAGTATAATAACAACAAAGGTGCGTCTTGCATTATTAGATCACCTTGAGACCCTGTCCTGTGTTAAAATCCAGTTTTAGGGCCTGCCTTATTTTAGTCGATATTGTGTGTGTACATGGTGCACATTTCTAAATGAAGTTGTTAAATCAATTAACCGCAAACTAAACTGACACACAGAAAACCTGAGACCAGGTAGAGTTAATCTAGCGGACAGGAGACATAGGAGTAGGCTGCTGTATATTGAAGCTGCAATGTGTAGTGACCGGACGTGTGAAACAGGTTAATCTGGTTGTAATTTAAAAGCATTTTTCTTGTGCATCTTCTGAAAAAAATAATGCAATGTGGTTTTGCAGAAATATACATGTTGCACTACAGGCCACACCCACTCAGTGATGTCACATCAGGCAGGTGTTTTCCAGGTGTTCTGCATTTGAATGCTGATGCAAAACACCTGCTGTCAGGAGGCAAATTTCCTCTCGATCTCTAAACCTGAATACAAGTCCACTGTTTTTTGTTTTTTTTGACAGCTGCTTCTGAGCCTTGTCTTCTTGTTTCTGTCCCCTCAGTTGGAGCAGCTGTACTCGCTGAGCCTCTGCTCCAAAGAGGACTGTCTGAGGATCCTCTCCAGGTACCAGTGGAACCTGCAGCTGGCCAGTCGCTACCTCCTCCGATTGTCTCGGGACGACAGGCCCGGCCTGGGCGAGCGGGAGCGACCTGCAGCTAGTGCAGAAAGACGAGTCTGAAGTGACTGATTTTACCTTTATTAGTGCACGGATGGTTGACTTTTTCAGCAGCATCCTGCTTCACAGTGACAAAATGAGACACTTGGAGATTCCCAGTACAACAGTCAGACACCACCTCAATATGGAAACATGTGGGACGAATGTAAATAGTAAACTGCGTCATGTAATGTTTCTGTTTTTATTTGTTGTAGTTGTTTTTGTATTTTCAATGAGACGTTATCCTGCACAGTGTAGACGTTATTTGCAAATAGTTTTTGTATCTTAATGAATGTGTTTATATTGTGTTAAAAATTGTTGTTTTGTTGAATAAAATTGATCATCTGGTCTGATCCGACACAAAGTATAAAATATTTGCAAATGAAAAATGAGTCCTTAGACAGTTTTGTGTTAAAGCGTTGGCATGTAGAGGTTAATACACAGTGTTATTTTGGTATGTTGAATGTTTTAATGAAGGAGAATTAAAACAACCTCATATGCTTCCACTGTAATAACTAAAACCATATTTTCAGTATTCACTGGGCTCACAATGAACATGTGCAGACATGCTCCTAAATACTATGCTTGTATTTCTCACTTGCTTCCAGGAGATGGAGCAGTCAGGCATTCGGTCTGTCTCCTTTTGTTGCATGTGGAGTAGGGCGTAGATATAATCTTTATGTTAACATGAATGTGAGCAGGTACGACTGAAAGGAAGCTGATACTGACTCCAATAAAGTGTACTGAGAAAGTTACCAGTAACTAATGCAGAGAGTTTTGGTGAAACTGGTCTTTGCATAATCATGGGCATGAGAATTAGAGACTGTATTTCCCTCTGAAGCAACAATCATTTTTTCCAATTACAACCAGATGTGGGCCTTCCCCAGAATTTCCTGGACAGTCACCAGAGCAAAGGAACACAACACTCTCACAATGGCTTAATATTGTTTCTGTTTTACCGATTGAACTACAGTTTTTTTTTGGTTTCTGTAAAAAAATGTATTTAACAAACATACAACACCAGAGTTACCGGAAAATGATACAAAATTGTTTTGCAAGAAACATAGGAAACAGATGTGAACAGCTGCAGATGTAAGTGACATCAAAAAAGCAGATTCTGCAGATTAGCATCACCCAATAAACAAATACCTAAATGTACTGTACATCCTACTACTTCTTTCACTTTCCTTATCAGATGTCAGACTGCACACAGGCTGATGGCAGCATACATATATACACAGGCAATAACACACATTTAGTTACTGGAGTTACTAGAGTCTGGATTTGAGAGCACGAGTGGCAAAGAAACCTCATCGGGGGCAAACCCATGTTGTTTCTCAAGAATGATGAAAACCAGAATGATTATCAAATTAAGAAAAACAGGTGCATTAGACAGAAATAAGCATCATTTGCAAACATCAACCTGCAAATGAGCTGAAAACAGAGTTCACGACTTCATATTCACATTCCTCAGAGACATTAATGGTTGGGTTTTCCCCGGGCGGATCAACTTTAACCATCCTCAAATTCTGCTTTTTATTCAATTCAATTCCTTTTACTTGAAATGTCTTCCCACTTGACCTTAACCCACATTGTCTCTCTCTTCTATCATTACACTGGCACTAGTTCAAGACAGTGGTATCTAGAGAAATTGGAGGGCAAGGTTCGGCGTCAGTCTCCATGGCTGCAACTAAAGCACAGAGGAGACATGAGAGGATTAATCCTGCAGCAGAGGTTGTTGCAGAGTTTGGTTGTCTTATGTACAATAGGCTTGAAGACACGGAGGGCTTTGAGGAAGAAAAAAGGCAGCTGAGAGGTAGAGATAAAGCACTTAGGTAAATACTGTCAGCACGCTTGTGTTCACAACTTTGACTACAAGCTGTTAAACTTCCCTCTCACTATCACAACTACTTCCCTATTAGCTAAACAACAACAGCCTGTTAACTGTGGCTAACGCCAAGGTTTCCTACATTCTACACTTTTACATTAGTCTATATTATATGTGTTCCTATATGGTGTTCATGTATAACAAGATTAAAAGTTTACTGTACTAACGCACAGCTTTACGTTAAATGCGTTAGCATGCTAAAATGCTCATAGTGACAATGCTAACATGCTGGTGTTAAGCAGGTGTAGTATTTACAGTGTTAACAGTGCTAGTTCAGCTTGCTTGCATACTAACATTTGCTAATTATCACTTGACAAAAGGTTCAACTGAGGATAATGAGAGTCTCATTGGTTTTGCATGTATTTGGTCATAAACCCAAGTAATGGGCAAATTAAACGTCTGACCTGAAGGTGGCGCTTAATGAAAAGTGAAGGGATGACCAAAGTTGTTAGGATTCATCCTCTAGGGAACATGAATGATGATACAAAATGAATCCAACCAATAGTGGTTGTTAGACCAAAGTGTGGGACCAACAAGGCAATGAATTCAGCTTCTAGGCACATCCACAGAAAGTCATGCGCTTAAACTTCATCTATCGTAGTTTCTTTGTTGAGTACAAGAACGAGTACAAGTACATTAGTAATCGATATACATATAGCATAAATATTAAATGTTAATGCCAGTGTAGCATAAAGCATATTCAAATATGTATGGTGATATTTCTTCTTATTTCTTTATGTAGGCACTGAAAAAGACAGAGGGATAGGGTTGATTTTCTTTGGCAGAAATTAAGTCTCAGCTGGAGTACTTGTTTAAAAATAGACAAAATGTCTACAGACTGTGAGGAGTGTGAGGAGTACTGGCAACATGGCAGTCAGTGTCAGTCACTGAGTTTGGATAGATTTTTTAAAAATTCTTGGCAGACACCTGGTATCAAGAGGTCATTAGTTCACATTGGTTCGTATTTGTGTATAAAAGGATCGAAGTGTTGGCACCTTATTAGCTGGAATTTGGTGAAGGAAGGATTTAAAAAAAAAACAAATGGAAAAACTAAGTAAATGAACAAAGTATGCATAACTGGAGAAAGTCCTTCCTCTCATGCTGTTGTTTTCCCATCCTTTTTTTCCTGTTATGAAAACACAGTGCTGCGCTGGTTGGCCTCCCCGACCTTTTCGAAGAACATGAAATCCTGTAATGCGAGTACAAACAAGGACAAGGGTCATCATTCAGCAAGGTCCCATCAATTAAAACCAGTATTATTGAATAAGATCACGGACTCACAATGAGGAAGCAGGCTCCCATGAGCACAGCTTTCATCTTCACGTCCATGTCCAGTGGGAACTGGATGCCAAAGTTGTCCGTGTCAGTGAAGACTTCTTTCAGAAGACCACTCCACTGCTTGCTGATGCGACCGATGGGCTTGTCGCTATCTTTCCCCTTCAGCTGCAAAGCAAAAACAAGTGTTCATCACTATAAATCCGCTATAAACACCTCTGAAGCTCAATATTAAACATTTCATATCTTGTTTATTCATTTCAGTGGGTGCAGTCTTGCCATTACACTGAGGCTGCCAGACAACCATCGGAGACTTATCCAGAACTCCCAGCTAAGAAATAATCCCACACAAAACCTCTCGAAAAACTTTTGTTGTTTTTTATATTTTTGCACAGATTAAACAAAAGATATAATATGTTAATTAGTGAGCTTTAGAGGTGCTGCTAGGTGGACTTTCAACGAACAGACTCCCTGTAACAAAGCAAATAAATGTACTTTCCCAAATGTCAAATCATTCCCTTGAGCCAATGAACATAATATGTCAGTAACTGCTGCCATGCAAGTCATCCAGAAACAACAATTCTCCCAGCGCACCTCAAAGTTGACGTCCCCACAGCAGTTGCAGGCAAAGCAGGGCCCTTCCAGCTTCATCACGGTTTCCTTGTTTGCTCCCTGGATGGAGAACCGCGGCACGAAAGGATGCCAGTCCTGTTTGATGAAGCCTATGGTGGTGCCGGGCGGTGCCTGGACCTCCATCTGTGGGTCACATAAACAGTTAGACGCACGCTAATATGACACGGAATTGGAAAGTGATGATTTGACACAGCCTTAAAATCTGCCCATCGTCTCTTGACACTGACAGCTATAAATAAATCATCACGGGGAAACACACGTGACAGCAGGAATGATAACTGAGTCTGACTGTTTAATTAAGGCACCACATAACAGAGGTAATACATCTCACATGGCTCCTGTCTGGTCAGTAAACAGAACACTGAAGTATGTGAGAGTAGAGGCTGGGATTCGGGCCAGTGGGAACGTAGCGTGGCCAGCCGACGCCAGTGATGTGATTAAAAGGAGAGAGAGAGAGAGAGAGAGAGAGATCTCAGAGGTGCAGGAATGGCAGAGGATTGAGGGAGTCAAGGAGATAGTTTGGACAAAGGCCCATTCATAGTCCTAACAAACCCCTGCCTGAACAGACTGGAGCACAAAGACATTGAAACGCTATTCAGCAACTCACAGCAACACAAGGCCAAGCAGGAAAGACAGACGCCTCCAAACCTGAGCCAGTGAGGCTGAAGGGTTTTCACTAGGACCTAATAGGCTTCTCCTCTCTAAATGAAAGAGGGTTAATCAGTGAAATTAGCTACTTTGATGCTTGGCTGGTGTGAAATCCTGCACACAAACTGCTATTTCAAAATACAAGCTCCACTTTTGTTCAAGGGTTGGTCTGAAAATCAACACCTCTTTGCAGAAACAATATTGCTGTTTCGGTGGTTAAACCAGTGAAATATCAACAGTTTACTGCTCCTTCATTAGAAAGCAGTTCTAGTGAAAAATGTTTCTGGAAAAAACATGTTTGTGGGTCAATTTTCAAACTGAAACAGGCTTTGGATACACAGGCAGTATTTGTTTTTGGTATTTTGATGACAACAAGAAAAAGATAGAATATCACAAAACTTATGACCGTCCCCAAGGAGATTTTCCCTGGATTACACAAAAAGTACAGAAATGCAGCCAAGGAAAACCCTGTAAAGTCTGGTGTGGATCCAGGAATTTTTTTTATCACTTTCCTTAACCTTGAGGAAAAGGAATTTTTATTTATTTTTTCTTCTTTACATTTTTATCAGTTTCTCAAGAAATAATATGCGGATCTTGGTGTAAAAAAAAAAAACAAAAAAAAACAGACATATCGATGGTGTTGAGATCTATGAGTTTGCAGTTTGGTGCAGACACAGATAATAATCCGGATCTGGTGGAAGAAAACGCTGAATCCACATTACACACAGAGTTGTGCTTATTATTAATAGTAAGTAACATAAATGCATATGGCACCATCGGCATTTAGGAATGCTTACATTCACAATACAGTATTTCATTCGATGTGGAACTGAAAGTTACACAATGAAAACAGTGGTTACGACATAGCGAGGAGACAGTTCATACAGCTGCAGAGTTGTATGAATTGTATAATGCAAACGGTAATAAAACCATGCAGCCGTCTTGTGTAAGGATTAAAGACAAGACAGGACAGTGAAGAAATAAAGTTATACTTGAGACCATGTTGGACACGTTGGACTGTTTGGCCTTGGTGGAGTTGTGTGCTCTGCTGAGTGCCAGTCTGGTTCTTTAACTTCCTTTTCTTCAGTTTTTACCATCAACTCTTTTTCTATTGCTGCTTCTCAAGATTTTAATTTAGCACTTGAGTTTTTGCTTTGTTCGCTCTTACTATGGTGTCTTTATGAGCAAAGCTACACTGTGAATCAACGGCTTTAACATACGAATGGTTAAATCTCTCCTCAGACAATCAATGATTAAATATTAACAACATTAATAAAGGTAGGCATTATCTTGACACACATTAATCAAATATTGTAACACTGATATCACAGTGTTTGTTCATAATTGAAGTGAGTTATCAGGGTGATTTGATGCTGAATGAACTATTGAACTGTTAAAATGTTGGTCTTGGTGTGGCAAATCAATGTAAAGTCAGGCTATTAAACCTGCTTTTGACACTTACTGACTCATTTACACCCACCCACCCAAAACACACAAACACACCCAAAACACACAGACACACCTCTTGCAGGCAGCAGGGACACCAGCAGGAGACACAGCGGAAAGGTCTGATGAGGCGGATGACCTCTCTGTCCATGTTGTCCTTGATCTTCATGTCGAAGCTGCGCAGCGAGCCGCAGCAGTTCCTGGTGCAGCAGTCGTTTTTCTCTTTGGCCTTGTAGATCTTTTGGCCGAGACTGTTCTTTATCTCGTACTGGTTGTTGGTCTCAAACCCGATGAATGCTGGCAGGAGAAAAAACGACAAAGGGTGGAGATGGTGAATAACCAAGCATTGATGAGTAAAAAATTCCAAGGACAAGACGTCATTTCATCATTCCTTTCGTGAGGTTTAAAACTTGTGGGTGTGTCAGAAACTGACAAACTGCTGCTGTTTATTCCCTGTTTGTTCCCTTGTTTTTTGAAGTGGCAAGAGTAAATATGATTGGATGAACAAGTGACGTGCCTTACCTTCTAGGAGTTCCACTTTCTGGTGAATCAGGATCTGGTCAATCTAAAACCACAGCGGAGAAAGCAAAGTGAGAAAAACCACCTGAAAAATGACATGATCTTGTGACAGTTACAACATAAAAGTCAAGAGGAATTAAACAGTTTATTGCGGCAAAATATAATCTCCCCTCAGATCTGAAAGTTTTATTCCACTCACACGGAGGGAAAATTTCCCTTGCTTGCAATGCAAAATAACTTCCCCTATGAATTTTCATAAAGCTGTGTAAAAACAACAAGAGTCAGTTCGGAGGGTCGGAGTCTTGCTACCTGCTACTGTATTTACTACTGGTTCCCCTGTTATGTCTGGGTGCATGAAGAGTTAGTCATTTGCTAGAGAGCGAGTTAAAATCTAGTAAGTTGACCCTTTGATATTTGCACAAAGAAAATGTTCTGAGCTACTGTTTTTCAAGAACAATGTTGGATGTGAACTTTACCAGTTCAGAAAGCTGAGAGGGCCGAGGGCGCTCTACACTGTGCACATCACTCCCGTTTTATTCACTGAATAACAGCTCACTACAGTATAATCGGCTCCAGCTCCTGATGCAAAGTAGATACTTGTGCTTTGTAATGAATTTTACTTTATCTGAAGTACAACAAACCACAAACATAAAAGTTAAATCACTTACAGCGGCAAAATAAAATGGCGTTATACATTAACCTTTACAATCACTTGAATGCTGAGTAATTTCACAGTGTGATGTGATGTGCTACAAAGTTCTCCCTCAAATGATCTCTGGTGCGGCTGAAGCTCTATCAAGCAGGGAAGGAGTCATTATCAGTAAGTTGAACAGTCAGAAACAGAGAGGGTACAAATTCCTGAAACAAAGGAGTGGTGCAGGAATAACCCATCTGACGATAAAGACGCTTCATGATAAAGACACGTCTAAGAAAAACAATCTTGAAGCAGGTCACCTGTCTTCACCAGCCAACTTTTCGCTCATCTTAAGGAATTTCTAGAACCACAGCTATAATTTTGCAGATCTCTCTTTTTATTTCTCTGGCCTACCTGTGTGAGGTACTCAAGCCCTGGCGGGACTCCGACAGGAACCGCAGCTGGAGCCCCTACTGGAGCCGGGGAGATGGCTCCTGGAGGGCCACCATACTCCGGCACTGGGCCTGGCTGATACATGACTGGAGGTTGGCCTGGATTGTAGCCCATGTTGAAGCCTGGTGGAGGCGCTTGGCTCGGGTCTCCATATCCCCCTGGGGGAACTGGATAAGGGGCTACAGAGTGGCCGCCGGGATGAGGCATGGGGTAGGGAGCCTGGCTGTCTGGGTAACCTGGAAAAAAGACAGAGATATTGGTTCAAATATCATCCTCAACAGGAAATTCAGTCAGTCTTTACATGGACTGTTCTTTACACTGGCTACAGATCTATAATCTATAATAATAATGGCACTCAAATTAGAAGCAACAGATACATCAAAACATAAAAAACACTGAGAATTGAGATCAGATTTCTAAACCACATGTGGGTTTCACGTTCTTATCTCCCAAAGGTAAGATAAAAAATAAAAGAAGGCAGAAATAAGCACTCAGGTGAACACTGCACCACAGTGACACAGAGAGAGGAATCCACGATCTGTGGATGTCTCCATGATCTGCTTTGTGTGGGAGAGACCATATGTGTGTTTACTGTGGATGATCTGGCTTTTCTCCGCTGGGACAGTAAAGCCAATTAGCTGCTTATTATCAGCATCGCAGTGGAGACTTGAAAGCACCTAGGAGAACAAGTAAACAGCTAATACTGGAAACACTGGACTGTGCAACACAGCGGCAGCTCTAGCGGTTTTTATTTTCACGGTAAATATTCTGAAGAAATGGGTTTTTATTAAAAAAAGAGCTCAATAAACAGAAATACTATCTGACAACAGTCTTTATTTGAGCGTGAATTCAAGAGCTGCAGGGTGTTATCTGATCAGAACAAACTACTAAAGTTTCCAAGCAGCAGTTTATAGCAGTGCTACTGTAAGTTTTGGATTTGACAGATTTCAGAAAGCCTTACGTTTGGTTCAGAAAAGCAAAAAAGTAATGAGAGAGTACTGAGTTACTCACAAATACCGATATGCGGATCATGGGGAAAGGAGCTTAAATGTCGGGCTAAAAGAAGTGGCTGTGACAGAGAAGTGCATGAGAATGTCTGTATTTAATAAAGTGGAATGCTGACTGTCATGTGTTCACTCACTAACAGATGTCTGCAATGTAGAGTCACCACACGTCTGTCTTAAAGAGAGCGGTGCCGACGTTTCCCTGAGTTTGATATTAACGGTTCGTTTTCTCTCTTTCTCCTGCATTCTGCTGCTCGTTTCTTGTGATTCTTTTCGGATCATGAATGGTTGTTGTAAACGCCCGTGAGAACAGGTGTGCTGCTCCTGCGTTTCATTTTAGTTGGGTACAACAAAGCAACGGCAAATTGTTTGATTTCCCAAAACAAAGTCAGGTAAAAGCAGAAAAATGAGTGGATCTTTTTGCTGGATTTTTATCATTTTTCCAAAGGACCTCCAAAACTGCTCAAACAAACACATCGCATATTTTAACTGCCGTTTGCCAGTTGTTTTTTTTAATTTTGTGTGAAGTATGCAGAGACAATAATTGACGAATGAGCCTCTGTACGAAAACTTCTCATAATTTTTATCCTGCTCTGTAATTAATGTAGTACAGAAACAATTGGTTGATTCACTGATTGGTAGATCAAGGAAAATTGACAATATTTTTTTGTTAATCAGCTAGTTAATTAAGTCATTTAGCAAGCTAATAGGCAAACATTCTCTGGGTCTAGCTTTTCAAATGTGAGAATATTCTGGTTTAAAGTATTGTGAATTTCATATTGAATTGGCTTATGAACTGTAGTTTGAACAAAGCAAAAAAATTTGAAGACATTACTTTTTCACTATTTCCAATTTTAATTTTAAGAGCCAGTTCATCAAAACAAGAAGCACCACGTCCATTGAATAAATAGCTAATCTCAATAACATTAACTCCAGTACTAATATCACTGGTTCCCAGTGCAGTAAAACTCTGCTGATTGTCTTTACAGCAAATAATGGTTTGTTTCACATCCGCAGTTCTGTCATGTGATGGTTTACACCTGTACTGAGAATAAGATCTAGATCAGCTGAGGGTGTTGACCTGAGATGTCTCACAACAGTTTTCACACTAAAAGCAAATTAGCAGCTATACTCTGTATGTATGTATCTGCACATCTGTGGTCTCTGCAAGGTCGATGTGGCCAGTTTTTTGTGGGTGGGGGTTTTATGACGTTCTGTTAAACATCACTTGTTGCAGTATGTATTTTAGGGTAAAGGCCATTGGGTTTTCTTGCACAGTGTCAGTAATTCCTGTGGCATTAGTGCTCACTCACAGCTGACAAAACTGGTTTTGGTTTTAGTCCAACAACAACCTTAAGCACATCACAGCACACATTAGAGGTCATTCATGTATTTCATGGCGAGAGTCTCTCTGGTTAAAATTGTGAGCATGCTTGCATTTAGTTTTCAAGGCGGAGTTAATGTAATAAAGTTTCATGGATTACAGTTCGAAGGCAACCAAACCCTCATGCCACTTCTGACTTCTTAACCAAGCATGAAGCCAAAAAGAGGATGCGAGTAATGCATTTTTTTTAACTTTAAAGCTTGTTGTTGCTCCACCTCTTCCCACATTCCTTTCTCTAACTTGCAAAGAAACAAAACAAAAATAAGAAATTAAACTTGCATGTTTGCAGACAGACCATCCTCGTTTGCACACTGCCGTGTGCGCACACAACGACACCTTTCACCTCCTAAACCTGTTCCTTTCCATGCAGGGGGAGGGGCATGCTTGATCAAAATCAGAAAGGTTTTCAAGCAACTATTCAAGCGATTTCTTCCATTTCACCACCTTGGGGAGGATAGACTTTCGCAAGGCCACTGGAGGAATGTGTGGGGCAAGACAAGGCGCTCATTCATTATGCAGTGACGTTGAGTGGACAGTTTGTGATAGGAAAGTCTGATGGAAACTTAACATGCAAGAGCCTAATCATTTTTACAATGACTGCAACTGTGCAACATAACACAATGGAAGAACTAGATAAGTAAGAAAGTTTTAGGCCTGAGTTAAAGACATTATATTACACTGCTGACAAATATGAAGTGAAAAAACTCACATCACAACTCCCAATTCTTCTCATTTTCTGTGTAAAAGTCAAATTAAGCATGGAAATCAGTTTTTTCCCTAGCTTCTTAGTTGCTTCTGGAGAAAGGCACTTACCAGGAGCAGACATGGTGAGGAGCTGGCTTAAGTTTTTCTGGGCACGGAGTAAAACAAGGTCACACTTCCTGGTCCACTCCCAGTGACTCCATGGGAAACGGGGGAAATAATAGGAAAAGGGAGGGGGTTGTGATAAAAAAAACAGAATGGAAGGAGGGGACGGGATGTTGCACAGAAGCAGAAAGTGAGAAATTACAAAAGGAGTCAAAGACCAACAGCACTTAACCTCATTCAGTTTTGCAATCATGTTGAGTGCCTTTTATTACCCTACAACCACGTAATGTTTAACATACACCACAACCGTGTGCAACAGTGAAAACTACAGGGAGGCAAATGGCCGTGCTGATCTTGAACCTGCATGTCTAGCTAAGTAAAATACAAGCGGGAACAACAAGTCTCAGCAGAGGCTGGGAGATGCGTGGGGAGGTCGGGAGCTTGGTCATTTATTTTTCCACTGGTTCCCACTAAGTCACATCCAGTGCTGCTCTACATGCAACGCCACATTTGTGCTTTCACTATCATTAGTATTAATAGAAGACGCCTAATTTCCGGTTTAGACCATATAACAGCATTCAAATCCCCTATAAGGTCATCAGTGGTTCATTTAATAACTTAGCACATAGCCTACCCCTCCTCTCCAGCTGTATCTCCCTGCCTCATACACGCTCACTGTGTCTGGTTAAACCCCGATAAAGCCCCAAACACTCTAATCCTCGATTTATTGACTGAAAAACAAAGTGAAACTGACGCAGAAATCTCACCTCTTTGGCAGCTGATGTCCTCTCTGTCCCAAATATAAAAGTGAGAGAAAACAATGAAATGATATAGAGAAGGAAATACCCGATCCCCGGAGCTTTTTTGATCGTCTTCCTCCCTCAACCTGTTTCTTGCTTCTAGCTGTGCCGCTCTCCACTCCTCCCTCCCATCTTTTTTTTTTAGATATATATTCTCTCCACCCCTTTCAGGCTCGAATGACCATAAGCAAATCTGAACACGTATATTATCAGCAAGTTCACGGAAACAGGGAGATATTGTATCTATTTTTCATTGAAGTTCACTGTTTTCTCCTGTTACATCATTATCACAGCTGTACATAGAGGGACATGCAACATGCAAATATTATTATCTGTGCATGCAGCAGATGGTTGGTCTGATAAACATGGTGTTCAAAACAACCACCAGAGGACGCCAGTACCTCAGTAACAAACTACAACACCTACATATAAACAAATATAGAAAACATCTGCAGTAAAAATTATATTCAACAAAATGTATTTTTGCAAAAGTATCAGAAAATGTAAGGTGTTACTACTTATTATGCAGCACATGGCATGCTGTATGATATTAATGGAGAGTTATCATTTAATCACTAATAACATTTTTTCATATTTCAGAAGCTGGGAAAATATTTTATATGTGAATTCTGAATCTGCAAATAAACAGTAACTATAACTGTCAGATAAATGTTTTAAAATAGAATAATAGAAAATAAAAGGGCTGAAAAAAAAGAACCATAGGAAAAGAATAGTAAACATGAAATATTTCTCTCTCAGATGTAGTAGAGTAGTGTAAAGTTATATTACCATAAAATGGAAATACAAGTGCAAAGTGAATGTACTTACTTTCCACTACTGACTCTAATTAAATGACAATGAACAAACTAATCCAAAAACAGTTTAACTAGACTATCTTAATCAAATAAATTAGCTATAGGCTACTAATCTAAATTTAGCTAGCCAAAATAAATTACGTGACTGAATTAGCTATCTTGCTAACCTTGTTTCCTTTATAGACTAGCTAAATCACAGTAAACCTGATAAAATAAACTCAAAAATTGAGTTAAATTAAAGCTGCGTTATTAACACTAATTCAAATGATGGGTAGCTAGTAGCATAAGTTATTTCCAAACCAACAGAGATTCTGCAGCCTCCAAATTAAAGCCCCATAAGCAGAAGTTTCCATCAATAAAAAAAAAAACCCTGATTAAACCCAGTCTACCCAAACTGCCCACCAACAAAGGGCAGATAACGTTAGTGACAAACTTTAGCTATTGAAGAAAGTAAAATATCTAGCTGCTAACTTACGTACCTTGTCAGTCTTTTCTCATAAATTGGTGAGGACCTGAACATAGAGTACCAGTCGAATATTGACACAATGACACAATGAAAAAGTGTGTCCAGACTTTTTATTGGTACTGTATTCAGGAAACAAAACAAAAAAAAGATATAGATAAAAAGAGACTGAATATTGGACTTGCAATTGTCAGATGGCAAGAAATGATAATTTGCTCTAGTTGTGCTGGATGTGTGATACAACTGTTTGCTAAGTAGCTACGCTAGCCTTTAATGTAGAGAAGTTGCAAGTATAAACTTATATTCTCAAGTATAATCCCAGAGAGTCATGGTTTGAATATATAATATGTAGCTAGATTGAATATCAGACCATACTCTGACATAGCCACCAAATGGTGCATACACAACTGATTAACCAATTAAACTGTGACTGGAGACTGATTAACTGCCTTGTGGTTAAAGGAGATCACTACATTTCTCCTCCTGTATAAGTATGTTAATGTCATTAGTTACAACTGTGCTTTTTCTGTGGCGACAAGTCCAAATGTCTACTATCCCTTTTTATCACTACTGACAATGATCCCTTTTGTTCAGTTCATATGTTGGTCTGTCAGTGTTTCTGTGACCAACAGGAGCACAAATGGCTGAACAGACATGAAATTTCTGGACCAATTCAATCTGACAAATGTGTTGTTTGTTTTATTGTTTATATATTTTTTCCTGTTAATGTTTTCTGAGGTTGCTCACATGTGTGGAGGGAACAGTCTCTTCTGAGTCTAGGCTATATTTGGCACCTGCCGCGGTGCCTGATACTTATAGGGCACTGGACTGGGGCGGGGTAAGAGGGAAGTCATTCAGTGCACATGCACACACGCGCACGCACACACACACACACACACACACACACACACACACACACTGAACACATTAAGTGTACCGAAAACAAAACTTTCAACTTCATTATAAGGCAAAAAGTTACTATCATGTTAAAAAATGCATATATTGTACTTTTTTAAAATATACTAACACTGCAACTACTGCAACTTTGCCCTTTTCAAGAACTATTAATATACATTTAATACATTTGAGACGCCTGTTTTATAGATTACAAACCTAAACATGTGCATATTAAATACAAAAAAATGTATTTAAAAACAATTCATTAGAACTTAATGGTGTGTCAAAAAGGTGTAGTCACATGCAGTCAGATTTCGCTGTCTAGCAGAGAGTTAGATGAGAGAATCGATACCGCTCTCACACAGGTATGGTTAATATGAAGGTTTCCCAGCTAGCAGTGGATCAGCTTTGCTAGCTAGGAAACCACTGCACCCAGCCAAAAAATAGTGCTGCACAAAATGCCACATAAAACCCCAATTTAGGGATTAACCAAACAATATTTAATTAGTGATCTTTAGAGGTGGGTGTTACCTTTGGAGAGACTACCGGCTAGCTGTTTCCCCAAATTAAGCTAACTAACTGTAGCTTCATATTATTGTACAGGCATGAGAATCATATAAGTTTGTCATCTAACTCTCAGAAAGAACACAAATAAGTGTGTTTCCCAACTTATATATTTTAATACACTAAGTAAATACGCATCATTTTTTAATGACATCTGAAAATGTGATTTTAGTAAACTTGTGCCAACACAAATTACACCGGCATCCACTTAACTTATCTAAACCTGATGCTGATATTAATCCTAAACTGGAGCCCAAACTGTAAACTAACCCTTGCCGAAGTGAGGGCCAACAAATAGTCCTCATTTTGGAGGATTCTCCTCAAGTTTACATCTTCAGGAGGACATTAGGTCCTGTATTGCAATAAGAGAACGCAGCCACACACCCAGGCAGAGGCCCCTAATCATGCCTGTCCCTGATAAAGGAGGTAATCAGTGCAGCCTATCTGGCCTCTGCCCCTGCTGACATGCTGCCAGCCTTGCCTTGGTTTATTTATACATGCCTGATCTATCAGCACTGGCTCTATGTTTGGTAAGCCTCAGCATCCCAAAATAGAAATAATTAGGACAGGGCGGGAAAAGAGGAAAAGTGAAAACGTGTCTGAACGGGCATATGCTGAGTGGATCCCCCCACTCCCCAGGCCCCGTCCTCTGCCAATCTCTCCATCCATCCCTGCTACACTGTCTCCTCTCTGTTTTGTTTTCTGAGGGGTGGAGAGAGTTGTGTGTGGTCTGAATTGGGTGGCTATCCGCCGGTGAAGTCAGGCGAAGCAGAGTGATCAAGTCCTCCAGTTTGCCACACACACTGGGGGCCTGATACAATCTCTGATCTCTCTGTACTTTCCTTTGTGTCTTTTAAACCCAGACACATTGAATAAATGCAGATATGAATACACGAGTCATTGATTGGTTAATCATCTCTAGTTGTCAATTACCTGTTTAAGTTTAGTAACCAAATAGTTGTTTGGTTTCCTTATTTCCTGGTTTTTATAGTTGCTGTTAAGTAGTTTAAATATGTCACTTTGGACTCTGATATTTTTTGTTGGAACTTGTCATTATTTCGGGCATTTTATAGATTAGCGACTACTTAAAAACAAAATACAACTAACTTATAGAGTTGGGCAATAATTCCAAAATCACTGTATATACTGTATATCACTGTTTTTTATATGGACTTGCAATGGATTTCTAATGTGTCAAGTAACATTTGGTTATTACTGAGCCCTTCAAGTCTTGTTTCTTGAGACAAGCTTTAAAAAATATGTGTGTGTGTGTGCTAATGTGTGTACTGCTTCCAATTTTAAACAAAATTAAATTTGTCTCAACAATTGATTGTCAGCATCTTACGCGGAGCCAGAGTAAAGTAATTCACTGCATGGAATAATGAAAAATGACATGAAAATTGAATTATCAAACAGCATTGAATGATTAAGTTCCTTGTTTTGATGCAACTGACTTTGAGGACTTATTAATAGACAAAAATTACTTGATAAGATATGTCATCTACTTTTAGTAGTCTGTTTTACAAAATTTAATTGTCTAAAGTAGCAAACAATTCCAAGCAAAATGTAATTAAAAACAAACAAAATGGGTTAAGGTTTTTGTTTCAAATGTATTCTCAGGCTTTGATGTAATGCATAACAGTGGAACAGAATCCGTTGAACTGAACAAAGATCTGATGATTAATGAGTAATTTTGGAGTTTGATCATATCATACAAAAAGTTTTAGCTTGTATTTATTTATTTGTTTCACATGCATCTAGAATTAGGCCCGGTGCAATTGTGGAACTGCAATAGACATAAATTGAGTATTTTTGCACATATTTACCATCTGGACATGTATCAGCATTAGGAAAAATTTTCTATTATCATAATATTGGTTTCAGCCATATCATCCAGATCAAATTACAGACCAATTGCTTCAATAACTCATATGACGGGATATTAAAGACCTGTTCAGGTGGTTGCGAAAATACAGGGAAACTAGCTGTCGCCAGCCTGAGGGTATAATGTATTACCCCAAGGCAAGTCAACATCCTCAACAATGGCCTTATCCTGCTCCAATCTCTCCTCATTTGGCTCCAAGGAAAGTGGACGAGGGCGTGGGCGTGGGACGGTGTGTATGTGCATATGTATGTTCGTGTGTCAAGGCATGTTGTCAGCACTTGAGATCTCTTCAGAGTGACTTTAGAGGTTTGAAAATAATGATGACAATAAATGCCAGGCAGCAAGGCGGCAGATGTAATTGGCATTTCTGAACTCACACAAACACACACACAGACACACACACACTTAGCCTAAACAGCTCTTGGTGCCAGTCCCATAATATAAACCCACCCTAGTAGCATGGCTACAAATACCCTCCAAACTGGTCAGCAGCTCAGAAGACGCAGCGCTGCAACCAAGAGCTTTTGAGGACAGAACTCCACAGAGAAATCAGAAGATTTAAGGTAAGCATACAGTCGCCTCTGTGTTACTGTTTCCCTCACAGGAATGACAGACATGACATTGACTGTTTGACTCTGCTCAGATGCTTTGCTGCAGGTGTTTCCTACCTATCCTGGCTCTTTACCTGTTGCTGGAGGAGCTATCTGCTGCTGTCTTGCCAAGCAGACTCAGAAACAAAAGGGTAAGCTTTTACACACAGAAACAAATCAAATAACTGCAGGGAAATAATCCTATTTTTCTTTTAATGATATGATTATTGTCTGCAGGAACTCAGCTGGCTAGACCAAGAGATCTTTTCCCGCCTGCCTGATCGCTCGGACCTCTCTGTGGGTGATGCAGGGGAGACGGGCAGGGATGTGGACGGTCGCCCTTTTCATTCAGAGACTTTCCTCGCCCCGACAGAGCACCTCTCTCTCCAACACCAGCGCCAAAACCAGTACCAGTACCAACGTAAAGCCAACGAAAAGAGGTGAGGACGAATGAAAGTGTGGAGTGACGGAAACCTTGTATCATACGGTTAGAAAGGGTTCAGACTTTGGGAGGAAGTTTTTTAGTCACACATAATGAAATTAACACATTAAAAAATGTGTATTGTATCTGTTGAATATGCCAGGGTAACTGGAAATGTAATTAACTCACAACTTAAGTCATGTAAATAACTCCACCTTTTTAATATTAACTATCATCTAAATCAATGTGATAGAATTGGATCTCAAATCTAAAATTCCTCTAATTTGTGACAAATCTTAGATTCTGTTTCCTGTAATACATTTCTTTTTTCTTCATTTAATGTAGGTAAGTACACAAAACTAAGATGATATAACTTTAAGATGCTTTGGCTGTTCTTCCTTTTCTGGGTTTTTCTTTTAAATAAAATAAGTATTTTTGTGTGGTAGAAAGTGAATGTTAGTTATACATTTTCAGTCACACAATACTTACATCACAGAAGTTCAGAGTTTTGGACTGAGTTTCTTTTTTCTGTCTTTGTTTGCTCTACAGGAGGAAGGTTGCTCCTCTGGACTCAATTGGCAGCTTTCAGATGTCCAGTTTCCGAAAACGGAAGGTGAGTACAGAGAGAAAAATGCACTGCAAACTCTCAATAAAGCCACTACACTAGAGGCTACGTTGAGACGAAGAGGCACCCAGACAAGTCGTCTAACATTGTGTTCAGTGCTATAAGGACACTTATGTCACTTGTTTCCAAAGCAAATAAGCTTGAGTTATAATGTCATTTAAATGCTGCATTGTCTATAAACACGTAGTCTGTATAAATAAAGGGCTGAAGCAGAAAAGAAGTTGGCACAGTTTTAATGAACACCGAATCTTTATCAGTATTCAAATCCTAGTTTCAATAGCAGACTTGAATGTCCGGGTCTATTTTCCTCTTCATTTCTTAGATGACTTCTATTTCACATCATTTGCATAAACAATTTTCAACTTGTACTGCCTGTCCATGATTTTCCATGACACTAGGAACCACTCATAAGGAGTACAACAATGGTTAATCATTAATAATTCATTAAGACCTTGTTCTTGTCTAATACTGTATGAAGAACTGAGCATAGTGATATTCTGTTACAGGATGAGCCCGACCTCGACTGGGAAGACTACCAGGACTGAGATGAAAATCCAACAGCTGGGCTCTTTCTCACACTTTCTCTCCATGCCAATTCATGTGTGATCTCTGTCATTTGTGCCATATTTATTCATTAACTCCTATTTAACTCACTGCCATGCTATCTAGTGAGATGCCTGTTGACCATCTCCCTCTACTGGTAGAAGACACAAACATGACAAACACTATGCTGTGTGCCAACATCTGAGAAAATACCTGTTTCATGTGTTATTGTTTTTTATGTTCTTTCAATAAAAATTATTAAAAATTCCACATCTATGTTCCCAAAGACTTTTATTTTTCAAGCTACAATTAAAGAAAACAATATCAGACTGCAGAAAATATAGATTTTGCTTGGGTATTTTCTCTCTTCACTTTCACATATGTACAGTTGTCAAAGAACAGGATATGTACACAGAATTGAAGTTGTAGAGAGAGTGCAACTGCTACTGGAGACTTACCAAGACTCTCCCACCAACGAAAGAAAAGCACATGGTAAAACCAAACAACATAAACAAATGCCACAACCTACGCGGCGTCAACTTATTTTCTGTACAACTACAACTTTGTTCTCGATGTGAGACAATCTTATGTCCATTCTCTGATGCGGGTGCATCTCTAAACCCGCTCCTCAGAAAGCTAAGAAATAAACAATTATGTGAAATAGAAAAACAAATATTTTACAACCATTCATAAACAAGCCTCGGAGCCACTTTGACATTGTAAAGCACTGCCAAACCATTCATCTTACAGCAACATTACCCCCTCAGACGATGAGTTTTTAAACAAGAAAAACAATAACCACACATGAAACAAAAACATCAAAATTTAACAGCTTTCAATGTAAATGTTGTTCATGGTAAATGGCTATCAACGATTGATTAACAGCCAGACAGGGAGAAACATTAAGCGCTCAATCATGAATGTACACAGCTACATGCCAAGTACAGATTTAATCAGCTGTAGCTCATCATGTTCCCAGTACCATCCACATACGCAGTGGAAATGGTAGCTGGGTCTATATTTAAAAAGTGCACTGCTGAAAGAATTGTCCGTGTGCAATTTGAAATTTAGCAATTTAGACGCAATTGCAGATGAAAAATAATACGTTAGCTGATTCTATAAATTCAAAGATCACTTATTCTAGAGTGAGATCTCTACGTTTTATCGTTCAGTGGTTGCCACTGACTACCAGAAAAAAAAAAAAAAAGCAAACTCAAAAATAAACTGCCAAAATACGATGGAAAATAAAATGAGCTGCCCACCTAGAATTGACATACCTCTAAACAAATAACAGGAGTGACATTTCCATTTCTTAAGCTATACATTTTGCCAATGCGTAAAACTTTCATTGATTTAAAGCCGAGAGGAAAAGGCTTTCAAACTGAAAATGGTACTCCTTGAGAGACTAAAGGAAATTTTCACTGATTTGTCAATATCATCAAGAAATAACTTACAAGTCAAAATGCACCTTCAGTGAATTTTAAAACAAATGTAAAAGTATATGTGCAGATCACCAGCACAGTATAACAATAAAGCCAATTAATGTAGGGATTAATTAGTAAAAAATAAATGATTCTCCACTGTCACTGTCGCCTTCTGTCCAGTTCTTCACAATAGCCAAAGAATAAAGACTAAGAGGGGGGGGAGTAAAAAAAAAAAAAAAAAAAAAAAAAAAAAAAAAACGGTGAGGGATAAATAAGAATGGTTGTGATTGTCAAAAGAAATCCTACAAACCGACAATACAGTTGCCATCCAGGTGATAATTTAGGCTGTTTTGGCTGTAGGCATCAAAGAAAATAAGTGTCAGAGGACAGCAAAAACAGGGAGGGTGCTCCTCGTCCCTCCCATCCTCTTCATCTCTAGGTGTCTTTTTTGTGTCCTGACCGCCGCAAGTCCCTGCACTTGTGGCAGTAAAAGATGTCGGGAACGTTGGACTTCTTGATCTTTGCGCATGACAAGTGCACCCATATGCCACACTGGTTGCACTCGATCATTGGCCGTCCTGCGAATGGCTTCCCACAGTAACAGGTGATCAAGTCCCATGAATCGTCTCCTGTGATGACACAGAGAACACAGTTAATATATCATCATAGCTGACAAAAGGCGATAATATGCATATATTAACTACTGAGAAAAAATGTTACCAGAGATTACACTCAAAGGTTTTGGAATTAAAGATTTCCTTATAAGATACAAAAAAAAAGAAAAAAAAGAAAGAAGACAATATTAAAAAAGATTAAGATAATTTCATAGAACAAAATCACAATTACATACCTGACTCCACCATGATGTCTTCATCTGCGATCCAAGTCTCACCCTCACTGGAGCTCATCTCTGCTTCCCTGATGGACTCGTCAGGCTGCATCTTTCCCAGGCCCTGCATGCTCGGGGTGGAGCTCCCATGCACTGTCAGCTCCTCTCTGATGGGTCGTACCTCTGTATGCGTGTGCCGTGCTTCTGAGTCTGTCTCACTTTGAGCAGCTGAACTCTTGAGCTTCTTCGCTTTTGGCTGTTTTGAGTTTTTGCTGCGTTTGATTCGTGCTCTTTTCTCACCTTCACTACTGCCACTATCTGCTGCCGTCATGGCAGAACCCAGTGACAGCTTTTTCAGTTTTTTGTCCTTCTTGCGCTCTGCCTTAGTGCTGGCCTGGCTCTCATACAGGGAGTCTTTAAGGCGCATCTTGTCCAGCAGAGTGCTATCAGAGTGCATGCGGCGAATATTTTTGCCCTTATTTGCTCGAGCTTTACGGACAAATGTATGGATGGTGTGGATGTCGGAGCTTCCATCTGCCCAAGTATTGCCCATGGAGCTGCTGCTGCCTCCACCACCTCCGTCTGCTGACAACCCTGAACTGTGTGCAGAGCTGGATGATGTCGGGGACCATGAGCTCTCCTACAAGAAAACACAGGAGAAACATTTTGGTATTTTCTCAAAACTTGAGCAAGGTAGGCAGTAACTTCCACAGTGATATTCATAACAGTTTACCTCTTTTGGACTCGGGATGTAACCAGCATATGCCAGGACAAAGCTGCAGAACTTGTTGAAGTCCTCAACAGTCCTCTTTTTCCTCTCTGGGGGCTACAGAAAGCAGACCTTTGTTTAAAAAAAGTGAGGCTAATCTAGACAAGCACCAACAACAGGAAGCTACTGAATTTACAACTAAAAGTAATCTAAATAATATTGAGTACTCACCAGAGGTTCCGTTTTGCACGTCAACAGTGAATCTGATGGAGGGAAAAACAATTCTGTAAGTCACAAGTGAACCCGTCTTATTTTTACAGCCAACACACAGGGTACCTAGGGGTACGATTACACACGAGTGGGCTAACGTTAGCATTAGCGTGCTAGCACGGCTCAATAACTAAACCAAGGTTGTTAGCACAGAAATGTTGAGCTTATTAAAAGACCCGCGTTAATTCTAACTGACCTACAGACTTTACTGATAACATTTTGAGGTGAAAATAGACAAGGCTGTCATCTGATGTTAACTCTAACTAGTTGCCAATAACCGCAACCGGTGTCACTTGATCACTGCCTGAACTTTACACAAAGTCTGGATATTTCGTCATCAGCTATGAATAACTGTTGATCAATTTCAGACCAAGATAAAACAAACAATTGAATTTTTAAAAGAGTTACTACGGTGGCTACGTCTGTTGGCTGCCAAGCTTTTAACTTGACATTTTCTGCTGTCTGGATGCTACCTGCTAACGTTAGCTGACATTTCAAGTGGAAGCTAACAACACGTTATCCCGTCTGCAGCGACGAGGGCAAATATGGTTCGGACTGGTTTAATGGTTTCCTCAATTATCTATACATTTAACGAATTGCATCCAAGCACGACAATGATAATTGTGCATTGCTAACTGCTAATTTCGATTCTTAAGAGAGTTAACGTATGATAACCTAGCTTATCACGCTGGCTTTCTTGAAATGGAAGTGGGAGGCTCGGTAGCTATGCTAGTTTGGTGCTAGCAAGGTGTAACGTTTAACCAGCCGTGTTGTTTCAGCTAATGTTAAAAAATATTTTTTTTCGTGTCTGACAAGAAAGCTACGTTAACTTAAAACGGATAAACTAGGGAGTGTTTCAGAGAGGTGGTTGGGTAACGTTAGCTATCCAGCTATTAACGTTAAGCTAGGTGGATCGGCGCCTTAACTAACTAGCAAGCTAATTTAACTGTGCAGTAAAGATTAACATTAGGTTAGCCAACTACCACCAATCTTAACAAAACACTACAGAATCAACATTGACTTTAACGCAACTTTCATGGAATTTTGACGACAAAACATAAGTTGGTCAAGAGCAATGCATGTTATTAATACAGCATACGCAACCGAACGCAACATTAACGTTAGCCATAACTTACATTAGGTAATCAGTTTTAATGTCCGTAAAAATATGACAGACAGATTTCAACAGTGAACAGATTAACACCACAAGCAAACAGTTCGTTTAATGTCTCGGTCCTCATACTGGTAAAACATACCTTGGTGCTCAGACATTATGTCAAGCATTGTCGCCTCACCGACAAGGCCTCGATCCAACAAACAGAAGCAGCAGGCGAGCTAGCCGGAGAATAGCGGCCGTCGCTCTGTGCTTTCCCCCCGGCGTGGCTGCACCTTACCGCCGGCCAACTTTAGCAGCAGCAAGCCAAGGGCGCGTAAGACTAAAGATACCCTTCTTCAAAAAGCCGTCCACTGTGGGGTAGAAGTTGTTGTACCCCTTCGCTGGGGATCCGTTACAACAGCTACCGTTAACGTATCAAAAGCAAACCGCCTCTGGCCACACTAACGTTATTAGCCCGACAAAATACTAATTCCTCTGTCGTTTAACGTGCTGTACTTAAAGCTCCGTTTTCTTCGTCACTGCATTTATATAACCATCGGCACTGAAATATGGCAGAACTGTAAAATGCCCTGAATAAACGCGAGTACTAGCTAATGTAGGTCCATAATGGGAACTTCTCGGATGAAGTTTTTTGTATCTTCGCTGTCCGCATACAAAACGACTGGAGTTTTGACTTTATTCCGCACGGTCTTCTCCGTGCGCGGCAGAAGCCTCTTGGTGCTGCCAGCGTTGTGTTTCTTGTGAGGTATATTGGGTAACGTAGTTTCTTGCGCTATTCGCCCCAACCCAACCGTGGCTTGTGGATGTTGCCGAACTGCATTTCCCATATGTGATCACTACTACGTTTACAGGAATTCTGGGATGTGAAGTTTTTGAGTCTTTCTTCGTCAAACATGCTACCCAGCGAAAAATGTTGGACTCGTGAAAGCTATATTTCCTGTGAAATATAACTTGCTGCGACTTTCAGTGCTTGTCATCCTAAACTTTGAGAGATGCCGTTTTTCTGACGTTAAATTACAGTGTTCTCCGATTTTTGTTAAGGTACTCACGTTTCAATGGGCGGTGAATCAACAGCATGCTAACTAGCTAAAGCTACCTGGACTTTATATAGTTTATTTATACAGTACCATGTTGCCCGAATTATTGCTAGGCACTGATGCTGGAGGGTTTCTCATAATACGAGGTAAATGCCGTTGTAAAATGAAGAATTTAAGTCTAAATTGTGAACAATAACTGTTACCTATGTGAATCGAAGGAATAGCATAAAGTCATGTAATTTATACTTGCATTGGCAGATTCTGCGAGTTATTCTGGTCGACACCTCCTGAAGAGCTTCATCAATGCTGCACTGAACAGGTATTTAAATGTTTATGGTGACAGGTTAGTTATGTCTGTCCTATTGCTTGTCAAATTAGTTCATTTCCTTAAATCAACGTTGATATGTGTTATGTATATAGGGAGGAATATGTCCATGTCCTTGGCTTTGAGGGCAGTGAGGAAGAGCTGAGAGATGGATTAAAAGGATCACCCACTCAGAGGTAACTAACATCAGTGTAGAAACGATTAATCGATCAACGGCCACCTACTCTGATATTGGTGAATAGTTCATTTACCAAGCAAAATGCAAAAGATTCACAGGTTCCAACTTCTCCAATTTGTTCCTCTCCTCTGTTTTATATCTTTGTTAAATGAATTTCTTCGGGTTTTAAAGTGTTGATCAAACAAAACAAGCAAGATATTCAAATGCATCATCTTGAATTGTTGAAACTTTTAACTTCTGTGACAATTTATAGACTAAATGATTAATCAGTTGATCAATAATAATGGAAATTATAGTTTGCTGTCCTTTTTACTTCAAGTGTATTTAACCTATAACCAAACTGACCATTAATCAGCTGTTTCTGTCTCTTCAGGCTACACTTTCACAATGCTTTTACAGACCCCCTTGGCTGGACCGATCACCCAGCTTTCACAGTTTACCAGTTCAATTTTGAGGAACTTACACATCTGGTCAAGCAAACATCACATCCCAAACCAGCTATCTTGATAATCGACTCTCTTTCGTGGATTTTGAGGCATGTTAGTCCTCCTGCTGTTTGTAAGACTCTTCAGCAACTTAAAAAAGGTGATGAATTATCGTCTAAATGTCTGTATGTCAGTGTGATGTCCAGATTTTATGTAATTTTACTGAATAAAAGAAGGTATAGCATCCAGGTTTTAAGAATGACTGTGAAGCACTTAGCTTTGATTATCTTTCAAGAAAAATTGAGCAAAATACACCTGTGCAAATATTTATTAAAAATGTTTCTAACTGTACCATCCTATTGTCAAATTATCTTGGTTGAGTGATTTTGAGTAAAGTGGAACTGTAAGACTATCCAGTAATTACACTATTGAAGTTTGTCTTTCCTGTGTTTTCATTAGGGGGAGCTGTGAGAGCTATTATTGGTCTGCTCCATGCAGATATGCATCAGAGAGGTACTGTGGGAAGTGTATGCCATTTGGCTTCTTCAATCATCACTGTGGCACCTGGAATGAAGGGAGATGAAGCAGTGGCAAAGATAACAAAGCGCTCAAAATCTGGGAAGGTTATACAAGATGTAAGCAGTGTTTCCTTTGGGATGACTATTTTGTGTTACCACACTGTTTAAAATGATCAATAACTTTATTTTTTGTGGTTAGGAGGAGATTTTCAACATCAAAGAGGATTTTACAGTCACAGTACAAAGCAAGCTCAGCCATATCGGACCCAAACAGCCAGACCCAGAGGAAAAGGAGGTGCAATATAACACTTTTCTTTGTGTCAGATCAATAGAATATAGAAAGAGTTCAGATGTGGCAGGGCTGAAAATGTTTTTATTCTTTGTGTTTTTGTAGATGGACCCAACAGCTAACTTGACCTTCAACCTTCGCTTATCTGACACAGAGCGTGAAGCCAAGGGGAAACTTGCACTTCCCTTTGTCTTCAGTAAAGAGAAGTGAGAGACTTTTCCACAATTATCGTATTTTTTTTAACAGTTTTTTCATGTTATTTTTCCAAACGATCTAAAAATACTGTCTTCTTTTCATCTTAAGGAAAACAGCTCTGCTCCACTCAGGCCCAGGTTCAGGACGAATTCTCTATGAGCCTGATGCCAACGACGACTATGACCAGGAGGATCCAGATGATGATCTCGATGTGTAGAGTTAGGGGATGAAACCTAGGCCTAAGCCTGAAGCCCTAGAAGATTGAAGTTTCATGTACTCTTTGTCATTGAAGACACTGGGTTGTTTTCAGCAGTGCAGTTTCACAGCCTTAAAGACCATCACGTACAGCTTTGAAGATATAATTTAATACCTAAAATTCCTGTATGAAATTTGTATTATGTTTATAAAATGTTTTTCCTCCAATTCTTATTGATCACCTTCATTTCAAATGTTTTTTTTCTTATTGAATAAAATTATATTATTATAATATTACTCTATATCACAGTTTGCTTTTTCATAAAATTGATTGTTGTAAATGTAATGTATGATCTCATGTCCTAACCATTGTACCCTGGTGAGTTACTTTTAACACAATCTTGTTTCATAGTATTTATTGCAGTAGTCCTCAACTTGTGGGGTTGTAAGGGGACACAACATGATTAAGGTGAAAAGAAAGAAAAACATACTTCTCTGTTACACAAAATCATTTTTGTTTTAGACTTTTCTCTTAAGGTCTTTTTCCTTTTTCAGAGCCTCTAAAAATCTTACAGTACAATTGAAACATTCTGAGAAGGATGAAATATTGCTCACAGCTGTTCATACCACGGCCATAAAATGTGATGAGGATCACAAGTAGCCATTGTCTCTTTGCCAAACATTATCACTTCAGTAAATTCCTCTTTATACTATGGATGTACTCATGAGATTAATTTGTATAGTTACAGGTATTACATAATCTTTCATTTTATTGTAAATTATGTTAAAACTTTAGTTTTCTTAATGGTTGATTTTTAACAGAGATTGATCAATGCCCTAGGTCTATTTGCACCAGTTAGTTTGTGTGATTTGCATGGCAGTGTCGAGAGATTGCTTACGAGTTTCCTAATAGTTTGAAGTAATTATTTAAGTGTGGTAAACTTTTTTGCATTACCTGGTCGCTAGCAAGCCTTTGAGTCTTCTGACAGCTGTGAAAGCTGTCCCTGCCAAATACTGTAAAATATACAGTGGCTGTAAAAAGTATTTACCCGCGCCCAGGGATTTTTTTCATGTTTTATTGTTTTACAAGTTTGAATCAGAAGGATAATGAGGTTTATTGACACCAATTAAGCCACTGAAATGAAAGCAAAACTTTAAGTAAACACATAAGTGCATACCAGAAATAAAGTTGAATTCCAGGAGGGCTGCCAGAGTAGCTCCAAATTGCGGAATGAAGTAAGAAAAAAAAAAGACAAAATAGTTGGTTGCTTTTGCAGACTTGAATGGACTGCCATCTTCGCTCGTCCACGTCTGTTTATTTTCTTTCCACGTGGGCGTGCTGCGCGCAACCACTGGGTTCCTCGCGGAAGTGACGGCAAGGCGGCGATGGCGGCTCGCAGTTTCATTCCGGATTTCTACTGGACTACAAACTGATTTTAACCGGCCCGGTTAGACTTTGGGGAACTTTTGTAGAGCTGTCTCTCATCGGACGCCGCACAGAGAGAAGTCGCGTTGAACCGGTGCTTGACAACGAGCGGCCCCACAGCTTTTTTTGGGGTATTTTTGTCCAAGGTTCAAGGTGGTCACCCTGTCGAGCTAGCGGTAGCTCGGCGGCTACTAGCTAACGTTAGTTGGTACACAGCTAGCTCCTGAGCTAGCTTGTCAACTAGCTGCGTGCTAAAGGTCCATACAGCAGCAGTCGTCGTGCAGCAGCTTCTCTTTTGACCACGTCCACGTTTGTCTTTCACAGTGACGATGCGAATGCACTCTATTTAATGCTAATTGAGCCACAAGTGTGCAGAGCGAGGTACTCACACGTTTGCTTGGCCTCTTGTTAATTTGAATCGCTAGTTTGGCGGCTGTGGCTAAAGACGGATTTTGACTCACTAGCAAGCAGGTTCCTTCAGTAATTGCCCCAACAACTTCGGGGAAAAGCGTGCTATCAACTGAGAATTGAAGTTGAGTTGCTCTGGGGTCTTTGCGTGCTCATCAACATGCTGAAGACCCGGCAGTGTTTACTTGGCATCCGCACTTTTCTCGGCGTAACGTCCAGAATATGGGGCGTCATCATGTACATCCTCAGGAAGCACCTACGAACGGTGAGAAGGTGTTTGAAGATAATTGGTAGTTGTTGTGTTTCTGTGACAAGTGAGCAAAGTCATGGCTTACGTTGCCATTACTCCCACCATAATTTTTTCAGATCACATCCATCTTTCCAGGGATGCTCAGTTGGCTCTGGGGAGAGCAAGGTTACCGGTGTTTTCTGTCTCATTTTGTGCGTCCATCATGAGGATTTTGCCATATAATCCTTTAAATTAGTACTGTCTGAGTAGTTCAAACCTCCCACTTAAGCTCAATAACATCAGTGTCAAATTTATTGCTATATAAAGAGTATATTGAGTAAGAGTATATTGAACAGTTTACACACACTGTCAACACAAGAGGTACGTAATCTGCCACATGGGAAGTACAACTGCAACTATATTACTTTCATTTTCGATTAATCTATCCATTATTTTTTATTATTAGTTGATAAACCGTTTACTCCATAAAATGAAAATGTCTGTCACGTTTTCCTAGAGCTCAAGAGGAGGTGTTTAGATAGTTCATTTTATCTCACTAATAATCCAAACCAAGAGATATTCAGTTATCAGTGACATAAAACAGAAACCCAGCAAATCTTCATATTTGTAGAGCTACAGCTGTGGCACTTTCATCACTTTTTTTCTTGATAAATTATTTAAACATTCAATTATCAAAATTGTTGGAGATAAATTTTTGGATAGTTAACTAATCGATAAATAGAGGAATATCGGTGTCTGTTTTTATGTGACAAGACAGTGTGAGTCAATGGCTCAACCAGCTACAATGCAAAGGGAAACCTCCTACATCCAGTCACTAAATTTGAGGAGCAGCCAGCACAAGCCTGCAGGTCACCTTCATTTGTTCACAAATGCCTCCACAATAAACATGGCATTTAGGGTGACAGAAGTCGCCTGTTTGTAACTTAGACACACACACAGGTGTTGTTGAGTTGTTAATAGACATGCATATGTGGTGTAATATGAGTGGACTTCAACTCTAGCTCCATATCAAGCCAACAAAGCTTGGAGGAGTGCCCTGTGTGTTGTAATCATCTTTCTGTTCGAGGTTTGTCTGCAGTTTATTGTGTGGCAGTAACACTTGCGGGTTGTCAACAGGCCCTGAGAGTGAGTAGTCCAGTCCATGTTATGGCTGAAGTGAGAGGGATTATGTCAGCACAGGGAGCGTACTGTTCTCTTTCTCTCCCTCTGTTTCTCTCATTCTCACTCACAGTTTAGCTCTGTTGTTTACAATCTGTGATGCACTGGAACAATGTCACGACCCAGGGAAGCGCTTATGTACTGGGCATTGTAATGTAGGTGATCCTATACATAGCAATCAAGTAAACCATGACAGATGATTTGATGAACAGTAGTTGTGGTCAGCATTTTATGACCGAGCCATTTCATTACTTCTTAAACAAAGGTATTAATATAGATTTTAAGTCTGTTCCTACCTCAGTTTTTTTCTATAGCTTTAATAGCCTTGTGTGCACCAGGTAGATCGCAACATGTTTTTTGTTTGAGTAAGGCCACACTGCACTAAGTGGCTTGATCCAAAAATTTGGATCAATAAAAGCTGTATTGGATTACGAATATTAGGACCAGGTCATAATCCCAAACACGCTACTATGTGTAAACGGATGACGAGAAGGTTTATTAATCTTACCAACAACAATGTTGCGTAATGGATCTGGTTATTATCTCCTGCATGATACAGTAACAGTATGTGACGCAAGTGCTGAAACAATCAGCTAATCAACACAAAACTCCCAACGTTTGTAGTTTATAGTAGAACTGAAATGAGAAGCTAGCTCAACAATTCAACAATTTCTGTAATCACTTAATAATTATAGTCTTTTTTTTTTTTTTTTTTTTTTTTTTTCCAAAAATGACAACTGTGAAAATCTGCTGGTGTTCTTGTTCTTCTATTGCAGTAAACCTAATATCTTTGTTTTGGAATATTGGTTTGAAGAAGCTGCCTCACTACATCCACTTGGGCTCTGAAATCACATGAGTAATCAAGAAAACAATTGACATGTTAATTGATAACAAAAGTTTATTTCTAGTCATGCATTAAGTGCACTTGCCAGTATCCTGGATGCAGCTGTACAAATGGAAGGGCTAACTGTTCTAGCTGCTTTTCTCAATTACACATTATTATAAATTGAATTTTTTTGGCTTTTGGTCAAGAGGGCATAAATAATTGAAATAAGAGGTGTTACTTGTAGCAGTAGTCTGGAGGCAGAGAACTCAGTTTGAGTTGCAGGCCTGAGGTCCAGATGGACGCACTTGGAGGTGCAAGGACCTCAGTTGAGGGTGAGGTACCCCTGTGGTGCCCAGCAGCTGCTGCCACCAATAGGCTTCCCCCAGGCTCACTCTGCCAGGCAGCAGTGGGAGGGGGCACAGAGGGAGGCCCTGTCCAAGGCTTAGGTACCAAGCAGCCCAGGCTCAGTCAAAGTCACCCTGCAAGTCTTCCTTTCTATGTCTGTCCCCATGCTCCGGTGACACCCACCGACAGCTGGGGGGATAAAAATAGCCCTGTGAAGAAAAGTGCAGAGCCCCTGGGCAAGAGTGGCACTGGAAAGGATCCTCTCTGTCGTCAATTTGACCAGTGCACAGCAAGGAAGTTAGAGAGGAGGAGCTGCAGGGTGGACACAAGAAAGTTAATTTCTGAATGTTGTCCTCTGCTTAATCTCTGATGGCCAAAAAAAGAGCTGCTGCCCCAGGGATGTATTGTCTTAAAACACTAAAATTAAGTTTTAAGATTTCACTATTTAAAGGTTTTTAAGACCATCATGGAAATATGAGCCTTTTGTCTGGTTCAAATCATCCATAGCACAGTTAGGTTTCTTTATTAAATTGGATTATGTTTTGCAGTAGTTACACTGATGTAAAGCCACTCTTCTTTAATGCCCCAAAGGATTCCTAAAACACTAATACTGGCCTTCTGTGTGAAATCACACAAGATGCCGTTGCCCTAGAAATGAACACAAACAGTTTGACAAACAGTAGGAAATAAAAAGATTGGAGGTTTCACTGCACTTGGTAACAAAAATGTAGCTCACATTTGTCACATATAATCAGAGTAAAAAACTAGATGAAATCTGTCAATGTAATTATGGCCCACCATGTGTGCAGTTTGTTGTTTTAACAGCGTGATTGTCTGATTGTCTGCCTCATTTACTTTGCAGATAATTCAGTATCAGACGGTGCGATATGACACTTTGCCTCTGTCACCCATCTCCAGAAACAGACTGAGTGAGTACACAATTGTTGATATGTCATGATATTACTCTATGGCAGATGCTGTTCTGGTTTAATGCATGCTTTTACCACATTTGGGTTATCTATTAGATAGTATGGAGGGAAGACACTATCCCAACGTATTTGGAAGGTAGAAATTTAATTAGGTTAAACTGGTTTGTCAAGGAAGAAGAAATCGTGCAGAAAAGAAAAATTATCAGCATCATAAAAACACACACTTGTGACCCACACAGTGTGACCCCTTTCTCAGGGCTGTCCTCACCTCACATGAGCATTACAAGCTCAGACAGACTTGACAGGACTCTTATGATGTGCCTTTTTCCATATAGGGAAACTTAGACAACCTATTGACTGTTATTTGTGTGTCATGTCTTTGGGTTATCCTGTACTTGTGTATTTATTTAAGTGGATTACATGGCTAGATGCAAACCAAAGTTAGCCTGTATTTTCTTTCTATTTTTTCTTCTCAGTTGTTTCAGTAAACCTGTTGTGCTGCATTGGTCAGTTATTGTGTGTGCTCATGATGTTTTAATAGCATACAAAAAAGAATATGGTTTTGCATTTAAGGCATTTGGGTGAAGTTTGGTTCCATAATATAACAGCGAGATGTCATTCTTGCATCATTGCAGTTGAAAACCAAACGAGTACTAAGAACAACGGGGAATTTGTAGCGAGTGTAAGTGAATTTCACTCGGACAACGTCTGCATTTTAAGTCAAATATCAGTCTGTTGGGCAGCTATAAGTGTGCAAAGGCAGATACCTCCTGAACCACAGCTAATCAATAACATTCATGTTTGATATTGATGAGGAAGTGTAAAATACTAAGAATGTAGTATATGCATTTTTATAATGTAAACAATATTAGACATTATAAATAAGATTGCATACCAAACCTTTACTCATAAAGAAGCAGCATCAAGCATAGTCTTTGTCAAGACTCATCACCAGAATGCTAAAATCCAAAGGCTGCCTAATTTGGCTATAGACAGTAAGACAGTGTGCTGGGTGAACAGACAAAGAATTACACCAGCAGATAAATGTCAGATTGAACATAATGCGGTTCATTGACCAAAAGAACAATTCGTTCCTGCCATGATACTACCAATGACAAGACATGGAAGTGGAGAGGAAATGCAAATGTTAAAGGTAGCACTTAACACTATCATGGACTGGTGTGTGCATTCTGAATGAGATTCCTTTATGTCTGTAGAGAGCTCATTCAAAAGTACACTCTTGACTTACAGGAAGGATTGTTTTTCAGTTCTACTTTACTCGCCTCTTTAAACTAACTTTAGAGACCTCAGCTGGACACTCAGGTCAGGTCTCCACTGAATGAGTGATTCCTTTTATATTCATTCATTTGTACATGGCTGTGAAACTGAAACTGACATTAAGTAGTCTCTGTTAGTCTTAAAAAGTCATTTACACACCTAAATAGTTGACTATTTATGAAATCCTGACACAGACAAGCTGAAAGAAAAAATAATTCTTTCACTACAAAGCCTTTCTTCCCCTAAATGTTGTAAAAAAGAAAATCAAAGAGCAGTGTCTTACTTATACATGAAAAATAAGCAAGCTGTGGTTTCAAAGTGAAGTCAGAGGTAAGAGAGAAATCTGGTTACTGACATTCTGTGTGTATATGCAGATTTTAAAGTAACTAAGTTATTAAAGGTAATGTAAAGGTGTTGTGTAATTTCCTGTTTAGCTTAATTTCACCTGTTAACCCAGTTTGTTGCGTGTGTGTAAGTGTTCTGAATAAAGTACATAGTATCTGTATTGTCTGATAAACAGATGCAGTAAAGAGGAAGATTCTGGTTCTGGACCTGGACGAGACGCTGATCCACTCTCACCATGACGGGGTCCTTAGACCCACAGTGAGACCTGGCACGCCGCCAGACTTTATCCTCAAAGTATGGGCTTTAACACACGCATATGTTTGTGTTTTAACACAAATCCATCCAAGTTAAAATGCTGGTTTTGTCTAAATGAACTGTTTCCTTTCCCATGCAGGTCGTCATTGATAAGCACCCAGTCAGATTCTTCGTACATAAAAGGCCACATGTTGACTTCTTTTTAGAAGTGGTGAGTGTCAGTCAGTAATCAGTGTTACTGTCTGCGATGAATCCTAGCTTAATTAGTGAATAGTAAAGCACACTGTGAACATGAAGCATCACTGCTCGAGTCTTTCCCAGGTCACCTTTTGTCCCGTCTGTCATCTTCCCCAGCACTCTCCATTGTGCTGCACTCTCTCACTACCTGATGTCATATACCTATATTTGTTCTGGATTATGATCCTTCATGACTTACTAAGCACTGACTGTAACCTGTGTACTTATACTATTGTGTGCATTATACTCTGTGTGTGTGTACACAGGTGAGCCAGTGGTATGAGCTGGTGGTTTTCACAGCCAGTATGGAGATCTACGGCTCAGCGGTGGCAGACAAGCTGGACAACAACAGGAACATTCTGAAACGCAGATACTATAGACAGGTACTGCTCAACACTGTATTTATGTAGCATATATTATAGCTGGTACTGATGAGGCTCTTTCATCCCATTGAGCTTTTGAAATCTCTTCATTCTCTCTCCTTTTTGGTGGTGTCATTGACTCTGCTTTGTGTCTTTTGCCAGCATTGTACATTGGATCTAGGTAGTTATATTAAAGACCTGTCTGTAGTACATGATGACCTGTCCAGTATTGTCATCCTGGACAACTCGCCTGGTGCTTATCGTAGCCATCCAGGTAAGACTTAAAGCCTCATGGAGTCACTTGCACCCTCTGTAATCACTCTCTGTCCCTTGATATTTTACACTCCTGTACAAGAAAAATACTGGCATTCAAATATTGGGGTGCAGTACCACTGCAGGGGGGTCGAACGTGACTTGGTGGAAAAATGTGGAGTGAAACTGAAGTTGAAAATGCTATTTTTTGAAAGAAAGTTTAAAAAAAAAAAAAAACAGGTGTCACTAATTAGCTAATTAGTTGCTGAGTTCAGTAATTGCTAGAGAAAAGCCATCGTTAATGTAATTTGTTCCACCTGTGCTTTTTCTGCTATGACAAGTCAATATGCCTGCTTTGAAAAGGTCTATGAATTTGATTAACTATAATTATAAATATAATTATGCACTTAACTAGAGTTGGTCGAGTTCTGCCTTCATTATATCTTATGTTGTCTTCAAATAAGCAACAAGAACAGCTATGCATAGTTTATTTATTTTAGTGAGTCATTTTTTGGCTGGTATCAAAAGGTTAAAGCAAGAGTTTGTGGCCAAAGTGACATTTACAGGATGGTAATAAAGGCTAACACATGGTGTTACAGGGACACACATAGAGAAGAGACGTAAAATCAGGAAACTGCGTCAGAAATGTCAGTTACACAGCAATATCTATCTTAAGTTTGCTAACATCAGCTAAAGTTAGTCACCATAAGCTGCTGGTCATACTAGACCAAGTAAGAATGTAGCAACAAAACTCCTGTTTTTAGCAAGAATGTGGTTAGTTACTTATAGGTTCAACTTTTCACAAATTTTGTAAGATGACTAGTGTGTTACATCTTTCAAAAGCTACGCAGTCTCTCTTTAAACGTTTAGTGATGTGGTTAACTTCACAACTTAATAAGAATGGGAACAGGTTGAGGTGTATATTCCATTGTGTACATTCATCTTTAACAAAGAAAATTAAATGAGGCTTCGTCCTCTTCACATCAAACTTGTGATGAGCCAGAAACAGGACAAATAACAGCCATTTTTTTCTCACTACAAGGCTTGTATTGTAAATGCTGTAACAGTGCATTAAATCTGCCGCCCCTCTAACACTCAGTGACCTCTTTAACAGAGCAGCATAAAAGCACACCCATGTCTTTTTCTCTGACACGACTGACTGGCTGTCTTCTACCCTCCAGACAATGCAATACCCATCAAGTCCTGGTTCAGCGACCCTAGTGACACAGCACTTCTTAACTTGCTGCCTATGCTGGATGCACTAAGGTAAAAGGCATAATGAAGTTGGCATGAAAGCAAATAGACAGTGAAAGTGCAAACATTTAAACTCATGGCTTACTTTGTCCACCATTCTTTGTCCATCATCTAAAGTTTTAAGCATACTACCCAAGTTCAGTTCTTTCTCTGTGGTAATTAAAGAGGTGCAAGGTAATGGCTGCAACTAAGTGCACATTACTTTTCATTTACATGTTAACAGCTGCCAAAATGTAATTTGGTTACAGATACATTGACTGCATTCAACACCTCATTGACATTATGGCATTATTCTAAAGACAGTATTTCAGTGACACTTTTGACAAAAGTCGTTGCTTTTAACTTTTTCCATTAATTTTCCCATTTATATGGCATGGTCTACAGACTGATTAATGACTAAAAATACCCCATTTACTCTACCCTGCAGTTTGTCTCCATCAATCAAACTTTTCAACCTCAAAGCTGTAACCTCAATGCTCAAACCCTGTCTTTCTGTCATGTTGTAACCACAGTATACTTTGTAATCTGTCCTGGCCCAAATTTTGCAAAAGTGCTGTGCTTCAAGACATTCTTAGGAATAGTTCAGTATTTTGGGAAATACGCTTCCTTGCACTCTTCCCAAGAGTGAGGTGAGAAGATTGATACAGAAATGGAGTCAGATGGCTTAGCATAAAGACTGAAAGCAGGAGGAACCAGCTAACTAGCTAGTCTGACTACACATTGTATCTAATTTATTCAATTCATATAGACACAGAAATGTAAAAGCAATTTGTACTTGTATAGGGAGTTATGTGGTGTAACTATTTCTTGGTGAACAGCAGTGAGGTGCATTAACTGTACCATCACAGTCAGTGACTCTATCTGGGCCACACTATGGTCTGAAACGCTGCTACTTTGTGCAGCTAGACTGATTAACCGGTGTTTATCAAGTTATAGCACTTAATTTCCCCCAAAAAGCACAATTTTATGTATTTTGTTTTATGTAAGGGTTAAGTATGTGCAAAGGAGACGCAGTGTGTTCATTAGTGACCTTTAGAGCTATTAATAGGCATAGTTTTTCACTTTAAAGAGTCAGGCTAGCTGTTCCAGCCTTTTTCCAGTCTTAATGCGAGCTCAGCTAAACACCTCTTGCTCTTGTTCTGTACTCAAAGCACAGAGATGAAACTGATTCTCTATTTTCTCATCTCACTCCCAGAAAGAAAACAAATAAGCATATCTCCTGAAATGTTGACCTGCTCCTTTCAAGGCTTAGAACATAGAGCCAACTGTTTCAAGTAGCTGAATTGTGCTTCTCCCTTAGGTTCACTGCTGATGTCCGCTCCGTCCTCAGTCGAAACCTCCATCAGCACCGGCTTTGGTGATTGGCTGAATCAAGAGGGGCGGGACTTGTTGACCAGCCTCTTCCTCTCTGCCGGCTTCCTTCCTGCCCTCCATTCCCAAACAGTCGACCCACCAGCCCTCTCTGAGCCTCTCAGACGTGTCCTGAGTAGATGAGGGTTGGGGTGACCGCCTAACACGGGATGAACAGTATGGGATCACCAGAGCCCAAAAACTACTGGGGAGGGAGGGGGAGCCAGCTTGTTTCTTTTTTTTCTTCTTGATTCTTTATTTGTATTTTTTTTTTTCCAAAACAAAATGGAGCCTCTCTGCCTTATCGCTCCTGATACTGACTGTGTGCGTATGGAGGTGAGCTTGTGTACGTGAGTCGGAGTATGCTTGCTGAGTTCGTTAGTCCTTTTTAAACTTTTTTGAAGATTTGGAGGGGGGGGAAGAGAGGGATCAGCAAAGCAACAAAGACAATTCTACATTATTAATTCTTCTTCCTCTCCATCATCACAAGACGTTGCACTTCAGCAAACAACTCATCAATTTACTGTCTTAACCTCTCGGATCTACTGAGAGGGGGAAAATAGAAAACCGCCCCTTTTTACACAACCTCATGCCCCAACGGTGATTCATTGATTCCCCCCTAACATGAATGGATCAACTTACATGATGTAATTGATGGACCTTTGCTTGGAACATACCATCCACAGGCATTTTTCTGGACAAATAGCCGAGCAGTCTGAGATTTTTTTTTTTTTTTAATTTTTCAGCCATAACCATCATTCTTTCCACAAAGCTCCTCATGGGACTCAGTGATAAAGACTTGACTGAAAAGTTGTGAGAAAAAAAGAATGGCTTGTAATGATATGTGGACTGCCGTGCCGCCTTTCCATATCTGATTGTTTCTCTGTTACCATAATATATGATAATATGACTTCTGCATACCATGACATTTCACTCTTCCCCTTCACCATTTGATGCCATCCTGATTTCATCTAATAGGAATTGCACTTAATTTTTCCCCCTTCTGTTTTTGTTGCAGTTGGTTTTGTATTTGATTCAAATTTGCAGCCTTCCCCTTTCAGTTTTTACCTGCTCCCCTTAATGTATGGGTTCAACTATTAGACCCTCCGTCTTTAAATGCCTTCTGAACAATGTCGGTCTTGTTAAGGCTCACAGCGGCTTCTTATTGGCTCTGTCTCCAGGTCTGTGTTACTAATAAAACACTTGTCAGTATCGGCCAGTTACTATCCAGCTTGTTTTGTTTTCATATAACATTTTGCAGCTTGTCAGCTGACTAACTTCACTGAGGAGAGAAATTCAATCTCTGTGCGTCAAACTTTTGCCAATAATCTGCTGCCATCATGTGGTGCAACAGGAAACTGCATTGATCCACTCAGTATTCCTACACTGCTCAAGAGACACTATTTTGATTAAGTGTTTTCAAGAAGAGAAGACCCTTCACACCAAAGTTAGAGATTAAGGTATATTACCTCCTTACTCTCACTGAAGGAGTCTGCACGGGGTGCCACACACATGAATGTATCTGAAAAAAGTTGAACTTGGGTAAAAGCAGTGAGACTTCTGTGTCTGATATGGCACTTTGCAGCACCATTACAAAGCTGCATAGCTTAGCATTTTTGTGTGTGTATGTTGATATTTACACCTTTTGTTGTAAATGTAGGACTGTCACATTTTAAGGACACCTGTTTAACTTTAGTAGTTATATTTATTCCAGATAACTATATAGCTAGCTTTTTTTTTTTTTTTTTTTTTTTTTTTTTTAAATCAGTGCTAATTTGCAAAGTGTTAATTACGTTTTTAACTTTGTTTTGCTTGGCACTCGCCATGTGTACTCTCAGTAATAGCATACAAGTACGTTTAGGAACTCATCAGTGGCTGGTCAGTCACAGCTGTGACATGCATATGCACAGACATGTAGAAGCTGTTTTTTCTTCAACATTTAAATGTTGGGACATGTTCATTAATTTTAGTCATTCTAGTGCAGGCACTATGTTGGGCTAAGAGCACACTAGTATATATTAGCTGTTGTTTCCCAACACTTCTACCTCCACCTCATGATGGTTTTAAAGTGAATCCTAAAGCTTGAAACAGCACTCACCTTTCATTGCCTAAAGTAACTTTACTCCACCTTGTTAAATTTCACAACCTGTGATTGTTAACACTTCCTATGACTGCTTTTGCTTTTTTTTTTCTCCTTCACCTTCCTTTGCAGCTAAAGTTCATTACTCTGGAAGCTAACATGGGGAATGGAGTCTCTTCTAAACAAGAATGTTTCCTGTTGACATAGTGACATATATGAGGCAAACATGAATTCAGAGTAGTATAAAAACAAATGCTACATCATCAATCAAGACTTGAAGAGTAAAAGTACCCCTCCTATCATCAATATATCAATCCAGGTTTGCTCTGCTGGAGAAATGAGACAGGGCAGTTGAGTCTTTCTTCAGTTGTGAAAAGAGGCAGGTTGTCCTGTGTGCATGAGGTTGCAGTATGGGGTAACAACAGTGCTGAATTAGATCTAACAGCTAGTTAGGTGTGAGACAGGGAGTTACATCTGTGGAGAATTTTGGAGATGCTAAAGGAAAAAAAAAATCTGCATTTTGAATGCCTTGCTGCAACTACTACTGGTCAACACACCCAGTAGTAGTTGCAGCAAGGAGTTACTTGACATGGATTTGGAGATATGTGGAGATGACTAGGATTTTCCCAGACTTTAGGATTGAGCTGTAGCTGCTGAATACAGCTTGTAGGACACTTTGTTGTTGAGGACAACGTCAGTGGTTTGTGGAGGATGAGGTAGACATTACTTTTGTAGGAGAAATAATTTGACAGGAAGAAGGGCTCAGTCTAAAGCATAATGACCAGGTCACAGTTGACAGAGGAAGCAGGACATGGACACAGCAAAGGAAACTGGAGTCCATTTTTTATACTCAGTCATCAAATATTGACATCTAACATTCATGCCAAGTGACTCAGCACATTACATCCCGTGCTAAAGCAATCAGTCCCTGAAGAGAGATTAGTCCGTATGTTGACAACTTTACAGTGATCCAAAGAGTGCAAGTTTATCAAATAAAGGATGGACTGGGTCCAGTATATTTGAAAAAACAAATACTGTTGCCGAAAATGACCAGTAAACATTCTGGTTTCTCTTTCAGGGTTGTGTACTTTGTCAAAAAGGAGTGTCAACACAGGAGGGCCTTTTTAGATTGATCTCACTGAGAGGCCAATCATGAGACTGTGAAGCACATAGAGGAGAAGATGCAGCGATGTCACATGAACAAGTAGAGTGAGTCAGAGCTGGGGGTCTTGCACAACAATACACAAGTTATCAACTTTTCTATGATTCTTATATGGAAAGCGCAACCAGTGACTTCATTTTTTTTAGTAAACATATACTATGTGTGAAATAAAATATTTATTTTATTTTCTAATCTCTGAACAGATAAGTGCTTTTAAATTGAAATTCGATAACTGATTTGGTCAGTAATGGCTCTCTAAATTCCCCCAAACTAGTACAGTAGTTACTTTTAAAAACCAGTGTTATTAGAAACCAGTGAGGAAACCAAAAGTCAGTACCCCTCTAGACAAGATGCTTGTTATAAGTTATAATGGGAGGGTTTTCTTGGATGCAATAGTATGATTTTTCCACTAAGAAAGGGAGTCCACTCAACAGTTTAGAACAGAATTGCTTTGATTTGAAATGAGGATTACCAGGAGAGGATTCCAGTTTAATGACACTTCAAGGCACCGGATTTTTATTCCTTTTTTATTTTATTACTTAAAGGGGGTGAAGGGGTCTAGGAAACAATCATTAACCAAACGGAAGTTGCGATAACTTCAAGCCAAATTAGTTATTATTACGCATTGTCCTCGGGTCAATGAGTGAATACAGTAACTTGAACTGTCTCCCATTCTGCTAAGGACCTGCTGCATGTCTCTGGACTCAGAGTGTAGCCAGCGCGCAATTGCAAAACCACGATTACGCCAGATATCGCATGTTTTTGAGTTTCCCCTCTCTCGCTGCTAACTACTGGGCCTCGGTCATATGACAAGGACAGATGCCTCCTCACTGCCCTGCCCTACGTCTTTCCGCGCAGTGGTTGATCAAAATAAAATAGTTCCACAGAAGAAAAAATACAACATAGATTTGAAACCTGTTGAAAATGAGGAAATTCACAAAGGGAATTTTACATTAATAAACACCAATTAACACTATACAAACAATGTTAATGTGGTCTAGGACAGCGATAAATACACCCTGCGAACTAGACTCTCCTCTACGTCATGTTGTTATTGTATCCCTCCGCCACAGTCGCACTAGGAAAACAGCTGTGGTGAGCTAACGCTAGTTAGCATCGTTTGTTTTTGTCGTGTGTGTGTCAGCGATTTGGGCCGTTCCTTGCGCAAACCGCTATCGTACAACCCCGGAGTGACCGACTTGTTGTCTGTCATCTCTTTTAACGATGAAGTTCCAGTACAAAGAAGAGCACCCTTTTGAGAAAAGGCGGTCCGAAGGCGAGAAAATAAGGAAGAAGTATCCGGACAGGGTACCAGTAAGTAGCTAACATTAGCTTGGTCGCGCTATCTGTGTTGTTAGCAAGTTGACGGCTAGCTCTCAAGCTTTTGTAGCACTGGTCTTATTTAGATAATTTTTCGTGAAACGTAATGTTCGTACTTAAAATGTAACTATACGTATGTGGTTCAGTTTTAGTTTTAACATATTATTTTTCTTCGTAGTAGACGGCCACGTTAGTAGACGCTAGAGGTTACTCGGCCGCACTGAAGAGGCCAGCTAGTGAAAGCTTCGTGTAATCCTTCCGTATGTTTTAATTTTAGCGAACTACTACTAAATTGCAAACAAAGACCCCAGATAACAAAGTAAAATAACCCTTCTCTAGTTATAAAGTCTGTGATAGAAAGTGAAGGTGTGTACAGACTGATTCTGGTCTGATCGGGCGGTTGGGTGTAGTTTTAGGCTGTATGCTGAGACGATAACAGCAGTGCACCTTAAAATAGTTGGTGTCAACAAACAGGACACTTGTTTACGTCGCACTGGGTCTTGTAGATGGATTATTTACTCCATAACCTTTGGCCACTTGCCATTAAAACTAACCTAACAAGACCGTCTGGGTCAAAACTGTCAGCAAATAAATGTGCTTTGTGCTTTCCGTAATGTAAGTACAACCGCAGCCTAGTTTCACTGTCTGTCATTTTACAGCTGTCATTAGTCATGGTTTGTGTAAAACGTGATGTATGGCTTTAACTAACGATCTGTTTCCATTATCGATTGATCTACCTAATTATTAATTAATTAATTTGATCAATGTAATTACGTGGAATAAAAAAAAAAATTAATGTTTTGTGTGACCGACAGTCCAAAACCCAAAGATATTCATCTTACTGTCATGATGTAAGTAAACCAGGAAACGTTCACCTTTGAGAAGCTGGAACCATTCAATGTTTGCTTAAAAATAGTTTTAAAGTTATTGTATGTCCACTGACTAATTGTTCAAGCTGTACAATGACATGTTACTGCAAGATGTGTGTGAAACTAAAAAATAGTTTCATTTTTCATAATGTAAATGTGTGTACTACATAAGTTTCGTTCTGATTGACTTACTACAAAATACTGAGGAGTTTTTCAAAATATAGGCTACATCTGGGTTAAGTATAATTCAGTGCTCGCTTGAGTGACCATTTCTCAGATACTCTTTCTAAGAAAGGTGAAACATACTACTAAAGTACATCTGACAAATGCAGCCCTTGTTGAGAGGAAAATGCGCTACATTCATCTGCTGAGGACATGTTGTGCAGTAGTTGATGTATTTTCCTTTTTTAGGTAATCGTGGAGAAAGCCCCAAAAGCCAGAATAGGAGATCTGGACAAGAAGAAATACCTTGTCCCCTCCGACCTGACAGGTAAATACTGAAAATATATACATAAAATATATTAATGTTATAGTCACATTTAAAATTTCTACAATCTTGCATCTTCTTTTTTAGTGGGCCAGTTTTACTTCCTCATCCGGAAAAGAATCCACTTGCGAGCTGAGGATGCTCTCTTCTTCTTTGTAAACAACGTCATTCCACCCACCTCAGCTACCATGGGACTGTTGTACCAGGCAAGAGTCTTACTCATTTTCTACCTCACTGTCAAGCTTTTAGACTGTGTCTTCATCTGCATGATGCATTCCTGTTTCCTACCTGCAGTAAAGTGAGCTTCCTACTACATTTTTAATATGACACCAACATCTTTTTTTCTTCTCTCTTTCTCAGGAGCATCATGAAGAGGACTTTTTCCTCTACATTGCCTACAGTGATGAGAGTGTGTATGGGAACAGCCAAAGGGAAATCTGATCCCACTACCATCCCCCTCCAACCACTACCCACCTTTCTGAGACCTCCACCATTCATTCATTTGAATATTAAATCCAGCTCGGCAGCCTAGAGTTCCCAGAGTAAATATGTCAAATGCACTTTCACCACCCATTCATTACCCTTCTCCCATCCATTTATGTCTTTATTATTCTGCAGTCTGAATTGTATTTACCTCCACTTTTCTTTTCAGTAACAACTTGGGTTAAGTGGTCTTGTGGCCAGTTATTTTCTAGTCTCATAATTGATCATATTTAACTGAAAACCTGAGAGAGATTAATAAAATAACATTAGGTATAGGCCGTAATTATAGTTACTCCAGGGTTAAGGGAAGAAAGGCTTAGTATGTGAGTTCAAATCAGCTCTTACTGGCAATGAAGATAGTTGTAGGTCTACTTCTGTTGACTTGCAGGAAGATAAAGTGTGTTTTGAGTTTAGGTTAGTGTAGTAAATTAATAGCATCCACCAGCTAAAGACAGATAATGTTGTCTCTGGCAGAGTAAAGGATAACTGTTTTGCAGCAGTTCTTCTCCTAGAAAAAAAATAAAGTGGCTAGGTTATTATTATGTTTAACTTACCAGTCACTGAAGTCTGTGAATGACAGTTTAGTGTGCTGCCCTGCATCTGACCCCAGCAAGGAGTATAATAGAATTCAGACTAAACAATCATCTTCTGCTTTCAGTGGTAAGACTATTCTGTTGACTGCTACTATGATTATTGTTGTTATTATTGTTAATTTTAGATGGCTTAATTTCTAAAGGTATTGTAAAGCTGAGTGCAATTTTCTCTTTTTTTAAGTTTGTCTTCTTTTTTTTTAAGAAAAAAAATAAGATTTGAACTCTGTATACAGCTGCATTACTGGCTCTTTCTCTCCACTCATGACCATACATGATAAAATGTGATGAAAAGCTATCCGTGTTTCTTGTCTTTATTGAATATCTTGTAGCATTGAAAAATTCTTTTTTAGTTTTTCCTAGTGAGATACGCATTCTTAATGAAAAGTGGTAGCAATTGTAAACTGTCCTGGGAGATCATATATTCTCCATTTATTTCAGAAGTTAGCGACAAGTCAGTTTTATTTACATCTCCTAAAGCATTTGTCTTAGAGAGTGAAATTGTGTACAACATACAACCCCATGAAGTGGAGATTGGTTAAACCCTCCTAGCCTTTCTGACAGTATTTGCATGAATTTCCTTATCAGCTACTGTGGCTGCTCAAATGTGTCTTTCCAAGCTATGCAAGGCCACTTGTATTTTTTGTTTCTAGTGTGGGAGGCTCAGGATCTACTTTTTTTCTGTCAACTTATTTATAGTATTAAATAAACCATGTACAAACTTGGAAGAAAGCGAGCAACAATAAAGGTAGAGAAATCAGGCCTAAGATATAAACATACACTGTTTATATATATATAAAAAAAACTGTCAGATTGAATACTAACAAAATTTGAGGGAGAAGTACAGTTTTATAAAAGTCATCTCTGGTATGATTTTTAGATTTACCCAGTGATATGATCAATTTATAAGACCCAGCAAGTGAGTATCCAGGTGATTTTTATTTATTTTTAAAGATTGTGTCAGGATATGAAAATGGTGGCACATCTTCAGCATAAGATCAACTTTCACGTGTTTTGTCTGCCAACGTGCCCGTAGTTACTATAGGCGTCGTATAAAAGGGGAATTTGGACGTTTGTATTTGTTTATTTGGACAAGTGGTGACGTATCCGTCCAAATACGATATAAACTTCAATTCCCAGAATGCAATTCAGAGAAAAACAGACGTCTTTGACACCGGAAGCGAAACCAAATCACCCGGGTTGAGAACCTCTTAGTCTGTTTATATTTTGTTGAGAAGTTTTGATTTTATGTTGTTTAACGGCCCCAGACACAGTCCAGTGGCCTCAAATTGAAAACCGCAAGACGGTTAGGTTCTTATTAAACGACTCACAAAGCGACAAAAGTAAGATTTTTGGTACTTTATCACTCCACCACGCCAAAGTAACGTTAGAATAGATGCCATAAAATACGTAATGTTGGCGCTAAGCAGCTAGCTAACTTCAGTTAACGTTTGCTCTCGGGCATGTTTAAAAATAATTAAGTTGTTGCCGCTGATATTCATGTTAAAGCTTTGTACATCTTCATATTAAATGTATACAATTCTGATTGATGAATTATACTATAGTATGCTGTCAGTTAATGGTAGCTGAAGCTAACAATGCTAACTTAGCAGTTAGCGGAACAGCAGCTAGGCCTGTAGCATGTTACACCTGTGTTATTTCTACCGGCTATACTACCAGCGAAATATAGACAATACCTTAAATGTAATTTATATATATCTTGTAACCTTACACAAGTTTTAAACTGACATTTCGTCCTACACCAGCTGGCCCCTCCACTGCCTGTCACCATGCCCGCCCTGCTGGAGAGACCAAAGCTGTCCAATGCGATGGCCAGAGCCCTCCACAAACACATCATGAGGGAGAGGGAGCGCAAGAGACAAGGTGTGTGTGTGTGTGTGTGTGTGTATGTGTGTGTGTGTGTGTGTGTGTGGGTGTGTGTGTGTGTGTGTGTGTGTATGTGTGTGTGTGTGTGTGTGTGTGGGTGTGTGTGTGTGTGTGTGTGTGTATGTGTGTGTGTGTGTGTGTGTGTGGGTGTGTGTGTGTGTGTGTGTGTGTATGTGTGTGTGTGTGTGTGTGTGTGTGTGTTAAAGACTGCTTTGCAGTGGACTAAGTTGACAAAGTCAGAGGTAGAGGTGAACAGGTTTTGTACTTTACTGAACTGTACTGGGCATATAAAATGTAAATAAGGACTCTGAACTCTGCCGCCCAACTGCAGAATATGCCTCAGCATCTATTCATTGCTCTCCAAAAGATGCAGCCATCTGTACTGACAGAAATACTATGATTGTTGTGTATTGTGTAATATGTCATGTTGTTATCTGTGTGTGCGCAGTCAAATCGAATCTTTCAGTATTTCACTGTAGTGCAATACAGTATTTAAAGGTGTAATATTTTTTCACATCGAGAATTATCTTAATAGCTTTTTTTAAGTAAGGGACTTGAATACATTTTTCCACCACTGAACAACATGAATATCATTGTTCAGAGGAGGAGGAGGTGGACAAAATGATGGAGCAGAAGATGAAGGAGGAGGAAGAGAGGAAGAGGACAAAAGAAATAGAGGAGAGGATGTCCTTGGAGGAAACCAAAGAACAGGTTGGAAAAAAGATGAAAACTATGTAGAAGTTTAATGTTTATTTGCGGTCTGTGCTTCCAATTCCACTCTATGCCATTTTACCCTGAGTTTAGACATTATATATGGTAACAATATATGACAATCCCAACCCCAATCTAAACTTCAGGTAATGAAGATGGGTGAGAAACTTCAGGGACTCCAAGAAGAGAAACACCAGCTCTTCTTACAGCTCAAGAAAGTTCTTCATGAAGAGGAAAAGAGACGCAGAAAGGAGCAGAGGTAGTGTAATTTATTTAAAATTCAGTCATTAATCTCAGGGTTTTACTGAGGTATTCCTAGTATTCAGCTTCATTTCTGTGACTCCTGTCTTCTTTAGTGATATCACAACACTGACATCGGCCAGCTACCAACCCAGTTTGCCCATGCATGCAGGGCAGCACCTCCTCAGCATTCAAGGTGAGATACATTTCAGGTTCTATGCATCGCCAGATCTTATCTGGGGTTATATGGGAAATTATCATTGTCTTCCATCATTAAGATCAGTCAGCTGATCCTTCTCTTTCCCTCTCTCAGGCAGTCCAGTCAGCCACAGTCGACCTGGTGCGCTGCTTGGTGAACGGAGCAAACAGCTGTTCCCAGCTACTGTGATTCCAGTAAGTAAAGGAGTGTTTTAGTAAAGAGAGAAATTTAGACACCAGTCATTCTTATCTCCTTGTCCTCCTCCTCTTTCAGACACGTCACTATCAGACGCCTGGCTTCAGCTCGGGCTCAGCAGAACACGGGCAGTTCAGTGGGGGCCAAGGGGTCCATGAGCCCTATGGGGTGGCCCAGGCCCAGCATCCCTCCACCTATGCCCCTGGACCATCTGTACCTGTCAGTTTTGCAAGCAGCTCTCAGATCAGAGGTAGAGGACATGTGTCTGTTTAAGCGTGAGGGATCACAAACCATCTGTAATAGTAGAAAACATGCAGTTACATGTTCACTTGTGCTTGCTGTGGTATATTTAGAGATCAAAAATTTGAACAACAGCAAAATGAGGTGTAGTGATTGTAGTGAGACTCATTTGCTCTTGTTCTCCCTCAGGTGCGTCTGCGTTTCAGGCCATGCAGTATCTCCCCCACCAGCAGCCCGGCTACCCCGTCCACAGTCACTTCACCTCTCAGCCTGGTCAGTACCCCGTGTTCCATGTGCTGTGTTGTTCTTTCTATGTATTTAATTCTCTTGCTACAAACCTCTCAGAGCTATGACTTGCAGTCTAAAATAAATTGCAGCGTATTTGTGAAGTAACCTACATGCAGGCTGTGCAGATGCTGCAGACGCTTTAGAGGATAAATAGTTACTTGTGTGTCTCCTACAGGATACATCCCTGGAGCAGGAATACCCCTTCAGAAGCAGCTGGAACATGCCAACCAACAGTCAGGCTTTACTGACGCTGTAAGACCATTTCACATTCAGATGCTTTAATGAAGTCTTGCTGAAGGTCTATAAACATTACCAAACAGAGTTTTATATTGTGGAAAATTGTTATTTGCATTCCAAAATACAGTGATTGTGTGCACATCTCTGTCTGTATCTATCCAAACATGTCACAGTCTAAATAATTGAGTTGCAGTTAGATTGAAGTACAACTTGTGCTTGAAGTTGTACGTCCTTATCTGATTACAAATGTCTTTGTTCTGTGTCTTGCCTCACAGGGTGCTTTGAGGCCTATGCATCCACCAGCCATGCATCCTTCTGCTCCCGGACTGCTGCCCACACCCTCAATGGCGGTCCAGATTCCCACTGCTAAGGTGAACTCCTAAAACACACTCAGCTGATGATGGCGAATTTTGCCGCACTTCTGTCAGTGTTGCTCGCAGCAGAATTTTGGAAATGAGTGTATTTTAAAAGTTTATCACGCAGTCCTTTCAAAGTGCAACCAATTAGATTAGAGTGAACCAAAAATCTTAAAGATATTAAAAGCATCTAAGAATTATCCATGAGATAATAGTAAAAACGTAGTGTGTTTTTGGCAGTATGTCCATGCCAGCAGTTTGTGTTGTGTTCATTATGAAAGAAAGTCTTTGCTTGGTAAACTGAATTTTTACCTAGAAATCGTTTGCTATGTTTCAAGTTCAGAGAACTTGATCTTCCAACCTTCATGTCTGCACCAATTCCCTTTTCACAATACACTGTCTATACTGCCACCATGTGTTTCTAATCACGAGGTGCGCTGCATTTACTGAAAAAAAAAAAAACCCTGCAAAAATGCTTCTCAAGGCTTCTGCCTCAGTTGTCTTGTCCTCATGTTGCTCCATGTTTCCATCTCCAGGCCCCGTTCCAGAGCTCTCCCCAGGGTGCTCCTCGCCACAGCTTCCTCCCCCACAGCCAGAGCGGGCAGAGGTTCTACCACCATGGCAAGTAACTCAGTCACGTTCACCTTCACTGTCGCCAAGGTTTCCCAGCTTCCCTCTAGACTCTGGAGAACCTGTTGGATGAGTAATGGATCGGCCTCGTCAACAGATGTCATTGGGTTGGATTATGCCATATGGTTTGATGGGTTTTTTTTTTTTTTTTTCCTGTACAGTATTTGGTTTTTAAGTTGTGTTTTGACTTTGTTCATGAGTGATCAGCAGTCCTCATGTTTCTGTGCTTCTGTTGACATCCAGTTTTGATTTTTGTATAACTTCAAATGATGTTAAGTTGTAAAATAGCTTAATATTTTACTTATACTGTAAAGCCATTCTGGAGGTGCTTTAGTGCACTAAAATGTTAATATCTTGTATAAAGCCAGACTGCATGAACCAGAGCTTATTCTTTGTATACTAACATCTCATCATGACAACATCAGTGGAGGGTTGAGTGTCACTGCAAAGACTTTGCTCACTAAAAATAGCAAAAACCAGAATAGAGGAAAAAAAATTCAGCAACACTTGAACTGTGGTTGAATTTAGAGTTTGTGGATTAAATCAACCTGTTTCTGCTAAGGTCACAAAAACACTGATGAACACTACTGTAACAGAAACACATTGGTTTAACCGAAACTCTATTTCAGTGTGTTGCTCATTTCTGGTTGATCACATTAGACCCATTAGGGTTGGTTACCAAAAATTAAATCAAGATGACCGTGGTCGTGACACAGTTATGGAGGATTTCCAGTGTTTTGCGTTGTCCTCTCAAGCATAAATCAGGTTTAAGTCAGTTCTGTTTTCAAACTTTTATGTTGCAAAATAAAACAATAAGCAAACGCCACATCCAACAGTTTGTGTCATCTTTATTTTTTTTGGCCATGGAGACATTCTGCACAGTTCGGACTTGCTGTTATGAACACAAAGTAAGGATACCAAACTGCCACAACTTGTCTGCCTCTTGAATCATTGCTCAAAGTTTGACAGCACGCCAAATAATACTCTAGTCATTTCTCCAAACAGCTCTGTGTGAAGGCCCGGTCTGAGCTCTCTGCAAAGGGGGTTTTTTAAGAAGCGAATGAAGTTAGATTGAGGTTTGGCTGTAGGACTTCAAACAAATGAGAATTTGTGTTGTCGGAGCAGGGTTTTGTTTCTCTTTGACGCTTCACACCTTGAGACAAAAAGAAACTGAACCTGGCTGTGCCATGTTGGTAACCTTTGTTTAACAGACAAGTTTGAGGTGATGAAATAAACAGCAAAAGGACAGGCTTGTTCAGATCAACTGCCAAAAGAAAAGTGCCACACAGAAAAAGACAGAACCTAGTCGCCTATTCAGTCCTGTACGGCACACACTCTGAACAAGCCTCAACAGAACAACGCAGATCTAGAGTTGAAGCCCTTGATAAAACAGGGGAACATATAAAAAAACAAAACAGACATTATCACCACTTTTCTTTCCCCTGATGGTAGGTAGCTACTGAATATTTGTAGACCTACTCAGTTATGAGTGAGAGACCTTCCTCTCGTCTTTTTACATCTGTACGCCTGGCCTTAGATGTGGTTTCATTACGTGTGAATGTACATATAGATTTTTTTCCAATTATTTATTAAAATTCATCTCTAATTGAACCCAAAAGGAAGGTCAGAAAACAGAGTGAGGGAGAGAGAGTATGAAAAACGAAGACAAAAAGAAAGAAAAAAGAGGGAGAATAGCATTGACGAGGCAATATCCCCTCCTTTTCCCCAGGTCCAGTGCATCTCGTTTTGCCCCTGAAACAGAATTACAAGGGGGGAGGAATGAGAAGAAAAAAAAGAAAGAAAAGTCAGAAACCAGAGAGGGAAGATACTTGAGAAAAACGAGAGAAACATATTTTAATGAGACAGTGAGTGTTTTAACTGTCCTCCACAGAGGACACATTGCACAAACAACAGCTTTAAGCATATTTTTTGTGGACACTTTAGTCTACAGCCCGCAGGTTGCAGGTGAGAAAGTGCAGGAAAGAAAGTGCATAAAACAGTTTGACCCAACAGTTACAACAACGCTACAAGCCGTTTCTTAGAGGGAAATACAGGAAGCAACTGGCTATATCAGGCTGTAAATTGAAGTGCAACCCACAGGAAAAAAAAAAAAAAAATACAACATAGCTCAAAAATACATTATGAACTTTAAGCTTTTGTTTATATTCGATAGTGCTACGTAAAAATGATACACATGCTCGTAATAGTGTTAACATGAAAGAAGACCGTTAAGGGGCAGGCAAATCCGGAGTACACACTGCTCAGTAACCGTCATTTCATACAAGCCTCAAATTTTCATGGAATTAGTTACATTTCCTCAATTATAAATCTTTAAATTTCCGCTGACCACTAATGTCCAGTTCAAACAAATATATACACGTAAAACATAATTATGCAATGCAAGATTATGGGAAAACATGGATATTTCCAGTATAGTCGATACACTTAATTGTAAGATTTTAAGGTGGCATGTCCTCTTTCTTCTATAATACCGAAGGTAAAATCTAAACATCACGACTCGGCAGCAGCCTTGGATCTCGCTGACTGGAGTTGCCTCCCCCTTGCTCCACTGATGAACAATAAACTATACATGACATCACACACACTTGCACTGGCATGGCACATGCTGGTGGCTTGTGGTGTAACATCCAAACACACACACACACACATACAAACATTATTTTACATCACACACACACACACACACACACACACACACACACACACACACGCGCGCGCACACACACTCTCCTCTTCAGGCAGGCTTGGGTCAGGCTGTAGTTGGGGGAGGGTGAGAGGACAGCTGCGTGTCGAAGCAGCTGTAGCTCTGTATTTACCTGCAGTGGCTTATTTACCGAAGGCTTTGATGCCAATTGCAGCTTCTTCATCCATTGCATTTAGAACGGTGATCTGAAAGAGCAGAGAGGAGTCGGGACAGAGCGGCTTTGTTAATGTGTGTGACGTTTGGTGAAGACGTTTTCCTCACACTTCCTTACACAGTTGATCACATCAGAGACAATTTCATAGCCCACAGATTGATTCCTTTTTTTGTCAGTAAATTTGTTTTATAGTAATCATTTCATTCTCTACAGCATTAAAGGGACTATTTGTAAGTTTTCTCTGCTGCCGGACATGGTTTCTTGCCGGGTGTTGGTGGTGGTGATTGTCGCTTGACAAGAGCTTCACCAATCTTTGTCTTTATAATACAAGATGGTTATAATACGCCTCCTGAGCAGCAGTGTTGCTTTCCACCGCTGGAGACAGCTGTTGGTGAGTAAAGGAATGAAGTTTGATGCTGAACTTGCAATGTTTCTTCTAGACTGGTAAGTAAACAGCTGCTAATGCTAACGTGGGCAATGTAGCAATAGTGAAACTTAAAAATATCTCCTTTCAAGTTTGTTCTTTCCTACATTTAACATTTCACATGCCACACCTAACTGCACACTGAAGACTTTAGTTATGATGAATGCTATTCTGATTGACCTGACACCAAACTGTCTCTTTGTAAACCTAAAACAATGGTTGACATGCAGGACAGACTTTTCTAGAAGGGTGAACGTTTTTTGGGGATTTTTTTTGTGGCGTTTAATGTGACTGCTTCTTACCTGTTACCTGTAGCAGGCAGCACGCTTGTTTTCATGTATTAAGAGTCCAAATATCAATATTAATCCTGGATTTTGAAATCATTTCAGCTTCAACATCCCAGATCAGAGTAAATATCAGTCTGCTGAAGTGCAAGCGTGACGATTCTTAATGTTACAAGATACCCTGTCGCTCTATGCACCAGTGCAACATAGAACCAAGAGCACAGAGCAGAGAAGAGCATCAAGGTGAGGTGACAGTACTGACCAGGATCTCCTCTCCGGCATCGTGCTTGCTCTCTATCTCTTTGCCCAGGTCTCCCTCAGGAATCTTGAGGTCCTCTCTCACCTCCCCGCTGTCCTGGAGCAGGGAGAGGTAGCCATCTTGGATCCCAATGAGCTGTACAGAACACAGGGACAGGAGCATGAGAGAGAGGAAAAGTCGAGAGGAGTCATACACCAACAATACCATTACCCAGACTATTGAAGTTAGTCTTGCTTGTTCCCCCTGTGCTGTGACTGTGTGGACTCGTAGGGGATACACTTTCTAATCTGAATGACTGCAGACATGAACTTCCTGTCATCAGGTTATGGAAGCACTGGGACTGTGTGGATTCACTTCTATTGGAAAATCCTGCACCATTTGCTTTTCATTTTGGCGAGCTGTGACAACTCCACTGCACACAACATGTTCCAATCGGTTTGATCAGTTACCTCCGCCTGAGTTGAATATCAGGTTCTCTTCATAAACAGAGTGTAATGAAGATGAGGCAGGCCTACACTGAAATTTCCAAAATCATCAAGTATCATTTTCAATGAAGCACATGATGAATTTGAGATAAGATGAAATGACAATATGAGCTTTGGTAGTTAAACTGTCATTACAGTTACAATATGTAACTTTTAATGTCTAAACGCTGAACAGCGTCGGTGAAACACAGATTTTTAACGAGACCTCTGCGGATAATTCAGCTCCTGAGTGACTGACACTGAAGGAATCCAAACCGGGGGAAGCTGACAGCAATGGTGGTGATGTCAACAACTCCCATGACCCCACACTAATTCACAATGTCACCCAACACTGTCTTTTGTTATTGTTTTGATTGAGAGAGCAGTAGCGGCAGAAGTTACATACTGTGCGTTTAACTGACTTTTTGACAACCTGGGCTTCAGTGGAAACGATCTGTAAGTAAACACACCGCTGACATATTATCACCTTTTAACTTGATTTGCACCTGACAAATGTTACGTCAGATATCCACTTTCCACCTCTCCCCTCAACAGCTGAAGGAAATATCTGGGTCTTTAGCTGCTAAATGCTCCACTGTGTTCACCAGCTAGCCGCTAACTCTGTCTGTCTGATGCTTGGTGCAGGGCAGGTGGTGCGCAGTGCACTTTTGAGCGCTCTGAAAAACAGCTGCATACTGGATCTGAAAACAACACTGATGACAGCTGTGAGACCGAACCATAAGAGTAAAGCCAGAGACCGTAAAACCAAAACAATGAGCTGAAAGACACTAACCGGCAACACAACACTGAGGAGAACTGCGGCGATGAGGGAGAATTCTCTGTCACTCTGTCACTATGAGCGACTCCTTCCGCATACGAGAGGTATTTCATTTAGACGTGGTCATTTGTGGTCAATTAAAACAGTATCATTTCCAAAAGATGACCAGCATTTTTCCCTGCACCAGTGTTAGTACCAGTTGCCAGCTGCTTCTGTTTCGCTCTTTGTGTGTTTTCACACCCGTAAAGCTCTTCTCACCAAAGAAACTCTTTGTCATCTAATAACCATGGGGCTTTTCTCAAATAAGCATCCAACTGCCAATTGTCTCCCAGCAGCCACGTAGAGTTATCTCTTGCTCTTATTAAAGACCAGATCTTATTTGTGAATATTACAGTGATAAAGGCATCACTATAATTTCCCATTTATGACAAATAACGCATTCCTCATAATTGAGTCCCACTTTTCCGTCACATGAACGCTCACATAGCACAACAAATGTGTTATTGTGGGTAATTAGTGTATTAGTTGTCTGTGGTTTGTATATCTGTTGATCTAGAGCCTCGTGTGGCTCCAGACCAAGCTTTGAGAATTGTAATGTTACATAATCTGACTTCATGCTGGAATGCTGGAATGATCTGAATGTGTAATAGTATGAAGAAAACTTATGTAACACTGTATTTTAACTATATACTAGGTAACAAGTCAGTGTAACACCAGTCAAGACCTCCAAAAGATCTCGTCTGTCCTCACGCTGTCTCACCTGGTAATCCATTCTCTTGATGTTGGGGACGTCCATGTTGTGGGTGGAGGGACAAATATCTTCATACTTCTTACCAGAGAAGATGTCGATACCAACCAAGTGCACCTGCACGAGCAAAAGACAAATATTGAGAGGATGAAGCAAATCCCAAAACAAAGTTTACACTTTAGAGAAAAAATAACATATTTGTAATTTGCTATCAACCATTTTTCCAAGTGTATCATCATGTACAATTCTATATTACATTTTTTTCAAATAGTGAATATCTTTTTAAAGAGGAAAACTGTAACCCATCAGGGACACATTAATGCTATTGCACAGACTGAGAGTGGCCATTAATGTGCATTAATATTAATGAGTGTTTATTGCAGAGATAAGTGGATAGATAGTAATCCCTCACAGGTTGATAGGTAGGTCTTTATTTTATGATAAACCATGATATAAAAAACATTTTTTTTTACATTTCAGTTATTTGTCTGAGTCAGGCCATAAAGCGCTGAAAAAAAACTGTCCATTAGCTTCATTAGTTTCAAAAAGTTTTTCAACTACAGTTTGAACTGTCTCAGCACTCCAGTAATTTACTGACCTTAGCGTGGCCGTGCTTGCCAGTCTTGGAGGTGGACATCTCAACGATCTTGCAGGGTCGACCTTTCAGCACAACAAAGCCATTTTTGCGCAGGGCCGAGCACTGCATTGGGTAGGTGGCGGATGCCCCGGCATCACCTGTCTGGAAGTCCAGCTCTGCATCTGCCATACCTGCTGTGGAGGCCAAGACACAGGGTGCAGATATTAATATATGTTCGTAACTGATTCGGGGAAATGGCACGGTTTTGGAGATGTATTGATTTAGTATAATGATAGAAGACCAATTTCTCAGTTTCTCTATGATACCAACAATACTTTTTCAATACCTTGGATAATATCTGTATTTTTTTTCTACAAAACCCCTTTTTTATTGAACAAAATAACCAACTTTGTGAAATGTTTAAGTGGTCGTCACACCATAAAACAGTATAAAACTTGCAAAATTGTGACTTAGTAAATATATGATTAAAGAATAAGAAAATGAGCCTGCAAATCTGACCAGGTGTTCATACCAGCTTTAGATACTGGACAGTTTTTGATACTTGCTCTGCTATTGTATCCACATTAATGTCTTTTTAGATGACATCTTATTAAAACCACAGATTTACATTAAATAACTAAATAGCCACAGTAAATATTGTCAAACATATTGTAATGTTTCATTTTTATCATTACCTTCTTACTCTATGAGTGGTGTTTACCAGGGCTGATATAACTTTATACTTTCAGGTCTATTGTGGTAACACACACTGGATGTGTAATAGGATTTATAGATCACAGAGTAAGTAGTATTTATGCAAGTTAGTCCATGATGAAGCAGCCAGTGCTGCCTGGTGAATATCTGTCACGTATGTAAGGAGGAGAATATGGAAATGTGAGAGTTGGCTGCTTATGTGAATTAAAGGTAAACACTTTGATCCAATGCTGCTCAGCACCGGGCAGAGGAAAAACACAGACCAGACAGGGCTAAATAAAGCAACAGAAACATGGCACCTGTTAGCCCAACAATAGTCCAACTGTAAAAGATAAACATAACAACAAATATAACTGGAGTTGAATGTGTAGCTGTGGTTTTAACTATCAGTGTTTGTGCCAAACTATGCCTCACTTAACCACCAAACTTTTGTCACGGGGATGCAGCTCAGCTACCTGCCACGAGTACAATGTAACTAACAGCAGCTAACTCACAATATCCAAAGACAAACACTAGATATAGAGGAATAGCAAAGTTATGGGCTTTACTGCTCAGTTGGGCGGATGGTCACCGGGTAAAACGTCAAACCAGGGGCCGCTAATCCACACTAAAGTCCCATAAATAAAATTTCAAACCAGGCGTGACTCCTCTCTCCACCTCTCATGTTGTTAATTGGACGAGAAACGTTAAATGTGGGAGCCAAATGTTACAGTTTAGGTGACACCCCGGGGGCAGTGTGTTGAACAGTATGTCCGCAGTGGTGAAAAGAAGGGGCAGACTGCGGCCTAGTGCGTACACTACGTGCCACGGCCCGTCGTCGGTAACGTGTACGGTCGGTGTCCCCGCATCCATGCGCACTGACTGCGCTCAGGCCGAGGCCCTGCTGATAAAGAGATTCAAGTTCACAACCCAGAATGACAACCTCTGAGGCACTGAAACCCTCCATCATGTCAACATGGACCTCCGTGTGAACGACCCTGGCTATTTTAATCCTGCGCTGGCCGATAACACGCCCACACATGATTGATATAACTATGGAAAATGACTTGAATTTTGGCCCGCTGGTGTACAGTAATGACTAAGCTAATACTCGCGATGGCTACGACGTGCACCAGCGCATTGAGGAAACAATATCAGTTAGTTTAATCATGTTTTGTGTGTTGAGGTTAGAGCCGGTGGCATGTATGTGAAAGCAATGGAAGTCGTGCTAAACGTCACATGCAGCCAGGTCTTGCAGGATTTGCAAACTTAATATAACGACAGAGGCGAACGAGTCGGCGGGTATTTTTTTTCCATTTTAGCCACCAAGTGAGAATGAAGCTCCGGTTAGGATGTGATAAGTTAGCTAGAGCTGCCAGTGGTCCTCTAGCAAAACAGACCGCTGTTGTTACTTCATGGGGGCGTTTAAAGGGGATATATCATAATACAGCTTCAGACAGACATGTGCATAGGATAACTCGTCTGCTCAGGCGCAAACACGCCCCGTCTATTGGATGTTTTGATAAGGAACTTACCCTAGTGATAATAGCTCTCTTGTCTTGTGTTACTTATCAGCCTTTCTCCCTTTAATTCCACCTCCTCCTCTGTGTCCGTGCTAACGGGTTTTCTGGCCGGGGTCTGTTTCCTCCTCTGTGGCTCGTTTGTGATGTCGCGCTCCCTTTTTCTTTTTTGTATTAGCTATCAGCTATATCTTTATTCCTCTTTCATCCCGGGCGTTTCCACTCTGCTCTCTTCTCCCCCCGGTTTGTTGTAATCCAGACTGCAGTTTACCTCGTCCAGAGGTACACTACCGTTAAAGTCAGCCGCCGGGCCGAAAAGAATCAGAGCCCTGGACCCCGCTGTGTTTGTACTGTCTGTTGCCTGCACTCCACCTTCTCGGTCTCTCCCTCATCCAGCTCCTCACCACTGTCACAACATTAAAACAATCTAAACATTGCACTTCCGTTGGATCTGTCACAATAAAATCCCATCCTTAATTGATGACGTTACTACAATGTTATTTTAGAGTCAGTACGACAGACCTCCCCGAACTTCTAGTTTATTTTAGGCCTTTATTATCATTATTATTATTTTTATTAAAAGGATAGTTTGGCAAAATGAATGAATAAATCAAGGTCAACTTACCATATTTTCATGGGCTTTCAACTGCATCTAATGGTTTTCATCGGAGTACTGTGTTGTTGCAGTTGTCATGGAGATAGCTGTTGCCATCACGTGATGTAGTTTGCAAAGTCAATTAGTAACATTCTTGAGTGTGGATGTTCAACTATATTCCAGAATGTATAATTGTATAATACTACTACTAATACTACTAATAGCCTACTGCATGTATTCTAGTGTGTAGATGTTACATTCTATTCCAGAATGTGTAATACAATGTAACTACAGTGCAATGTGTTCTAGAATGTAGAAACGAAAGTAAAAGAGTCTATACCAATATAAGAGTTTTTTTTTTTTTTAAATGTAGGCCTGTATATATGGATTAAAAGTTTTTTTAAACTTAATCACACAATATATATATATACACAATTCTTGCCATTGATCTCTTATATTAAAGCAATCTGACATATACGTGTACCTTTTCTACTTATCACAAACTGAAAGAGAGTTAAAGTATATTTTGCCTGTTACCCAGGTGTACTTATAAGTAAGTAAAGGATTTGAGTGCTTAAGAAACATAGCTGTTTATGCATGTTGTCTTTAATTCAGAAGCTATATTGCCATTTTAATTTAGATACACCCTTTTAGGCATTTGCATTCAAAAGTGGACGTGGATTGAAAGACTTTTTGAAAGAAACAATATATTTAGGAAACATTACTACAGGATAGAATGGGTGTTTTGTCATTATTCTTTCAAAAATATAAACATCTGTTCCATTAATTGTCATTATAATACTAAAATGTAAAAAATAGGCAAGGTCTTTTTTTTCCATAACTGATATAAAATTACATACTTTTACACTGAAAGTGAAGTTGCAATTTTTCCGGTCACCGTGTGGCTAACTTGAAAGATCTTGATGTTTCTTTCATCCAAATGCCAATGAAACAAACCTCGCAAATTGGTACGTTCTGCGCATGCGTAGCTGTTTCACTCTTGAGTAGCATGGATCACTGACTTATTTACGAACTGTTCATAAACGTTATGGCACGTGTGTGTTGATCTACTCAGGAACCTTTACAGATATTTTCACAGGTTTCTAATATAGCCTACAACTGTGGAAACAGTAAAAGACTTAAATTGCACATAGGCTATTCCTCACCATGACCCATGACCACTAGGCTACTATAAACAAAAAAAAAATTACATTTTCAAATTATTAAAAGCTTTAACATGTTCATGTTATTTATATTAGTTTGAAGAATAAAGAAGTGTTAAAATTAGTTTTGCTGTCATAAGTCACACATGGCACAGTTTTTGTGCACCATGTGTGGTAAATACAGACTCCAGTGCTTTACTTGCATATCATAGTAGAACATTTCTCATCCAGGTGCAGTGTACTGAAAGTATAAGGCAAGGATCAGAGTATGGACAGGACTTTCCATTCACTAAACAAAAGTTTAATAAACAAGATCGAAGTATCTCTTCTTATGATTTACCGTTTGAAAACCTTCTTAATCCACAGTGTTGGTGCTGTCATCCTGTCAGTGTGCTCCTCTGCTAGCTGTAATTCCCTCTGTTGCTGATCATTTCTACCTTCCAATTAGTCTTTTTTTCTGTCCAGAGACCTATGGCTTCCGTGCTCAGCAAATGGTTTCATTGAATTTGGCAGTTCTTAGAGCGGCAAGGTTAAATTTAGTGCTGTGAAACTGGAGTCCTATGACCTATGTGCTGAGGGCTGCAGTTAAAGCCATAGTTAACCCCAAAATGAAAATTCAGTCATCGCTTTCTTAATCTTATGTCACCTTAAACCTTCATGTAAGGCCTTCAAACCCACAGTGAGCTTGTCCCCAGAACATTATAACAGCCTTCAAAAGCTGAAGGAGCTATTTATTTGCAGGACAAAATAATCATAAAATGTCCCCAGACAGCAATCACATTCAATATGGAAGTTAATTTTAGAATGAGCTATTTCTTCACTGCATAGCAGCAGAAAACCAGAGGCTGGGGTGAGGAAATTAGTTCCTGATCAATACTGTCTGTAATTACTCAGCAAAGCAACAGAGCACTGTTATATAAACTGATTACCTTGTAAATTACATTCAGTCTGTTTCTCACCAGTATAAGTTAGCCCATCACATATTATCGTAAAATTAAATGTAGTCACATTCCCTGACTGATTTTTGTCAAAAATTAAAGTCCTACTCATAATTACTATGGATCCAGTCACCATGTGTTTTCCTCTACTGGTTGAAAACAGTATTGGTCTCATTAACCTGTTCAAAAGGAGGAGGCAAAATTACATAGATCAGTTACTTCTCTGTGATGGTCTAAACACACTGATTTAGCTAAAAGAATTAGTTATAGTATGTCAGGGGCAAAATGCTTACACCTTTGCTTGGGGTAGAAGAAACTATGTTGTTGACAGTTTTGTACTAATTTAGCCCCCAATTTATACGAATAAACTGAGTCAAATATGTAACTGAGGGAACAAAAATCTAGAGTCCCCATTAACTTGAATATTATGAAATGCTTTGACAACTAGATAACAAAAATTCATGCAACACTTCACCAGCAGAGGTAGGTGTCAAATTATTCAAGACTGTATGCTGTCATATGATTATTATGATGGGTATGTTTAAATATGTATGTTTATTATGGCATGTGCTAACTGGGATCCTCATAGTAATAAACATTAATGAACTTTAAATCTAGGATTGATTTGTTTGACAGGTTTACAGTGAAGTTACTCATCCATTTGAACCAAAGTCAAGTCATAGCATCATATTTTATCATATCATAAACAGTAATCCTGTAACACAGCACATTCACACTCATAAATGGTCCATAAACTAAGAGCAATATAAAGAAAACACCTCCCGTTATAAAATCAGGCTCCTCTCATTCTTACCTGTTCTCCACCTGTCAATTTTTCCCTCCCAATTTCCAACCGCGCCCAGCCAATCAAACTCCAGCTCGGGGTCTCGTGAAACCAATGAGGGCGCGGCTTCTGTACGACAACCCGAGGGGATGTCGGGATAAAAACTTAGCCGTGCTCGGTAGAAAAGTTTCGGGAAGAGCAGGAGGGAGGGGACAGAGGAGTAAAAGTGTAATAATCCGACAGCGAGCATGACCGACGCCGAGGCGCAGAGCGCTCCACCATCGGCACCGGTGGAAGACAAGCCACAGCCGGAGAGGAAAGTCATAGGTGGGTACAGAAGAAGGTGCTCCTGGTTCAAACTTGAGTCTTTATCCGTCAGGGAAAGTTTTAAACCACTAACTTTTGTCTGAATTCATGTGCGTCTTATCATATGAGTGAGATGAACAGATTATGCTGTCGCCGCAACAAGTTTTAGGCATTTTTGTCTCACTTATGTAAAAATGAGCTGTTTTATGTGTGAAACTTGATTATCTATTGTGTCAACAACGGCAAGGTACCGTTAAGATATGTCGACAAATAACTGTCAATCACTCCTTCCTTTGACACCATGTTGTGTTTCATTTCAGGAGGAACACGTGTCCTCAGTTTTACGCATGGGTTTTGTGTGGCGCAGCTATATCTATCAGTGAAGTAAAACCTGTGCTGTGAACATCAACATGGAAGCAATTAATCTGGCCAACTGAAAAATTAAATTGTTTGATTTGTCACTCATAAATGCGTCACTAGGACATGACTACTTTTCTTTACGTGTTTTCGTGCGTTGACGTTAAATTCTTTAAGTTAATGACAGTTTCTTCTGTAAGTGAGAAGAAGAAGAAGAAAGCCATAGCCCATTGTGCTGTAGCTGTCTGTTAACAGTGTGAACACTTGACCTAAATTTCCTCTTTATCAGCTGTCGCGCGCTCCAAGTTGCACACGCGCGCCCCCTCACAGGTGCAAATCATTATAGTGAGAAGCAAACGTGCCAATTAAATGCCTTTTTAGATGGTTTTCAAAGAGAACCGCTTGACTCAGCGATGCAGCCGTGTTGTTTTTCGGTGACTTGTTTTTGTGACCCTTTTCTTTCGAGGTGACAAACCGTGTATCTTTGATAGCAGCCCTCCCTCGTGACCTAGTGCAGACCTGGTTTCAAAGTTTTTACTGTTAATGATTGACGCACATTGCTCTCATTTCTTGTTAGCGAGGCTGCCATTGATACAAGTAAGATAACGGTATAGTCTGTGACTGGCTGTATAGCAATATGTGAAATGTTATAGGGTATCTATTTAATCATGTGCTACCTGCTGTTGCAGCCACCTTGGTCCAAGGCACAGTGAAATGGTTCAATGTGCGGAATGGATACGGCTTCATAAACAGGTACTGCCTCCTTTCAGTTACTTTAGGTTATCTACATATTTACATTACTTAAGTTTACTAATAGAATAATTAAATATTTTTAATTTAGGCCCCATGTGTCAAGCTTACTAATAATGATTTATTTCTCTTAGGAACGATACTAAAGAAGATGTATTTGTTCATCAGGTAAGATGAGAGAATTGTGTGTATTTATGTTATATAGCTGTATGCCATCCTTTTGATGTTTACTGTATCTCTGCAGACTGCTATCAAGAAGAACAACCCTAGGAAATTCCTCCGCAGTGTGGGAGACGGAGAGGTCGTAGAATTTGATGTGATTGAAGCAGCCAAGGTAAGAATCGTGGAATCCATGTGATAATATGGTGTTAATGCAACAAATTTAAATATCTGCTGATGTTAAATTTCTCCATATTTTCCCTGTCATTGATGTTCCCTCAGGGCTCAGAAGCAGCCAATGTGACCGGCCCAGGTGGTGTTCCAGTCAAAGGGAGCCGCTATGCACCCAACAAACGCCGCTTCCGTCGACGGTTCTTCCCCCGCAGCCCTCGGCCTGGTGACCAGAGCAAACCAGCAGATAGCCAAGCCACTGTTGAGGGTGAGGGATCAGGGGAGAGTGATGGAACAAGACCTCAGCAGCGCCGTCGTAGGCCCCACAGACCACGGCAGGATGCACAAGATGTAAGCAGAGGGATGTGTACAACGGAAACAACAACCTGTAGAGCTTGCTGAAGGACATGGCTGTGGGGTGGATACTTTTTTATTTTTTTATTTTATTTTATTTTTTTTTATTCTTTATCAACCTTGAAAAGAAGTGTATGGGATGGTGGGGACAGGATATGAATACAACCTTTGGTAAAAATGAGTATAAATCATGTTTTCTAATAAAGATAGTAGAATCACAGCAGAATACAATTAATGAACAACTGTGGAAAGATCGTTTAAATGTTGCAATAATTACTTTAAAGGGAGGGATACAGCTGAAATCCACTGAGGAATTGTTATGTGGCAGACCAGTCTGAGGTTTTGTTACTTGATCTCTGTCAGGGTGAGTCTGGAGAGCAAAAGAATGAAGTAGCAGAGGGTGACCAAACGCAGCGACCGCAACGGCGTAGATTCTGGCGTCCGTACCGCAGGTGACTTGACAGCACTTCCTAAACTTCTATAGGTTTTAAATCATTTCCACTTCTGGATTCCAGGAATTCAGAACCGATTGAATATTGTCTCTGTCCTGGGATTCGCAGACCGTTCCGGCCTCGCCCACATTTTGATCAGGGTGCAGATGGCGAGCAGGCAGCTGCTCCAGAGGAGAGCCAGGAGCAGGGTGAGATGAAGCAGACGGAGGCCTCTGAGGGCCCACAGACCAATGGAGAAGCAGCTGAGGGCCAGAAACAACGGCGCCAGACTAGACGCCGCAGGCAAAGGAACTCGGAGTCATCTGCCTCAAAAGTGAGTATGATTGTTAATGGATGGTAAACTGCATCCAGTGCTCTGTGATTGACGCTTGAGCTATTTGGACCCAAAAGAATCCAAGTGACAAAAATTCATGGAATAAATGAGAACTTGCCATTAGAAATAATTTTGCTGTTGTTAGGAGACAAAGTTTCCCTGCATTCAGCCTTGAAACAGAATGTGATGTCAAGGAATATTGACCAGAGGTGTTTGTGGATGAAAGTAGTTTAGCGACATGTATTTTTAGTATGGCCCAAAACGGTCAGTCATTGACAGTATAAGGTACAAACCATATATTTGTAGTGTCACTGTTTCAGTTCGGGCTGTGGAACACTTATTGCATGTTATCCCTTTTTTCTATCAATGTGTCCTGTCTCAGTACGGTCAAATACCAAAGGCAAATCTACTTTGTTCCTACACCAAATCCTAAAATACATGAAAAATTATCTCAAAACTGTTACTGTTGCATGCTTGAGACAATCTTTCTGCTTGCACACATTGCAGAATGATACAGAGAAGTCTGCATCAGAGCCTGGTACCCCCCCTCAGAATTCAAAACCAGCTGACTTGAAATCTGCATCAAAATCACCAAAGGTTTCCCCTAAAGCCTCTGCAAAAACACCCAAATCACCTGAGGTAAGGTGTTAAACCTCTGATTTTTCCCTCTTTTGTATTCTATTATAGTATTTGTGTGTTGTGATGACACAAATATCTTAACTGTCTGTCCCCACAGCAGGCAGCTGCCACAACAGTCCCAGCCCCAACAGAGTGACGTCAATGAGAGGACAGTCACGTGACCCTTGGCAAGAGGTGGGACCAACTTTAATGTGGTGCAACCCTGGGTCAGGCGGGGTGGGAGACATGAGGGTGTAGAGTTGCACTTCTTGTGCTACACGTCCCACATTGGCTATCTTTTACAGAGAGCAGGATGACGGACATTAACGGGCTGTTGAGTCAAGATAATGGATTTAAAGTGGAAAGGACTTTATGTCGAGTCTCTAAAGACTGCGTACATTTGGACTGAATCTTTAATGCAGGGAACGTTTTTGCTCAAACTCTGGAAACCTGGATTTAGATTAATATAATCCTTGTTTCAGAGTTAGACGTGTCTTTTTGTGTCTGTCTTTCTTTCAATCCCTGTGTCTCCCTTGTGTTTTTTTTTATTTTTTTTATTTTCATTTTTTGTTTTGTTTCTCATAGGTCCTAGGGTTGGAGGACTGGACCTATTTCAGAACACATGCACTGCTCTCCCCTCCCTGCACTCCCCCATCCTCCAACCCACCTCATCTCGCTGTCATCCCCTCAGGCCCCTTCCCCCCTCATCTTGTGTTGTCCTGTCTAGACGCTGTGTGGAGAGGAATGGGATAGGGAAGAAATGGGATATAGGTGGGTGGTGGGTGCATGTTTAGAAATTAAAAATACATCTTGAAAAAGAAAAATGGGAAAGAATGGACAATCTGCTTGGTAGCCCAGTTATTCCAACCCCACTTTAAAAACTATTTTCCTTTAATTGACCAGATGGGGCACATCAAGTAGTTTAGAGGAACCAGCCTTGATTTTTATTTTAACTTCTTAATTTGGTTGAAGAGGGGAAAACCAAGCAGGTGTGAGGTTGGAGGTGCATTATGGGAGTCAGTTTAGTTCTGTGACCACCTCAATCGATTCTTAAAACATACTACTCCCTTCATCCTCCTCAGTTGAGGATAGATTGAAAAGAAACTTTATTTCTCTTGTTTTACTTATTTGTGCATGCTTTTCTTTGGAGGGGATTATGTGCAATGTCAATACTTAAAATGTTAATGAATAAACCATGTTTGCAAATCTCAGGATTTAGTCCTTATTTCTTGTCTAGGTTGCAGATACAGAAACTGCTTTGCAGTTTTTGCCTTTGCATGTTTTTAAGAAAATTCGATTACTTAAAGAATATTAATGGTCACTCATTAATGGAAGTGTTTTCAGTAACATTATTTACAGTACTTGCATCCTTTAGTCACAACATGACCACAGCATCAATATTCTCTCTGTACAAATTACAGGTCCTCTCTGAACAATCTCATTACAAATTTTCTTCAGAAGGTAGTGATACACACCATTAAAAGAAGACGGCAAACAGCACACATGACAGATGCAGGAAAAATACAAACATGATGCTTGTGTGATACAAAATGAATCTACAAGAAGATCTCTTTACAGAACCTTTAAATTGCACATCTTGCTCTAGTCTGAGGCTTCTGTTTACAAAACTAAACACCAACTGGAGTGCATAAAGAATTGAAACTTTTAGACCCTCACACCCTTAAAACTGTATCAACAATCAAACGACACACTATATGTACAGATGAAGTACTAAAATAGATAAATATTGTTTCTTTTTAAAAGTAGCATTTCTACATGTGCAACAAGTTTCACAAGATCAGAAAAATACTTTGTGTTGGCACTTTGCCTTAGCGTAAGCTGGGAATGCACCTCACGATTGAAACCCCAGTTAGACAATGAAGACTTTGAGCCTGTGTTTTTTTTTTTTGTTTTTTTTATCCAAAAGATCGTCAGGGGGAATTAGTGGGTCACATTGGACAGTTGGCATAATATTGGAGTTAGGGCTGTGTATCAGAAGTTTGTCTAGTCATGTTCAAAACCTTGAGCTTATAGGTACTGAAATTGTATTTTTCAGATACTTAAAGGAATATAAAAATGCTTTTCCACAAACCTTTTTTTTCATTTACAAAAGAAGCCACACAACTAAAATAATCCCGCACACTTAGGGTTTAAACCTTGTTCCTTCCAGATGAGTTTCAAACCATTGACAGCCACTAACATCTCATTTATAAATCAGAACATGATCTTGTAGTTGAATTTTACTAATGACAGAAATCTGAAACCAATGTCTCACACACTCCAGTGTGTTCCCAGCTTTCGTACAACATATGCAAGTATACTCAACGCTGTGGCTGTATATTCTGCTTTTTTAACCTAGCTCTGAAAACTTTGGATGTCTTTGTAGATAAAGTGCAGGAAATCCTCCCCTCTCTCCACCTCTGACAATATTGCAACTGAGTGCATTGCATAAAATCCTACCACACTGGCAGTCAATGCCTCAACAGTCCAGACACCTTCTCCTTATGTGCATCATATTCCTTGAAATTACATCTTCAGCTTTTACTCTGTAGGTTTTCAGACTCTGTCAAGGCAGAATTCTTAACTATTTACCTTGGATTGCAGTGGCACCAGCATAGGACAAGTCCAAAACACCCAAATTGTCACACACCTTTAACACTGCTTTGGCACCACAATCTATGAATATAACAATAGACCTCAATATACATGTCAATAAGATTTTGGCATCAGGCCCATATACACAGTTCATCCCAGGCTGTTCTCAGTTCAATCTCTCATCAAGCAGGGACTTTTCAATTGATACTTTCTTCCCCCAAGTAATCCAGCTCAGTGCTGGGCTTGTCCATGTCCATGTCCATGTCCATGCCCATATCCATCATTCCTCCCGCCGAGTGCTCGTGGAAGTTTGCTGCAATCTGGTCGAAGGTCTTTCCCCGTGTCTCTGGCACTCGGAAGAATGTGAAGATGATGAAGAAGAGGAGGAGTGCTGCGAAGATCAGGAAGCTGTATGCCCCACAAAGTTTCTAGGTAAGAACGGGAGGAAATCCAGATTAAATTACATGAGGAGGAGTAAACCTTGGACATCATCAGTAGTTTTTGAGGAAATCCATATCATCTGTTTAAAGTAAAAGATACTCACATTAACATATGGGAAACACATGCCGATGATGAAGTTGGCAGTCCAGTTGGAAAAGCCGGCCACAGCCATTGCAGCCGGCCTCGGACCCTGAGAGAACAACTCGGCTACAAAGAACCAGGGGATGGGACCTGGACCCACCTCGAAGAAGGCAACAAACCCAAAGATTGACAGCATGCTGACGTAGCTCATCGAAGGAACACTGTCCTGTCAGGTGGAAGAAGACGAGGTTCAGAGGTTTGTGGAGATCCGCAACAGTACAGTACAAGACACCTGCATCTTTGGGAGACTGACCAGTAAAACAAGAGCAATCGTCATGATGATGGCACAGACGCACATTCCTCCCAGTCCTAGCATGTGGAGTGTCCGTCGACCCATCCTCTCTACTAGGAAGAGCTGTTAATAAGAAGAAATGGTGGAACAGAGCCACCAAAGTATTGGACAAATTAACCGTTTGACCTGATGATGGTGCTGGATGAAGAATCAGGGCATCATCAAAGTTGTTACAGCAGATTACAGTTGAGGAGGACATGAACGTTTGTACCAAATTTCATAATAATCCATCCACTAGCTGTTGAGGTATTCAACTATTCAAATTCATTGACCCATTTAATGACATTGAAACATCTTGAATTGCCAAACCAAACTTGTCCTGTTTGGAGTCAGGAATGTTTGAGAGGCGGGCACGGGAAAAAACGGTGGCCAGCCTCCTCTGTTATCTTATTTACTCTTTGATAACAATGTTAAACAGTAAGAGAGACCCACTTTGGTACATGGCAGGATTGTAATGTTTATCGTACTAAATTGAAAATAGATCTAATGCTTAAAATTGAATTCTTGTGTATCAAGAAAGAGGGAGCACATCAAAAAGGCAAAGGTGAAGGCACGGTGGTGTGATTACTCACTGAGACCACAGTGAAGGCACAGTTTACCAAACCAGCTCCTATGGTGGCATAGTCCGCACTCTGCACTCCTGCTTTTCTGAAGATATCAGTGGAGTAGTAGAAAATCTGCCAGAGGGTAAACAAGATTAGATCAATTAAGTCAATATTATACTGCACTGATTCCTGTTTTTTTAAGTGACTTTCCTTTTGGGGACCTTAAATTGTAACTAATAAAGTAATTGTCTAGCTGTGGATCACTCACAATAACTAAATCAGTGTTTAAAGCAACCCCAACTCACTGCGTTGATCCCAGACAGCTGCTGGGAGAGCTGCAGCAGGATGGAGATGATGGTGGGCTGGCGGTAGAGTGGAGAGCGAAAGAGCTCCAGGATGGACACCTTCCTCTCCATGTCCATTCTCCTCTTCTCCTCCTTCATCTCTGCCAGCATGTCGCCCACCTCCTGCCTGCCCGTTAACCTCCTCAGGCCTGCACAAAGGAGGCATGTAAGGAGTGAGAGTCGAGAAGTGTGAATGGTCGGCTAATATGTTCTTACGAGAACCCGTTTGAGTTTTAGGCCTCCTGTGAGAGGACCTTTTGGCCACCACGTCTTCAAGGAAAATTCAACTTGGAACCCGCAGAGTCTCTAATTCGTTATGGAGGGCGGACTTAAAATCCTACATATACAGACAGTATATACATTTAGCCCCATAAACGTTATATAAGGTGACCCAACAGTGCTTAAGTAGGTCAACAGATAGCTGGGTAATGTACTGTAAGTGATTAGCTAGGTGAGGTCCAACCATTGTTGTAAATGTAAAGCTCATTCAAAGACAAGATCAAGACCTTAAAGATGTCTCGGGCCCGCTCACCGCTCTTGGCGTGGTGCTCCTGGCAGCGGACGATGTAGAGGAATCGGGGGCTCTCGGGGCAGAAGGGAAGAAGTGCCATCTGAAGTACAGTTGGTACGACGGTTAAACCCATCAGGACAGGCCACAAGTCCTCACTGCCCATTAACGACTCCAGACTGAGAATCTGCACAGGGAGAGGAACAGGATGTGAGAGCTTAAGACTTTAAAAGGTACCATAAAAATATTTAAACTCAGATTTACACTTATCCTTGTTGACACAATGGAACGTGGAGGGACAGAAAATAGGACAGTTCAGAAAGATCTGTAAACCATCAACATCACAGTGTGCTGTCGTACCTGTGCAATGAGAATGCCAGTGACTATGGCCAGTTGGTGCAGCGTGCCCAGAGCCCCTCTCAGACTCGTGGGAGCAATTTCACCCACATACATTGGTGTCAAGCCTGACGCCAACCCTGCAGAGAAGAAAAGTCAGACGACAGACGAGTTTATCAGAGTCAGATAAACTCTCTATTAAACAGGAGCATGGTCTAACTTTGAAATACTTTCCTGTGATTTTAAATTTGTCAGACAAATACACAAAGAACGGAGAAGCAGACTGCTCACCACAGAAGGCACCAATGATAAAACGTCCGAAGATCATCATTTCAAAGGAGCGACAGAGCTTGGACAAACCCATCATACTTCCACCAATGAAGGCCAGCAGATTGTTTATGAGCATGGCTTTCCTCCTGGAGAAACACAGATACATATATTTGGAATTATGCTTCTCAATCCTGACTCTGAATCCCATCAAATATGATTTAAATCTGACCTCTGTCATTACCATTATCAGTGAGGGCCTTTTTAATGACATCCATGAGTCAGAGTGGGTGTTACATTTGAAACAAAAGTCTTAATGTGTCATCCAGAAGATTAACATTAACTCAACCACTGTTAATAGTAAATTAACTTCTTTGAGTATTTGACAAATTTTGCTATCAAAAATTAAAATACGTTCTTATAAAAACTATTATTGTCATTTAACAAATGATTGTTGATAACTTATGTTGGTACATTTACAGACTGGAACCTAAACCTTCCAGGTCTCGATGTTTGTCCAAAAAAATTTATATAGAACAATTAAAACAGACATTTTTCCATCAGGATGATGAACATTATGCATAGGGCAGCTTGGTTGATAGTCTGTAATTGCATATAAAGATACAGTGTAGTGGTGGGTGAAGAAGTAGACATTGAATACAATGTATGAACACCACGAGAAAAAGATTTTACTTGTTTCATAGATTCAACAGGACATTCCTCTTTTGTCCATGTAATCGCTGTGTCCTTCTGCCTGCACATGGAAAGCTAGTGATACTTTACTTCAGCCTCTAGGGGGCAGTGTCACACAAAAACACTGAAGGCTTCAGTTAGTCACCTGATGCCTGACTGAATCTACAAGTAGTTTCTGTAAAAAAAAAAAAGCCAGATGATGTCAAAGGTGCAGGCGGCTTTGACAAGTGGATGCAGAGAGAAGTCAGTCAGGGCTCCCACCGAGGTTAATCTGAACATGACAGTGAAACAGGACTCGCTGTTTTGTCATCAATCCATTTTTTGAAGATATTTTTAGATCCTTATCATCTCAGTCATGACAAAGACTTGTGCAGAACAATGGCTAGAGCAGCAGTGACAGAGGGACCTTTACTAAAAGACTAAACAATCAACATCGAGGTAGTAAAGACCCCCCCACCCCCCAAGACATGTTTTAAGACATTAAATCCAGAACGTGTTAATATACACTGATCATTTCAAAGGTTTAACTGCTGGACACAAGATGTCTCCTCTTGCCTTTTCCATTCTCAGCGTATGTGCACTGGAGGCGTCAAGTTTCCACATCACTCTTATGTAAGTTACAAACTGGACCATGATTGGTTTCTAGTTGTGATGTGACATCATTCTACACAGGCAAGCTCAAACATTCAAGTGAAGTAACAGGCGAGAAAACAAGTTTTCACTATAAATGGTAAACGCTCAGCGCTCCTCCTGTTCTCATCTCATTCACCAAACAATAAGACCTAGTGTTAAAGGAGACGTCCGTGTTCACAAGAGATACAGTTACATCTAAAGCACTTTGACCTCGGAGGTCAGAGCAGTTGCCATCGTCGTGCCACCGGGTGACCCCTGCTGCTGCTTCTTCTGTTTTTATTAAGGAAGACCTTGTCCTGAGTGCGCTCAAGCTGAATGGGTTAGGGTTCTCACACACACACACACACACACACACACACACACACACACCCCTCCTGACCCAGGACTGTCAGCTCTGTTAAGATCCCCTTTCAGTCAGTGGAAGATGTAGGCTCCAGTCCAGTTTGCATCCCAGCTCCGGTTACAGCGGGAAACTGGGTCGAGGTGGAACATCCTGAATGACGAAACTGGACGTTGGGATCCATTTTGGATCTACGCAGAGGTGTATGATACTCATAGAGTTACCCCCTGAAATGTTTTACTTTATTTTATTGTCCAACACAAACTGTACTCAGGATGAATTCAGCATTCAGGAAATATGGTCCAGTGTCAGTGGCAATTTTTTTGTTTTGTTTTTGTTTTTGTTTTTTAGCTATCATGCATTTCATTGTGCAAGTATAACGTACATTTTTGATGAATCCCAACGTAATTTGACATGGTTGACTGTCAGGACTATATGAAATATTTTCAGTGGTTTTCATGAGTTTGGGTTCATGTAACAAGACACAGGAAAAACTTTCACTTCTACAAGAAAGACCGAAATTAGAGAGATGTGACATCCTGTTTCCCTACCTGCCCAACCACTCAGAGACGAAACCCACGCAGAAGGAAGAGAGCATGCCCCCAATGGGGAAGATGGCCACAGACAGGGACCAGAGGGAGGTGAGGGTCCCTGTGGGGATGGGCTCTCCATACCGGTGCACCCATGTAGCGTTATAGTCCTCCTCAATGATCTGTACAGGGACGCAAAGGTGGAAAATTAATTAATTAATTAATACTGAGAATTTTCCAACAGCAGGTCGTCCCGGTAAAGGATCTGTTGCAGGAACAAAACAATTTCCGTAAAAACAAGGTAAGCTGGGGTTTGGAGTTTGAAGCATGTCGTCTGTTTGAATATCTAGGGTGCCCTGCAGGGTTTGTTACAGTCCTTTATCCCCTCTGCTGTTTCTTTCCTAAATATATTACATTACATTACTGTGTGTATCCAATTACATGATTTATGTTATAGATAAAGTTTTTTATTCATGTATTTAAAAAAATTCCACATAAAAGCTCATAGCCTTCAAATGTTTGAAGCTTTGAGTTGATCCGGGTGTCGAGCTGCTGCGTACACAAATGAAGTTGTATTGAATTGAATTGAGCTGAACTGAAGTGAAAATCATTTAGTAAATATATTTTGTTTAAGCACACTAAATATATAATAAAAAATAACTTAATTAACCTTTCTTTTTTTTTCTATGAGAGGAAGATTTACTTACACACTCTTATGCACACACATAGAAACTGACCGGGCTTTTGGTATGTGAGCAGGAGCTACATTCATAAAAATGTAAGTGCTTTATTAACACAGCAAAGTGGATACTAACACAGAAAAATCCATATGGAGGATGCACAATGCATAATGCAAAATCTATCAGTAACAGGCATTAAATCAAGAATTTCCTGTACAATTTATTCTGTATATTAAAATCATCTAATAAAAGCTTGTCGAAATGCAGCACACACATTAAAACATGGCAGCTCCACGTCTATTCTGGTTTTGGTGTCTCTGCGGATACGTCAGATGAGTGGAGTTTGCAGTTGAGGGTCAAGGGAAGACATCAGCAGATGCCTGAATACCAGCGGCCAAGTCACCTGGACTTGGCTCAAGTACATTCATCTCATTTGAACGTGACTTCATACTTCAAATACACAGACAGTGACACCGTGTGTGTGCATACAGCAACACCCGGCAGGGAACGAATCACTTAAGACCCCTCTCTTCATGAGCCGGACAGACGGACATCTCCTTTCTTTGCTTTACTCGGACACACCACCCGGCTTTTACAGTCCTCCACTCTTAAAGATTAAACGTTCATCTTACTCCTCCTGCATTTATCTCAGTCACAGTTTGCCTCGAGGCAGCGTGGTGGGGACGTTGTTAGCATCAAACACACGCTGTTGTAAAATGAGGGAATATTGAGAAACAGAAATTATCTTGGGATGTTATTTGTTAGTTTTGAACGTCAGTGCTCGGTTTGAACCTTCTGAGGTGAATTGATGACGCCGATGTTGTATCCAAACTCCAGAGATCCCAGCACAGCAGTGAAGACTGAGAGAGCGAGGGTTCCTGTCACTGTCTGGAATAGAAACACACACGCAAACAAACACATTTAAAGACGTAAACAAAACATTTCAACCTATTTATTTTCAGAATGGTGAGTAATGCTGAGAGGAAAAGTTAGTAATGTCAAATAATAAGAGAGCTTAGAGCTTAAGTGGACAACTGGGATTGGTTTCAGTGCACACACACACTCATAGCCCTGCTCCACTAACATCAACTATATATAACTGTGATGCTGATGAGAGACAATCTCTCCAGCGCTGTCCATGACTTCACAGGCTACTTTACTGTTGATGCCTGAACTTTAGCTTCCCCCCAGTTTCCCATCACGCCCCGGGCACCTGTCTCCACGGTGACAGACGAGACGACCTTGGAGAGAGGAAGTCTTTCCCTCCTGCAAAGCGTTTTAAAATCTCAAAAAGCCATTTCATAAGCAGCAGATGAGACTTTTGTCTACGACAGAAAAGCCTGGTGATTTTTTTATGGTGATTTTATCAACTTTTGGAGGACTTCAGTTCCAAAAAATACATCCCCATCACGGTAACAGCAATGCTTTCTGAAAGGCTGACATTTTGATGGAGTCACCTGACAACAACAATATGACATGGCTTCAAACGAACATTTTTAAAGTTTGGTCCTGGGTTTGAGTGGCCAAAATTCACCTTCCCATTCTACTGTGTTCTTTTCTATTCTATTCTGTGGATCATTTTTGCAAAGCTGGTGTGAGCTAGTGTGTGTCAGTAACACTCTTCCTTGACCTTGCTGTGTTGAGTCTGTAGATAAATGCTGTTTAGTATTCATGAACCAAAACAAAAGGGTGTGTGTTTGCCTGTGTGCACGTGTCCTTGCAGAAAGGTAAAAAAAAAACAAAACATTAGAAGCAGCCAGTTATGCTCAGATTAACACTTCATGCCAACTGTGTTTCATCAAACCTCCCTCACAGCTAAATGTGCAGTTACTCATTTATTTTTCACGTATCAGGTATGAATCTGTGTTTGCATTTAAGAGCCTGGTTAATAAATATAACAACTCTAATAGAAGGACAACGCCAAAACACAAGTAGCATTTTATCATTAACTTATCCTCTCGTACAGTTTAGTACCCTTTTTTCCTCTATTTGAGTTTCCATGCTTAAGGGATTCATTTTCCATTAAAACCTCTGAGCTAATAGAAGTTCCCACTGGAACGTCAACCTGCCCGGACACAGACTCTGTGACCATTTTATCAGCAGTGGAGCAGCTTGAGAAACTGTTGTCTTGATGGCATCACAGATAACCGTCCAAAGAGAGATTAAGCCATCATGAATCAGAAGAACATCACCCTTAATAAAAAATGACACCTGCATCCATCTAACCAAGAATTGATTCTTCAAAGAGAGCTGGATGGGAGCATACAACACAGGCATTGTTTATGAGGGCGGTGAAGGAACCAGTCAAACTGGGTGGCCTTACAAACCCACAATACTGAGCTCCGACCTGTAAACTGAGATATTTTCCTGGTCAAGGTCATACTCAGAACTAAATAAGGGCAAGAGCCCGGTCAGACCAGGGCTGATGTTAGTTCTTCCTGTTGAGACTGACTCATACTGTATTAGTTGTTGCAAGGAGCCTATATTTATAGATTCATAATGTTCTTAATTTTTCATTATCTTAGACTCTAGGTAAATTACAATAGAGGCCATTGCTTTACATGTTTTCAACGCAGAGGCCCATATTACACCAGCTATTTTAAAGCTGGGAGAAATAAGAAAGACTCGTGTCAATTAATGTCATATTATATAATTTTTATTTTAAGATTACTTTTTGCCAGAACAGTCAGTTAGATCTTGCTTATTTATTGGATTGTACGAGACACACTGCAATTTGGCACAACGAAGCCTACAAGTTCACGCACAGTTTTTGCGCAAATACGGAGATAAACCCGTGCGTAAAACCTCTCCAAATGAAAATACGCAAAATTTCGTACAACTAATCACGTCACTTTTGTGAGTCAAAAAGAAGCGTAACCGCATTTATGAACTCTGGGAAGCTCACTAGAAAAACTTACCTCCCCTCCGAGTTGATGAAACCCGGCCGGCATGACTTCAGCAGCTCCAGACACCAAGTAGCGGTCGGAGACAGACGCGTCTGGTGCCAAATGGAGACACGTGAAACTCCGCCAGCAGGACAACAACCCCCGACTTTAACCTAGAGCCCTTTATCGCCAGAAACGCGTGGAAAAGTAAAATCCAAAAGGGAAGCCCACACTTGTCAACCTGGTGCGTCCTGTCCTGCGGGGTGTCCTCCTTTCTTGTGTTGTGTCCGTCCAGCTGGGATAGAGTGACACCCGCACACCCACGTGCACACCTCTCTCAGTATTCAGAGGGAAGGGTGGGGACAGGAGGTGAGGAGGAAGGGCGGGGTGGGGGTGGGGGTGGGGGGTGTATGGGTAAGGTTGCTACTCAAGAGAGGCCCCGTGGGCCCGTGAGCGACAGAGGACGCTCTCCTGACCTTAACTACCATTGGCTGAAGATGCAGAGCATGTGGACAGGAAGAAGACCAAGAGAAGACTGGTGGGATCTAACAGACATGGTGTTCTGGCTGTTCTTATGGTGCTCAAGAGATGAAGGATAGAAGTGAGATGAGGGATGTGATTACATTTTAAGAGTCCTGGTTAAATCAACAATTATTCATCAAGGGCTGGAGCTCATGGGCTTTGCTGAAGGCCAAATTTGGTCTCAGGGCCCAGTTTTATAAACCATGTTACATAAGGTGGACTGGCCTTTTAAATAATTATAAACTGTAGGATAGATACACAACAGAGGCAGACTGACAAACCAGAACTCAAAAAGAACCTCATGTACAAAGACGAGATGCATTCAACTCTTTTTTTCCTCCCTCATGGAGTGCAGGATTTACAATTATAGTTTAATAATCAGATTTTTGGACCCACAAATCTCTGAAGCATCACCTGTTAAAGTAAAATATGTGCTGGACCTCAGACGAACCCAAGTCAGAGTCCAACCAGCCGTGACTCAACATTTCTCAGGGGCGGCAAAGAGGGGCTCGTCTTTGACGTCCTGGTTGCCATTGTCTGTCTTCCCAACAACCATAAATCCCTTTCTATTTCAGATCACATGCCAAAGAGGTCACACACCACAGCTCACCCTGTTCCACAAACCCCCCTCCCCCCTCTGTTGCACACAACAAAGCTAAATCCTCTTCCAGCAGGCAACAGGTGGACCCTAAATTTGAGCTGTGCCACCTGAGTTGGCGGTGTAGGCGTGGTTAGGGAAAGTTTGGGGCCGTCCGAGGCGGAGATTAGGGGGTGTGTTGTGGGAGGGTTGAACTGGGCGGGAAAAGTACATATCTGCCAAAGAGCTCAGTGGAAAAATATCTGCTCTAGATCTCTCAATAAAAAGATGTAAGCCCAGCCCTTGCAGACACACCCCCCCCCTCCCACCTCACACCACTCGCTCCTCAGCCCCTTTGCCTTTTCCTTTTGCTGCCCTCATTCGCACATTGAGAAAGAGTGGGAGAACCTGACACCCCTCATCCAAAGCCAGGGGCCTCAAGCGCAGTCATGTGTGTGTGTGTGACTCTGACTAAATGCAGAGAAACATTACTCCATCAGAACAGTGGTGTAGAGCCCCAACCAGCATAGTTTAAGGGTTCATGTACGCAACGAGGAACAGACAGAGATAATATTACATTTCCAAAAGGTATCACATCGATTCACACAGAGGGAGCCAAGAGCAATGATAGAACCACAAGACAGAGATGGTATAAATACGCTCACACTCACAACCATGCAAAACATTTTTAACCAGAAACCCCTGTTGAGCCGTTTCACAGAGCAAAAAGTCACCTGTGTTGTCACCAAAGTGGAAACTAGTGCATGTTTTACTGTTATCTGAAACAAAAAGTCACACCACCACACACACATACACACACACACACGCACACACCATGTGACTGCCCTTTATTGCTCACCCAAGTGATGTAGCAAAAGAGCCTGTGCAAATACTATTCCTCCTTGTCATGACCTGCCTATGTATGTGTGTGTGTGTTTGCACATGTGTGCGCGCGCGTGAGGTAGGTGAGGTCAGCTGGTTCAAAATCATGTTACAGTAAATGGAGTTGCGTGATGGACAGCAGGTGTTGCACTGTAAGGTCAACGTCGGCGCGTGCGAGGCGACATTTGTACCAAAAAGCCACATGACTTCAGTTGTTTGCTGAGAGAAAAATGATGAATTCTTATGTTCACAAACCTTTGAAACAAACATCAATGATGAGGGTTTTAGATGCTATGTACATATACTTTATTAAGTTATACGTTTTTTTTATGTGGTGGGAAAAGTTTCAACATTATGTGACCTGACACAGTAGAGAGGTGGAATAAACTGTTATATCACTACGTTCAAAGAGAGTAGGAGAAGCACATTTAGTCCATAGGGGAAACATTTTATTATTACTGCCAAATAATAAATGAAAGTGTCTTTCTTACATTAATTAAAACTGTAATATATACAGTATATACAAGACTTTAAAAAATGTTGAACAATTGTCTGTGCTGGCCTGACAATATATAAATTATTCTTCAAATAATACAGGCCCACTGAGACCAAGTTCCCATTTCACATGGACTGGCACTAAATCCAGCATGTAGCTCAGGCTATATGTTTCAGCCTTCTCACGGCTCCTTGGGAAAATCGTGTGCGCAGCATACGACTCAGTCTGGCTCCACACAGCAAAACACCTTATGACTGAATTACGATGAACAGAGGAAACCATGCAGAAAGACTACCAGGCTCAAACAAAAAGAAGGGCAACTAAATGGATCTGTGGACTGGCTTCGAAATATAATGATCAGCCAACAAAATCACAGATAGACAGGAAAAAAGTTCAGTCTTATGTATGTAGATCTTTGCCATATGCCTGCAGGCAAGTGTATCCAAAAGACACAAAAAACACACGCACACATGCAGCCTCTTGCACACTACGAGAAAATATTAAATTTCTCACAGCATCAGATTCACTAAACCATTTGCACCAATGTTCTAATTATGCAAGTGCTCTTTTCTCTGTCTGGCCTGCTCCTCTTCTGTCAGATCTCACTATTGTATCTATATGTAGTGCCACTCAGGATCAAGTTCACAGTGGACTCGTTGGCACCACACATGCACATTCACTCAAAGGTCAAACGGCCACGAAGCCCCAAAGTGGCACCGATAACCGCCATGCACCCCAAGAGATGGACGAGAACCAACATTCAGCACGTAGTCTTTGGATGTGACTCCAGGTGCCAGCTCAGGACAAGAAACCAGCAGCGTGGTGGCATAACCGGAGTCGTGTCAGTGAAGTCCTCCTCTGCGTTTCTCTGCAGCTTTCAACCCAGTGGCATAGAAGTGTATCTTACCAGCAGAGGGGCATTTGAAGGGTGAGAGGTGACATCATCCAGCCTGTTGGAGCAGATTATGAAATCAGGTCACAGTGTTGAAAATGTGAAATCAGATGATTTCAACTGAAACTGTGTTTTTTTAAACACAATCCGAGCGCAATGTAAAGGAAGGGAGGGAGATGTCCAGACCCATGCAGGGGGAGACCATCTCTCACATTCTTCAAGTGAGATACTGACCCTGCCCGCTCCAGGGATGAGGATTCAGGGTTGACCTTTGACTTCACTGGAAGGAGACAGAAGCAGAGACATAATGCCGGTTCATCAGCCAAAGATGGACTTGTCCCATATCACGATCGTCGGATGAAAAACTGTTAGAGGAACAAACTAAAATCGCCAAGTTCAAGTTACATTTGATTTTCACAAGTTGTATAACATGTTTTTGGAATTTAGTCATGATTAGACCAACGATTATACATGTTTGTGACTCTACAGAGGACCCCGTTTCAATTAAAAAGAAAAAACACCTAAGAAAATCTTTAAAATGTTTTTTTTAAACAATAAAATATACATCAACAAAATGTCCAGTTTTCCACAACTTCTCGTCCATCTTCAACCACTTCTTTTCATTCACACTTTCAGCTTGAAACTCCAGTAAAAACTCAAAATGCTAATAAACTTTCATTCATTTTTGGTTACATTCACTGCTTACAATACAGTTTGGATTCTTCAACCCTTTCCAGTTTTTCCCATCTCTTAATACTACTTCAGCTACTTCATACAAATTCAGGCCAGCGACGCAGTTTAGCTTCAGCATGCAGAAGCCAGTGATCCCACAGCAATTTGTTCAGAAAAATTGCATTTTCTATTTTTTTAAATTTTATTTAACATTTCCTTTTTGTCATTATGTCGTCATGTTGCCTTCGAGTGCTCATCGAAAAAAATATTTCCCCATGAAGAAAGGTATAACATAACCCTTTGAATATTAGAAAAACTGGAACAAAACAAAATTGGAAATAAGCTTGAATAAATTTTAAGTTTAGCTAACGTAAATCAGCATCCAACTGTTGCCAAGACAAAATACACCTAAGACATGAGAAAAGTCCATCCCCACCATAAAAGGTGGTTTAGAGACAAAACCAAAAACTCATATCCAACCTCTAAACCCCTTCATACAACATTAACACAGAATGGCAAATAATACAATATAATTTCATATCTTAGTTGTGTAATTATTTGTTTCAAATGTAACATAAACATGACCTAAAATCATTGTGGAACTCACTATCAGACATTAGTCACTATAATCAGTATTATAGTAGTATTATTATTATTATATATTGTGGTATTTCATCAATATATATTATTTTTTTATTTAGAAATGATCAGTTATGATAGGTAGCGCATCTACTCATGACTTATGGCAAGTTCACCAGCATTGTAACGGAAATATTTTAATATTATTGCCAAGAAGGATGTATATCATTGTATATATGCTTCGTATGTAGAATCATAAGAAGCCAAATTTTGTTCTGCGAGATGGGAAATCTTTTATTACGTTATTTATAAAAGATGAACTATGTAATTATCTGTTTGTTTTGTACAGTGGTTCTTAAGTTGTGTTATTTCCGAAAGTCATGAAAGCAACAGTAGTTATTTCGCAGTGTTGCTTTTGGGAGCGTCAGAGGAGCTCGTCTGTGATTGGACGCTAGGCGTTGTTAAAAAAACTGCTCCTCCTCCCCCCCGCCCCCCCGTCCTCTTCGTGGGAATCCCCGACAACAACGTGCTCAGTTGTAAGCCATAATATTTTGGCTTTTTTGATTGTTTCTGTTCGCGTCGTCTGCTTTCCAGTGACTCATCTCCATCGGACAGCGGCAGTGGGACCTACAAGGTAGCTGTGTGTTGGTACACTCCTCGCGTCAAAGCAAACAGCAGCGAGCCAGTAAATGCTTTGTCCGGTAAAGAAAGTTTGGCTGCAGTTAGCTAACATTAGACGGACGGATTCCGAAACGTAGTGCTAACGTAATTAGCTAAGGAAGCTAATCCAAAGTCCTAGCCAACACAGAAAAGACTGTGCGCTACACACTCGTTGCACAGCTGGTAGTTATTTGTTTATTAGCACATTTTTGACCACAATGAAGTTATTAGTTTATTAGTTTATTAAGTTATGGTTGTGTTAATTGCCGACTCGGTGGCCCAGTTTGTGTGGGCCTCCTGCTCGACAAAATGGACGGTGGCTAACGTTAGCAGTTTGAATGGTTTTTCGTGTTGTTTGTTTTTAGGGCTGCTGAAGTCGGTTCACTGGGTTCCCTTCAAATTTCATATTTATGAGATATGCCTGTGGGAATATTTGTGTGATTCATTAACTTGTAGTTAAACATCTGAAGGTTAGTTGTCAGCCCACAGAGCAGAAGGCCTACTCTATTTTCATGAGAGGGACCTTGCATTTCCTGTGTGGCAGTAACCATTAATTCCTCTGTAAGACTGAAGTATTAAAATATTGTCGTTACACCGCCTAATCATCGTTTTTTTTCCCATTTTTGGAGTAAAAATAATTTTGTCCTTAATGTTTGTTGTTTGTATATTACAGTGTTGAAAAGACAGACTATTGTTTTGGTATTTGAATCATTTAAAATAATGTATAAAGTAAAAAGCCAGACATCTTCATGTCCATCTTCTCAAATATGGGGATTTACAGCTTTTTTTCTAAATTAAATATTTCTGTCTGTTGGTCTGACAATTAAAACAAATTGAAGTAATTACTTTGTTGGCCTCTTGGAAATGCTTAGTCACAATTTCCTGTCATTTTACAGACTAATCGAGTAATCTAAAAGGTGGACATTAGATGATAATAAAAAGTAATTGTCTCTCAAAATATTTGATTAACTTGGTGCAACTTGTCACATGGGGAGTTAGATAGAGATCGAGTTGTTACATACCTCACCAGTCCAGCACAAGTTCTTACTTCCTGTTTATCCCCACATGTCTCCTGCATAGCTCTTCCCTCATTTTTTTGCGGCTGGGAAAGGAGGGAAATAACGACAGCATAATGGAAGAGCAGAGCCTTGACAGTCTCCACCTGAGCCAGAACCTGCCTCTGAGCCAGGATTCATTTCGTGAGCTGTGGGAGAGTGTGTAAGTAATGTTTTGACAGTGGATAATATTTTTAAATTGTCAGTTTACTCAAGAAAAATTGACAGGATTGCTTGTTTGTTTGTGCAGCGTTACTCCCTCCATTTCCACCATCCCAGCGGCAACAAGCGTGTCTGAGTGGAGGCCTGATGGACAAATGTACATGCTGGTAAGCATGCCTACCCATGCACTTGTTCTGTAAAGTTAAACTGAACTGCTGCAGAGGAAAGCTTTCTGTTGTGAATATTCAGATGATGGTAACACTAATCTGAACTTAATTTATTTATTTATAACTTTTGTGCTTTTGCAGCAGTTACCTGAAGTGCTGACTGAAGGGTTTGATGAGAATCTGTTTGAGCTACCCCCAGAGACATTAACTAAAGATGGTGTTACTCCCCCGGCCTCCACCGTCCCAGTTACAACTGACTATCCTGGGGAATATGGCTTTCAGCTTCGCTTTCAGAAGTCTGGCACAGCCAAATCTGTCACTTCCACTGTAAGTAACTCCAGGGCTGAGTGTTCAAAATTTAGAAATTCTACTTACTTGTTGATTTATTTATTTATTTATTTTAAACTGACTGGTAAATCTTCTGCACATTACTTGAAAGGGTACCAGAATACTTGTCATAGGCCTATATCCGTTCTGATCAATGTCTGACAAATAACCAACAACATCAGCAGCAGAAATCTGTACTTGCTGCGTGTAGTGCATAATTTTATCAGAATTACACTCGATCTAAATACTATATCAAAAATGGTACGCACTCAAAGCAGATTATCCTGCAACCAAACACAAGTCTGCTGTTTGAGTCCCTCGCCTGAGACAAAAGAGATTCCAACAGCTGCTCAACATTGAGGCGCCATTCACTGTTAAACTCCGAGTTTCCTCCGTCCATAGTTTAATTTTATATGAAAGAAACTCTGCTCCTTTTGAGTATTGTTTTAATTAAGCAAATTAAAATGAACTTATCTAATTTTCAAATTTTGACTTTTGTGACTTTTGAAAAGTTTAAGTAACTCGCTGGCTGGTCTCTGAAGTTGTCATCACCCATAAAGTTATTTAAAAGGTATAAAACATTGGAACCTGTTTTTGATTAACAGTAAAATAAAATATCTTACCCTGGCGACGCGTTAAAAATCCGTTCTTTCGTATCCCTCATGGTGACATTCATATGGAATCTTATTCATTGTGACAATTCGCTAAATTTTAAGGTCTGGAGTAAGTCACAGTACTTGAAGAGCCAATGGCATCAATTTCTCTGCGATGACTCACGCAGCAGCGCGCCCTGATTGGTTAGTTCAGTTTACGGTTAGGGTGGTCTGCACTGAAACTCCCGCCCCTGCAATTTGTGCTCTGGTCTGTGAGTGAAGTGCAGTCTGATGGTAAAGTACTGCCCTGACATGACGGGACATGTTCCTGCACTGTCTTGCTCCAGCATTGAAATGGTTAAAAATAGACAAAAGCAGGTAAAAAAATTTGTTTTTCTATGTGATTAATTTGGGCTGACTGATCAGGAGAGCTTAATATGTAGTTTGTGTTTGGTTTTTTAGAGTAGAAAGTGTAGTTTACGTGAATTTGATCAAACTTCAAGGATAGTGTTTTAGTCTCTGCCCGTTTTTACTGAAGCAGATTTTTTTTTAATCCTCATGTTCTCACAGCTCTGCTTCCCCACAAGTGTACAGACAATAAGGTGTCTGGCTTCTCTCCCTGTGTTCCTCTCAGTTTTCGGAGCTTCTCAACAAGCTCTACTGCCAGCTGGCCAAAACCACCCCTGTGGAAGTGCTGGTGAGCAAGGAGCTTCCTCAGGGTGCTGTCCTCAGGGCCACAGCAGTTTATAAGAAGACGGAGCATGTGGCAGATGTGGTTCGCAGATGTCCACATCACCAGAATGAAGATAGTAAGGAGAAACTTTTCAGTGAAAAATTTGCTTGTGTATGCAGTGGAAGTATCTGATTGTGAGCATAATAAAGCTGAGGTGATTTTAATTAAAACATTTTTTTTCCTGTTCAGCTGCAGAGCATCGCAGCCATCTGATCAGAGTGGAAGGCAGCCAGAGGGCTCAGTATTTTGAAGATCCACACACAAAGAGGCAGAGTGTGACGGTCCCTTATGAGCCCCCCCAGGTACTGCTGCCCCACTTGATCTGTCCGAAGGGGAACATGTCTACACTGTCTACAACTTTTTTCTTTTTACCCATTCGCATTTCCCATGATGTGACCTTTTAAGCATCATGTATGTGAGTATATGAACTTTGAAATGGCTCCGGTGCTTACAAAAACATAAGTACATTTTCTGCATGAAAATGTTTTTCAACTTAATACAACCTTTACATTTTTTTTTTTTATTGAGAGGCCCGGGACGGTTTCTTTAGGTTAAGTTATCATTTCACCCTAATTGTATAGACCTCAGCCAGCAGTGAATAAAAATTGTTATGATTTTCCTGTTTCAGTTGGGTTCAGAGATGACAACCATCCTGCTGAGCTTCATGTGCAACAGCTCCTGCATGGGCGGCATGAACCGCAGGCCTATCCTCACCATCCTGACCCTTGAGTCTCCAGAGTAAGTGTTGCTTCTCTTTCTCCACATGTGTTGAGGGTGGAGGGAGTGCTGATGTATCTTTTCGGTAGGGAGAAGTTGAAAGGGGGGATGGGAGACGCAGTGTGAATGGATGTTTGTTCGCATTTTTTTTTAAACTGCTGTTAGTTTATTTTACTGCTCAGGATGTTGATTTTTGTTTATGCGGTCCAGGAAGTATTTTTGACCCTTTCTACTATGCATCTCCTTCCCAGGGGACTGGTGCTGGGCCGGAGATGCTTCGAGGTGCGTGTCTGCGCATGTCCAGGCAGGGACCGCAAAACAGAGGAGGACAACAGCACCAAGACGCAGAACGGCACCAAGCAAACCAAAAAACGAAGTATGTCTTTGTTGGATTACACTGGACTTCAGTTTCCATCCTTGCTCTCTGTTTCCTTGCTAACCTCACTTTGGTTTGTTTAGAGAGCACCCCTGCCCCTGACACGACTTCTGTGAAGAAGTCCAAGTCTGCCTCCAGTGCAGAGGAGGAAGACAAGGATTTCTATGTTCTGCGTGTAAGTAAAGATGCATACTGTTGCAAAGCTAGATTTCCTCACAAGGTTTTCCATGCTGTGAATAATTTTCCTATGATCTCTGCTGCAGGTTCATGGTCGTGAGCGTTATGAAATGCTAAAGAAAATCAACGATGGTCTGGAGCTGCTTGACAAAGAAAGGTAAGAAATGAATCCACTTCCTGGGCATCAGAACAAACTCAATTACTTTTAGTGGGCCAAACTTCTAGCTCGATTGTTCAAGACTGATCCACGCATGTAGCCTGTCATTATCTTGGCTGCAGTTGAGAGTTTGAGCTTTGGTTGCAGTGAACACGTTGTACAGTCTTCAGAATGATGCGTTGCCCAGAAGCTGCGGCTAAATGCTGAACCTTATTACTGTTATTTGTCGAGATCACCTGCCACTAGAGGTCACTGTGTGTAATGATTAAACATGACTTTAACACTGCAGCAGATCACTGTAATATTTCTGAACAGTAGTGTCTTTCACCATGTATGGTTTAAAAAACAACTAAAATAACCGAGCTAATAAACATTCACAAACACTTTGCAAACAGTTACAATGCTTTGATATTACGTTGCGGTTTATGCTGCAAACACTATCTGCCAGAATAATTGTGAAGGATTCTCCCAAGTTTGGTGTGGATGCACCCTCCAGTGTGTCCTAACTTCAGTATTGTCATTAAAACCATTTCACATGCGTCACACCTTTTTGTCCTGCTCTCTCTCCACAGCAAAACCAAGTCTAAGGTCTCTGTGAAACATGAGGTCCCTTTGCCCTCCAGCGGAAAGAGACTCCTGCAGAGAGGAGAGCGGAGCGACAGTGACTGAGAAGCTTGTAGCCGTGATCATGAGGGGAAAAAACGTCATCTCTTAATCCTTCCAAGCCATCACGTTTACTTCAGGTTTTTAACCGTTATTGGAACCCCAAGTCACCTCCTGCCTCACCTCATCACTTGAGCTGATAACTTAACTGCCTGACCATTTACTGTACTGTACTGTACTGTACAGTGTCTTGCTGTTTATGACATATGCAAATGAATAAAGGAGAGCAATTCATACTGTAGGCAGGCCTTGCCTCCTCCTCACTGCTCTCATTGCATTAGTAGGTCCTGTGAAATGGCTGTGAGACCTTAATCTTTCTGTGATTGCAAGAAACAGGATGTCGGGGTGGGACTTAAATTTGGGAAGGACTGGATTTAATCAGTGTTAATTTTGGCTGGGATTTTAATTTGAGTTTCATTGACTCCGTTTTTAAAATTTGTGTCAGTCTTGTCATTTATGATGCATTACATTTAGTCTATTTAGTTAGTAGATGAAAACCAAAGAGATTGTTTCTTGGTTTTTCAGTGACATCTATTTTTTTATGTTTGTCAGAATATTAATTATTATCTGAATTGAGCAGTTTTGTCAGTTGAGTCACGACTGAGGAAGACGTGTGACTGCAAAGGATCATAATTGTAACACAAGTCACTGCCATTTATTAGAAAAAGTGCAAAGTCACCCTTGTGAAACTTGAATCGGTGTTTACCTCCAATAATGTTGCTGTATTACTGCACCACAGCCCAACACACATTTACTGCAACAGATCCCAACACACAATTACTGCAGCACAGCATAACAATTTTACACATTTTTATGTACCTGTATGAGGAAATTCAGTCCATGTGTTGCTGTCCAGCTGTGATTTAATGTGCTGTGCAAGCATACAAGACATTTATAGATTTAAAAAAAAAAAAAAAAAGTTAATAAATACACAGGTATGACTGGATGGTATTAACAGTAATCATATCTGTTCACATGTTAGTGGGGCTGTTTATTTTTTGCAAATTCTTTTTTTTACATTATTTTTAATCAGAAAGTTGTACATAGATTTTAGCCCCTTTTTTTTTTTTTTTTTTTTTTTTTTTTTCAAAGATCCATACATTCTCCTCAGTGACACTTCCTCTTGGTGACGTTGCACATGGGGAAATTTTTGCTAGAATTAACACTAGATTTGTAAGCTGAGGGGCTGGCTGGATCACCCCAAAAGCTCTTCACCATTTACTACCTGTGTGTTTTGGGTTTTTTTTTATACACACTGGATGTTTGTGGGGAAAAAATTACGCCTCTGAGGAAGGAGAAGAGGAATTTTGCAAAACATACAGGAAAATCTCTCGGATATTTTGTTACAACACATAGGGACATAGTACGACAAAACTTTTTTCATGGGATCTTAATGAGATTTATGAGGATGTTTATTCAGATATCAAAACAGGATTTTAGTTTTTAGTAACTATTGCTCACATAAACTGATAAAATGTGATGTTTTTGTTTTGGGCCTTCATTCACAGACCATGCAATTTGTCATTGATCAGTACTTCAGTTGATGTGACCAATCACTGTTAATTAATTAACCACTTTGTTTTTCACTGCCATGAAAGTATACTTAAGGCATTTGTTTTATTTCTGTATCTTTATAGATTATTTTGGGAAGTTAGTTTTTATATAAGAGGTTTATCTTTCTATATTTGTCATCGTTTCATTGTTATTTTTTCATGGCTTTTTTTTGTACTAATTTGCATTTTGTTACTCAAAGCTTTAAGCCTAAATAAATGCTCAATTTCATACAGTTCTCCTTGTATTCTATTCTGTTCTATTATAAATGTCTTGTCTTTGCCCCTCCCTCCCCTCCCACCTTGCCAGTACATCACCTTTTTGAATTAGTACTTTGCATGTTGGATGCAAAACCAGCTGCATCTAATGGCGTTAATCTAGCAGGAGCTGAATGGAGCTTTGTGTTGCAAGTCAAATGTGCTGTTTATTACCTGTTGATCTTCCATGTAGGTGGAACGGGTGTGTTTGTGTTCATATGACCACATTTTATACTGAGAGATTATATCCTTCCCTGTTCAGACAGTGGATGCATCTGTAGCTTGGTGAGAACGCAACCATTCCACCTTCAATTTTTAAAATTCATGTTTGTTTTGGATTTATACTGTGAGGTTCTTACTGTTTTCTTGATTATTTTACAGTAGCTGTTCTTTGGTGAAATTATCTAAGGATCCGCTGGAAGCCAACATGACGTTATCTCTACAGGATAGTGTCTGTATTTTCCTATCATGGGGTGAGTCTAATTATTCTATTTCCAGCACTTTCTCAAGGCACAGTATTAGTTTATAGTAGAGTTTAAAGCTGCAAATAATGATCGACGTTATCGATTAATCTGCTAGTTCACTTTTTGCGTTGACTATGACACTTCCCAGAGTCCAATGTTTCGTATTCAATTTTTTAAAACCCAAACATATTTGGTTTATAACCACATGAAAGAGACAAGAGCAGCCAATCATTCATTTGAGCAGCTGATAGCAGTAAACAATGCATAAAATAATTGACTATCAAAATTGATTAATTTTCTGTCCAACTGTTTGTTACAGCTCTATAGGAGTTTCAGAGTTGAGGGGAAAGCAAACATGGAAAAAACATTAAGAGAAACTATTCATAAAATGTAACTGACTGTCCATATGGGTGTGGTCTGATGATCAGGCTGATGTGGTTGTGTGTAGTGTAGAATTGTTAGGGTAGTTATCCTTAAAAGCTTAAAAATAGAATTAAAGAATATTGTGATGTGAATTTATTTTAAGATGGGTGCTGGATCCATTTTTTTGCGACTAAATTTAGAATCTGACCACCAGTCCTGAAAACAAAACAAGTGCAGTTCAGTCAAGTTAGTACTTTTGAGGTACATATTAAGAATCTGTATATAATGTATATGTTCTGTTTGTGGAATAATGGTAGAAATGTGTTCAGATATTCATTAATTAGAGGAGAAAATAACATGGCTGGCTGATTATGGTTCCAAAAATGTGCACATACTCAACTTTTTCTTGTGGTTTGGATATTAACTTGAACTGTGACCTTTGTCTATTGTGTCTGTATGTTTCTGTCCAGCTCTAATGTTGATGTACAGCGCGGCAGAGCATGACTACTTCATCCAGCCAGGAAATCTCAACTGGAGCGAAGCCAGGAATCACTGCCAGGTACAGCATGAACCTGATGTACAGAAAAAGGGTGAAACATTAGGCCAGAATGTGTGAAAATACTTTAACGCTTAACGGTATATTTCCCTTAACAACTTAAAGAAACAGTTAGGCATTTTGTGAAATATTCTTTCATTGCTTTCTTGCCGAGACTGACGAGTTGATACCACTCTCATGTCTGTCATGTCGGCTAAATATAAAGCTACAGAGACTACAAAGACTGGAAACTGGGGGAAACAGCAAGTCTAGCTCTGTCCAAAGGTAGCATTTGTCTGCTCCAAATGTCAAGGCAATGTATCCTGTAGCTGACCGGATATTTCACTTTGGGAAGTCACTACAGTCTTAAGGATACAACCTCTGGGAACCATGAATTTCTTGTATGAAATTTTATACCAATCCATGTACCAGATGTGAAGGTTATTCACTGGATGAGTGGAATTTTTGATGTGCTGGTTGCACTAGAGGAAAAGCCAGGGAATAACCAAAATCTTCAGGTTTCATCCGTTAGGGACCATGAATCTCTGTCTGTACCTGTGAGCAATTTAACACTGGATTAAGATTCAATAAAATGCTAAAGCAGACAGGATCTCCATATAATTCTGACTGTAACCTTTCACGTCCCGTCAGGTCTGTTTCAAAGACCTGGTCACTCTGACCCCTGGCAACACCCAGGGCATCGCCAATAATCTCACTTCAGACTCCTGGATTGGCCTTCGCAAGAACTTCTACCCCAGCAGCAACTCCACCAGTAACTCCAATATGTCCTGGACCAGCTGGGCCAACGGGGATCCCCTCGCCTTCCAGAACTGGTACCCTGGTTGGCCTGTGTTCAAATCCCCCTACCCAAAAAGAGACTGCTGCAGCTGCTCCTGCACCTGCCCAGCAGTTACAACCCCAAGGACGACAAGCTTCACCAGATACACAGAATTTACGACCCCGGATGTGACGAGCTTCAGCGGGTTTCAGGACGAAACAACTGAAAATACAGTGAACGTAATGAACTCCACCGATGTCACCGGACACAGTACCGATGTCACCGGACACAGGACCGATGTCACCGGACACAGGACCGATGTCACTGGACACAGGACCAATGTCACTGAGCAACCTGTGACAGCAGTTACTGGACACGGGGAAACCATTAGTAAATGTGTCCGATCGCCTATGCTGGTGCCTGATGTCCCGGATCCTGATGAAAACTACATAGAAGACTCTTGTGTGGCCATGCTGAGCTTTGGGGCTTGGATTGAAAAGAACTGCTCAGAGCTTCTGCCTTTTATTTGTTATGAAGGTAGGACTCATTTAAAGTCCCTTTGTTGTAGTTTTAGTTCTCACACAGCCCTACACAGAACTACTACAGGACATAGCACATGTGCAGGGCAACTTTAGGAGTGCAGCTGTCTCTGCACTTCATCCATACAGTGGCTTTCTCATAAAATTATTATATTCTATTATTATTATTATTTAATTATTTCTCTAGATAAAGAGTCCGTTGTTCTGCTGGTCTTTCTACTATATAAATAAATTTTACATTGATTTGCATGTGACCTCATAAACACATTTTATTTCCCCCTTGTCACTTGTTTTTTTGGTGATATGACATATTTCATCCTCCACATGTCAACAGATACAGAATCAAAAGGGGATTACAGCATCTGTACATCAGTCCCATCAATACATATCCAAAGAACCCCGAAAAACAAAACAAAAGTCAGGTTTGAGACAAACAGAAGCCTACAAACATCTAGCCAACATCTCCTCCAAGTTCCTGATTATTTCCTGATTATCCTGAAATTATTATTTTTTTAAACCCACACACAATAACAATCATTCATTCATCATTCATTTATGCCAAAAAGGTGCAGAAATGTTCATTCAAGTATTTTTATTGCAAATTGGATCAGATGACACATCAGTCAACATGTACGTTGTCAAACCTTTTTTTGACACATACAAGAAATGTTCATTCTTTTCTTCAACATTCGCGACAACATGAGGAATTATTATGTGTTATCTTCTGCATCCTTCCTCAATTTGTCCATACTGTTAATGTAAAAACAAGAAGACAAGTGTAACACTTACTATAACACTGTATTTTTATTTCCCTGGATATCTGAGTCTCTCTGCCAATTAACAATCATCGTCTCATGTCCGACCACAGATCATTTCGTTTGCAAAGCCGTCGTGGATAACGTGACGTCCAGCACTGCTGATCTCACATGGCCGGCTGGGCCGGGCGCCATCAGCCATTACCGTATGGAGGTCAGAGGAGTCGGCAAAAACCAGACGGAAATTTTTTTTAATTTTACTTACAACCTTTCCGGTCTGACGCCAGGCACCCGCTACTCAGTCCAGGTGTTCCCTGTCAAATGTGGGCGAGACCTCAACTCACAGGAGGTCTTCTTCCACACCAGTGAGTAACATCTGACTTTATTAAAATGACAGTGTTACTTTAGATTAATTTACACCGGTCAGCTTCAAATTACAGATCTGCTGAATTACAGGAAGCTAGAATGAGAGGTGGTATGGGTCATAGCCACAGAGCTTCACTGATAATAATAATAATGCTGGAACAACGTGTTTTAGCACAGAGGAGCTGAGTGCCACACACCTTTTATAACAAGCAGTAATCATAAATTATCTTTGCCCCCTATTTGATGAAGTCTATACCCATATTTGTGTCTGATGTCTTTGCTTCAGTTTTGTTTTACTTTCATTTTGATGTCAGACATTTTTTTATTTCATTCTTACTTACCAATTACAAAATACTGTATGTTAGATTTTGGCTCACTTAAAATTTTATTTGCTCCAGGAGATATTGAGGATTTCCCAACTACAAAAAAAGTGACCACTTGGGAGCTGGTTACTCCTTCTCTCTGACTAATCTCTCATTTTTCTTTTCAGTACCTCACAAGGTCGAAAACCTCACTGTAAGCAAAGTGACAGAAACATCTGTCTTTCTGAGCTGGAACAAACCGCCTGGAAATGCAGAGTTCTATCTTATTTCTGAGGTTCAAGGTGAGGAGGATAAAAGTGACACGGAGGGCAAAGAGGTCAGTGGTTTGACACCTGGAAGCCCTTACACGTTCATCGTGCTCTCAGGAATCGGCTCCAGACGGAGTGAGGCGTCTAACATCACAGTGTACACAAGTGAGTTCATATCACATGAAACTTTTATTTAAAAGGGTTATAATGGTATATAAGCTACATGTTACACCTGGTGGAGGATTTTAACAGGACAGTTAACAACTCTGTGGGACTGAGACAAGTGAAAGCTCTTAAAAAGAGGAAGAGGTTTATGGTTAGTTGTTTCTTGCTGCTCACATAAAATGAAATTCAAATCAGGGAAGGCAAATTAGAGCTGCATCTGACCTGAACAGTGACACCTGTGAGCTTGTGTTCGGCGTTGTTGTCTTCGCTGTGGTGTTTATCTGTTTGTTCTCTTCGTCAGAGCCCGGTAAAGTGACCAGCCTGAGTGTGTCTAATAACACCAATAGTTCACTGATGCTTTCCTGGGTCTCACCTGAGGGAAATGCCACAGGTTTCTACGTGCAGGCTATGAATGACAATAATGAGTATGTATTCGTAGATATATATATACAATTTGAGTCTTATTTTGATATTTGATGCCCAGTGATAACATTGCACTTACAGTTCCTAAGCAACATTGACGTGTAGCGTGTAGAGCGTGAGGCACAAGGAGCAAGACAGACTCTAATTAAACCAAGACTCTAACCAAAATGTTAAACTGCATGAACAAGTACGACAGCATCATTGAACCAAGGAGTCATTATGCAAACAGTGATGATAATTTTACCTTTTGCTCTTCTTGTCCAAACAAGTCCATCTAACCTGGGGTTTGTTTGATCATGTCACTGCTCCAATTTCTTGAACCTTCACACTTAATTACAGTAATGTTGCTGCATTGGGAGATCTCTGATTGGAGCACAGGTTTATTACTACTGATCGTGCAGCAGCAGCAGTTTGAGTCAAGTGACTGTTTCTTCTCCCAATAGCGAATTGTTTACAGCAAATGTGACGCATAACCCATCTCAAACTCGGTATAAAGTGGACATACCAAAGCTGCCGGTGGGCACCAGGATAACCCTCACTGTGACAGCGTGGGTCAACAACACTCTGGGAGACAACGTGACCATCGTCAACTGCACCGGTAGCTCTTTGACGGTTTTGCTAGCTGTTGATTCACAGAAAAAAAACAAACAAAAACTCTCATCCTGCTGTGTTCAATGTCACTAATCTGACTCTGTGACTCTCACGTAGCTCCTGGGCCGATTTCAGGTCTGGAGTTGAAGGTAACATCTGACTCCATCAATGCCACCTGGAAACCTCCTGCTAGTAATTACACAAGCTTCACCGTCAAGCTCCTGCTGGATGGCCACGAAAACGGTACAAAGAACCCACAAGAACTCACTGCTGACTTTACAGGCCTGAAGAATGCAGCCAATTACACAGTGGTGGTCTATAGCATCATGTACCATCTCCAAGGTCCCCCGGTACAACACCACATATTCACCAGTGAGTCACCAATGTATTCCATCCATTTATGTGTTGAAAGTTATAATTATTAAGATTTGGTGACACCTGTGTCTTGGTACACCTGTGTCGAGATAATTACAGAATGTAAATATACCAAAAGAATGTTGCTGAAAAAATGCGCAATGAGTCGTATAAAAAACAGTGTTGTCTGAGTTCATGACAATGTTAAAGATTAATAAAGATTATCACTGATTGAAAACACTGAACATTTATAATGAAAATCCGACTGCAAGATACTCATATATCACTGCCTCAGTTTTTTCTCTCCTTCCTTTGTTCAGAGCCGTCCCCGCCTACTGACGCCAGTGCCACTTCCAATAAAACCCACATCACCTTTCAGTGGAAAGCCCCTGTAAACATAGGGAAGGCCAAGTACTTCGTCCAACTCATATCCAACTTCTGGGGCCAAAACCGTACGGATACCGTGGATAATAATACCAGCTACACGTTTGATAAGTTGAAATCAGGGAGCAAGTACGAGCTTCAAGTGCAAACAGTGGCTGGTGAAGAGCGGAGTATCCCATCAAACACGTCATGTTTTACGGGTGAGGTTGCTGAAAATAGAGACTTGACATAAATTCTGTTGGTGCATTCAAGGAAACGCAAACATCTGAGGTTTGAGAGTCAGCTGCTCAGAACCATTACAAACACAAGATGTGTAGTTAAGAGATAAAACCCAGAAGACGGTTGTTATCGAAAAAGAAGAAGTTGATGGTTATTCAGTAAAAAAAACTCTCAAACCCAGAGTTTTTCAGCTTCCTTTCTTCCCTTAAATTTGGTTATTAAAGAAAGTGGCAATGGTAGTTGTAAAGAAAGATATTTGTACGGAGGCATTTCTATACTGTAATTTCTTCTTACTTATCTGCTGACATATACAAACCAAAACTGATGTATCTGTGAAAAGCCACTTTCAGTGTATCTGTCGGGCTGTAATTGTAGACGACACAAAGATGAAGAGATGTACTGAAGAACACTAAACTTCAGCTGTTTAATACTTGAGTCAGCACCTTCAGACCCGCTGCACAAAAGACTCTTGCTACTATATGCCACAGCAAGCTCATCAAATCTGCCACTTATCTGGGTTAAGGTTAATTGATTAATTACATTACAAGGATTTATTGTTATATACAACTAGAAAGTACTGACAAACAGGCCTTTCTGTCTCTACTGGTTTTCTGTCATTCTTCGAACAGTACGACACTGAAAAAGGTATTAAATTCTATTCTGTGTTGTACTGAAAAGGTTTTTAGAAAGCGTTAAATTTCAGTTTCAAAAAGAGTCAACTTTAGTCTGCACAAGTGCAGACTTGATAGCTTTTGCACCAGCCTAAATTAACCAAACCAAACTGGCAAATTGCACCAGTTTGTTTGAACCAAACCAAACAGATTGGGTGTGAAAGCAGAAATCAGTCTAAATATTTAGATTATGTGTGCAATATTTGATTTGAATTCAATGGGCTGAAACTGCAAGATAAATGAAAGGAAGTTCTTTGAAAGTCCGAATATAACCGATAACATAGGCGACAAAACAAACTGCTTTTTTTGCTGATAGCATCTGAACACACTGCACATTATTTCTTCTGCCACATGCAAATTTTACAGCTTGAATGAGAGACTTCTTGGTCTAACTTCCTCTTTACCCATCTGTTTGTTCCCCAGAGCCGGAGCTAAGGGAGATCAGTCTGTCCATGTTATGCTCCTCCTCAAAGCTCCTCTTATGTGATAAGGACAACGCGACGCAAGATGTATTCGATGAGGTACGTCACTCACCATGTGGACAAAACTAACACAGCATCTGGGGGGTAAATGTACAAGACAAAAAGTGATGTTTTTTGATTTTTGTAGACGGGACGTGCAGTAATTATTTGTGTGTGAAGGAATCGCTCAGTTTTGTTTTATAGATACAGGTTGGTTTACAGATTTATGTCCATTGTCAGCTTTCTTTATTTTTATTTGTTGTGTTGCAGCTGCAAAAACGTCTTGAGGAGAAGTTGGGGGACAATGTTCGGTGGATCCTCACGAAGCAAAAAAGTGAAAACACTGCTGAATAATTTTTTTTATCGCATTTTTATTGGTGAAGGTATTTTGGATGTGAGTGTTTTTGGCAAAAATTGAATTTTGAAATATAAGGCCTCTGTGTGTGTGTGTGTGGTGTGTGTGGTGTGGTGTGTGTGTGTGTGTGTGTTGTGTGTAGTGTGTGTGGTGTGTGGTGTGTGGGTGTGGTGGTGTGTGTGTGTGTGTGTGTGTGTGATGTTGCGTGTGGTGCTTTTTTAGTCAGAAGAATTAAGAATATATACTGTGTGTTCATATAATTTTGTCAATTTTAAATCCAGGTACAGTTGATAAAATGTGCTGATTCGCAGTCTTTTATATTGACAATTTGAATGATCAAAAAATATAACAAAAAGAAAATAAAAAAAGCCTACTACTCCTCTTGTTTTTATTTCTTTCATTTTCTTTTGATTTTTTTTTTTGCATGTATGGAAGCCCATGTGTACATATTTGCCCACATATGAAAAAAAGTCATTCAATCCACCTTTTTCCAAATTACAACTCTTGAGCAGATTCATATATCAGTAAACATACATTTATTTGCAACTTTTATCAACAGCAAACAAACCTGATTGCACCTCAAAGTGAGAATCACCTTTGATAATGAGAAGATGATCAATAGATAAGTAACATATAGATCGGGTCAGGTCGGCAGATAAATGCACACTGTAGAGGAGCGTCTAGAATTCACATTCACACAGAAATGGGAAGTTCAGGTTTGGGCCAGCTGAATATACACACATATAACACCTCCAGGGTCTGAGATGATGCTGTTAATAATAGTTATATATATATATATGTATAGCATATGTAAGCTGTTAAGCGCTCTGTGCACCCTGCCAGCTTCCTCTGCTAGTGTTTTTAGGGCTCAATACTTTTTTTTTGTGTTGCAGAGCGGCTACAATATGAGGAAGGGGCGGAGTGGTCACATTTAGTTCAGTTATATGTGTGAAAATGAGAAGATGTTATAATTATGAGTCAACAAGCACATGAAACAGTTGAAGTAAAAGGAGTAAGAGCATCAAATACCAACATGGATTCATCCCCAAGACACCCAGACGATGATGTCAAGAGGGAAACACCAGCAGGTTAGTTATTAACAGCATCTCCTTACACAGTGGTGTAAATGAAGTGTACTTTTATTTCACAAGTTTTTACAAAAGTCAAGATAGAACTTCACTTTCTCAAAAAGCAAGCCTGATAACAAAAATGCTTTTTTATGCTGGTTTGCGATAGGACCTGTCAGTTGATATTCAGTCTTGTCTTTATATGTTTGTCACAGTATCACAGTCTTTTTAGTACTTTGTGTGCCGCCCCTCAAACGCATCACCTGATGTTGCGTTTATGTGGTGAACAGAATCAAGCAAAGCTACAGTTTTCCTGGTGTCAAAGTCCAAGTTTACTTTTCCTACTCTTAGAAAGTGTCTCGGCTTCATCTTTATCAGAGTCACGGGTCAAAAGGTGAAATGGTGTATGCATGGGCAAGTAAACATATGAGAAGCACTTATAGCTAGATGAAGTGAATTATCTTGTCTTTGGTTATCGTTTCATCACAGATTAAATCTCTACATTCAAAAAAATTAAGTAATAAACTTAATGTAACAATGTATTTTTAGTGCTTGTACAGCGTTTTTGAAAACTGGAATCATTTCCACCACGATAACTTGACGGTTCAAAAACATCATTGATGACTCTGTAAATGATCACTTCACTACTGATGGCCAGGTTTTCAACCAAAGACACGTCAAGTTGAAATCTGTGTTTTTCAAAACCCAGAAAAACTACGAAAAGATTCTGCTGTAATGACGGATACTATTTCATGATTGGTTTTTTTTGTTGTTTTTTTCTAACAGTCACAGATGCAGGATCCTGTCCAGTTTGTCATCTGATAGCTGGAGTGGCTGTTGGCATGGCAACAATAATCATCTTGACTGGACTCCTTTTATATTTGGGGTTATTTGGTGAGTATAAATATTAAATAATGAGCATACATGCCTATAAATATTACGTTTGATTTATTCTACAAATTATTTATTTCCATGTTGGTGAACATTCAAATTTAAGTGGTGCAAAATGTTAATCTCCTTTTCCTTCTACCAAATCTGCTATCCTGCACCTGATATAAACCGGACCTTCAGTCTGAAAGTTCTTCAAACTCACATCAACTTATTTAATTACTGGATCAACTTGTGTTAAATTGTGAAAATTCACTTGTCAGCGGCGCAAGAGGCGGAGCAGACTTCCAAAACTTCAGCAAAGGAGCTGATGCAGCGGCTGCAGCAGTGTCAAAAAGAGCGCCATGATCTGAACCTCATGCTCCATATTGTCACTCAAGGTGATTTACATTTTCCTCTTTGGTACAAACATCTAACATCCTGCAAATGTGACGTCTCCAAAAGGTGTGTGCGCAGTCTCGGAAACTTATAGTTTCCTAAATACAGGATATATGGTTTGGCCTGTCAGGACTGTGTTGACGCATATGTCTGGGATTTCACTGAAATTTAGTCTCATGAAATCATGAATCTTACAGCGTTGCATTACATCAACCAGTGACCCCCCCAACACCTCCAGGATTTTTTACCCTAGACTTGCATCAGTGTTCCTCTCCTGTTGTGTGTAGACTCCAGATGCAGTGTGTGTCCAGTCAGCTGGCTTTGGTGGAAGGGTCACTGCTACTTCTTCTCGGTGGGACTTCAGGAGAATCGTCAGTGGAATGAGAGCGCTGAGTTTTGTCGGGGACACAACAGCAGTCTGGCTGTAATCAAGGACTCTGCAGAGATGGTAACTGTGCAAAGTGGGAGGAGATGTACTTTTCTGTAGTAAACAGCACCTTAGTAGAATCTGAATCCATAACTATATCTATACAATATACAACAGGGTAAAATCTCAGAGGACAGATGGATAGATAATAGAAGTCGTATATACAGAAATAACAATGGTAAAATTAAGCTTTGGGAAAGTTAAAAACTTAAGTTTCAGAGTAACCGAACAGGAAACGCCAGGATGCATTTTTTTTTCCCCAAAAGCATTTTGGATATAAAATCCACAAAATGTTTAATCCTCAGGAATTTATCCAAGGTGTGATGAGGAAGTTCCCTCAGCTCCCCTTCCTGTGGGTGGGACTGACAGATTCCAAGCAGGAGGGTCAGTGGCTGTGGTGGGACGGGACGGACATCCAGCACTACATGCAGTAAGTCCAGATCCACGGCCCGTTAACTGGACCAATATTTTTCAAACATGTTGAACACCTGAGGACAAAGGTGACCTGAGAGGCAGAGTATTCTGTAGATCAGCATCTATGGGAAAAAAAAATCTCCCACACACTGTCACCTGAACAAAGAACAATCCTCATAAATATGATTTTACAATGCCCGATGATGCTTTTGAGTTCTTTGTGCATAATAACGTCCTCCTCATACTGTACAGTAATTCATTTCTACACATGTGCCAGTATTTTACCTAAATTAGTATTAATTTACATAACTCTTCTGAAATGATGAAGAAATGACACACCTGTAAAATATAGAGTATAAGAGGAGAAAATAGAAACTCAGAGGAGAACCATAATCTTTAACTCTAATATGTATTAAATATTCACCCCATAGTGATTGTGCTTTATGTTGAAAGTGCAAGTCTAGTGATAGAAAACAGATGTATTTTTCTTTTTAACACACAAACTTCATAATATTTTCATTCAATTTGTTTTTATTACGACATTCCATACTATACACATATAAATATATTGACGTACTGAAACATGCAGCTTTAATCTAAAATTAAATAAATTATTACATCTAAGTAATTCATACATGAATCACCACTTGCTATAAATTAATACTGATAAGTTTTATTTGGGTTTGAATGCTGAATTGCTGTCAGGTCATGTGGACTTTCCCGCTTTTATTCCCTCTTTTTGTGTGTGTGTGTGTGTGTGTGTGTGTGTGTGTGTGTGTGTGTGTGTGTGTGTGGGTGTGGTAGTGTGTCGTGTAGTGTGTGTGGTTAGTGTGTGTGTGTGTGGATGTGGTGTGGTGTGTGTGTGTGTGATGTTGTGTATGTGTGTGTGTGTGTAGGGTGACGGTGGAATGGGATGCTGGTCACAGAGACTGTGCAGACCTGAGGGGAGATGGGAGTCTCTTCGCTGCTGAGTGTGAAGCTTACGGACCCTGGGTCTGTAAGAGAGCGTCCTGAGAGGCTACACACAGATCCACACACATTTTATATTTCTTTATTTACAATGATCTGGCAGAGGACTGATGTTTTTCACCTTTTTTATGCCAAAAACTTAATCATTGTTAAAGAATTTGTGCACACGTGGTCAGTCTTTAAAAGGCCAAAGTAAAGGAACTGTGTGTTGTTTTTGTTTTGTTTTTAGAGCTTCATATTTGTAAATCTACCTGTTCTGTAGATAATTATAATTTTCCTCGGTAATATGTTTATGAGAAAAAATATCAAAAGTCAGAGAAAAGTATATATGCAATATGCAGAGTATAAGAAACATTTATTGTGTGCATTTGTGAAAGTGCATGTCTGTGTGTAGATGCAGGACGTGTTTATACTTTCATGTCTACATGTAAACATAAATTTAGGAATCAGCCGAGCTGATTCTTTTAAAATTCTGTTACATATTTTTGTATGTACCAAAATTTAGTTTTTGGTACATTTTTTTTTTACATTTCATGTTTTTCAGGGTTTTCTTTTTTAGAGTGCTTTGATCAGATCTGGACCCTTTTTCTGCCAGTAATGTAATATCATTAGCACTTTGATATCGTTCAGTTTTTAACTGAAGGTTAACAGATTTTAAATTCAATTTAAGGAACAATAAGAGAAGTCAAGTTCTGAATATTTAGTTTTGAAAGTTGCAGCCTGTGAATTTTCAATCTAACTGGTGACTCTGCTTTAAAAAAAAAAGAATCATATCTTGCCTGTTTTGTGTTTTTGTACTTTTTGGTCAAGACAGTTTTAACTTCATTTCCTTAAGGTCAAATTGAATTCTTTCAAGGGGCGAATAAAAGTTATTAAGGTCCATGTCTCTCAGTTTACAGAGATGTTATCGGGTGGGATGATTCTCATGAGTGTGCGGCCATCCAGCGGGGCGAACAGAGGGTACAGCTTCCCCCTGAAGGTCCCAGTGAAGGTGTAGATGTGGGACTTTGTTTCTGCGTTGTAGAAGGAGATCTGGCCTTCTTCATAGTCTAAGTAGATCCCCATGCGTCGAGGCACAAGGCCGATCGGCAGCGGCACTTCTGGTTTGGCGCAGGCGTAGAACTGGTGTGTGCTGCGCCACAGGGCCCAGTAGCCATGCTTTGGGGTCATGGGGAAGCGCCCCTGCCGTTTGGAGTCGGCGGTGGCCAGTCCCAGGCGCCAGTAGCCATTGTTGGCTATGTCCACCTCCCAGTAGTGGCGGCCGCTGCTGTAGCCCTCCCATCCCAGCACGCATGGCCAGCTGTCGAAGCGCTGGGAGCTGTAGGAAAGGTCGGATGGTGTGAGGCCCTCCTGGACCTTACGCTGGTCTTCTGACAGCAGCAGCCACGGGTGGTTGGTCATGGGGTCAAGAATCACATCAGCTGTTAGGAAAAAAAAAGATAAATTAGCTCATTATACTGTGAATAGGTTGTTTGCTGTTTTTCTAGCAGTCATGTGAGATGAAAGAAGAATAAAGTGTTGGGTGATCTCACCTGCTGCACTGCAAATCCAACTCCAAACTGAGAATAGAGAAACAGACATTATATTAGAGCTGCAGTGGATAAACAGGGTTTGATTTTTATGGTACATGGTCTAAACTAGTGGCAGCATGAATCAAAATGAATGACAGGGTCATGAGATGATAACCAGGTTGGGAAAAATAAATAACTGTGCTACTCAAAAATCTTTCTTTTAAAACTTTTATCTGATCTTTGCCTTTTTATCTTCTGAAATACTCAAAGAAATCAGGAGATTTATCATGCCGGAAGATATTGCTTTCTATTATGGGATCACAAGCAAAAAAAGAAGTGTGAACAACAATAAATCATCCTCTTATAAGCTATAATTGTACCTCTTCTCCTTTGGGCAAATCTGTCATTTTGAAAGCTAAGATTCAGTGGTCAGATGCAGCATAAAAAAACTAAAGATTTTAAAAATGCACACCTGAGTTGGGGATGTATCTTGGAGTTCCTGCTTTCCAGGTCCTCTGCTTTGCCAGTAACCATAACTGTGGAACCATGCTCTAAAAAAAAAAAAAGAAAGATCGAATGAAAACATGTTTGACATGAACAGTATTTCTGTACAGTATATAGTATATATTTTATTTACTTCCCTTATTCATTCTCCCTTTGTCTCTATTTCCTTATGACCATGTGCTTTGCAACCATAACCACGAGTCTTAACAGTAAATCACTGACCCATGTGTGAATGTTCAAGAAAACACTCCTTCCTTTACAGTTAGAGCACAGTTAACCTGCTGGCTGGTTACGGTCAGTTGTAAAACACAACACAATTATCAATGCACCATTTTTGGAGGCCAGTTAACAGGTGATGGTTGCTGCACAAACGGCACAAAGTCTCACTAAACTCAAATGAAATGAAATAAAAACCAAGCACAACTACAGAATATTCCTTCAATCTTACATCAAAAACTTTGCAACATATACTACACCATCATCTGCAAATATGGTGATATGTTATCTGCAGTCTTCACTATCAGTTACTGAGGGCATTGGTTGTTGGTGGTTATCGTGGCAGAGGCAGATCAGTGTCATATAATCTGAATCACTCAGTTCATTTATTAGGCATTTGCACGCATTCAAAGAGCAGGGTTCACTTAAATGACATGTTACGTAAAGTAATTTCATAACCTGGTCATGTCAGGACTGCGTGATATCGAGCAACTGTTCGGTTTCGATTTTCAAGTTTAAAGAGGTCAAAACTCCAGCAACATTTGTAGTAAACAGAAGTACTTTATTTTCAAGTTTAAGCTGCTTCTGTGTTTTACGGCTTTAACGTCTGTTTATCCCACAGTGTCTTTTTCATTTCAGCCTTCTGAGGAACCCAGTTGTTAAACTGTTTTGTCGTCACACCTATTTCTTTTTAGATGCGAAGTAAGACATCTGGAAGAAATGTTGATTTGTGGGACTGGTTGCTCACCATGCTGTCTTCCTTGAGCAGAGACCAAGTGATGAACTCCATCAGAGCCAGCAGGTTGACCAGGCGTTTCTTCTTCAGTCCCAGCAGACGCAACACTTTACCCAGCTCGTCACTCTGCACGCCACAACTCTGCAAACATAAATACTTATTTTAGGTGCAAAAAATGACAACACTGATAACTCTGACAAATTATTTTCTGGCATGAGACTATCATCATTATTTTCCTTCATGTACCCTCTTCGAGTAGGTGTTCATTTCGGCTGACAGTAATGACACTGAATGAAATGTAATGAAAGTAATGAAACACTAAAACCCTTCCACAAGTTTGTTGGACTTTAGTTTTAGTTCTAGGACTCCTCACCTCACCCGCCGTCTGCAGCTCTTTTGCCCACTCCATGATCCTCTGCTGTGCTTCCTCATTGGCATCCTTATCTTCATGGTCTTGACTCTCAGATGCCCACGGTGTTTCCTTCAGGAGCTGAGGGCACAAAATCAGTAGGTTAAGATTGATATTTTTGCTACTTGTTCACACAGAGCACATCCATCACACACAGAGTGGCGTGTGTACTGACCTTGTCGACATGATGGAGTTCGTCAGCCCACTCCAGGATCAGTTTCCTGCTCTCCTCAAGACTGCGCTCAATCCACCGGTCTGAGCTCTGGGCCTCTTTCGTACTGGTGCCTTCCTCTGGATCACTTCCACCCTGTTAAAACACAAGACCACAAAATGTCAGACAAAGTCATACACTCTCTAAAACATAATTGTGTGTTACTATGACGATGAAATGACATAAAGACAAATGACAGCCAGCTCATGTTGACAGAAATGTGAGCTTCAAGGCCAAATCTCAGGAAAATGTGGCACAGGCTGTTTGCGTTTACGCCACCTGATGGTTAAAACAGCTTAAGCTAATTTGCAGGTCAACTCTGCTTTACATGAGACACATGTGGGACATTTTACATTTACAGATGTTAAAAGGTTAAAGTCATATGAAAAGTCATACTGTATATATAATCATATACAGTACATAAGATCTTACAGTAAATGTTGATGCCCAGCCTACATGTTCCAGCCCTGTGTTACAGTGCAGCAGGGCAGAGGGTCATGTAGTCAGGTTGTAAAAGAGTCACTAAATGTGTCTTATCAGCATCCACCCATCCAATTCACCCTGCATGAACAAGCAAAGTAATCGTGTCCCATGGCAACGCTTATCCAATCTGTGCAATCATAAATTATGGTTCATACAAACTCATACGCCTAAAAGAAATGAAGCAGTGTATTTTGGAAAAAAACCAATGAACCATATGAGTGTGGGAAACCCAGCTATGAGTTTGTAACAGGCTGAGCAATAAGCTCTTATCTGATTTTGTTTTACTTGACTTGTCTCCTGAGCTGGAAAACAACCTACAGTAGCCTCTATATTATTGTGAAACATGGATTAAAAATGGGGCAAGCAAACCTTTAGTATCAGTACTTCCTCTTTTAGCTGCCCATGTTCAAATTTCACGTGATAGAGGTGCAGGTGTGCACATGTCTGTACAGGCTTTTTGTTCTTTTCCCTCTGAATTTATATCATAATACTCCTATTAATGAGTAATAAAATTAATAGGTGTCTCACTTCTCCTTCCTTCACTCAGGTCCTACCTTGCAGACTTGGTCCACTTGCTCTTTCCAGAGTTGGATGAACTGCACACACTCCTGCAGGCTGCGCAGATCCTTCAGGCTGTTCTGACGAGGATATTGCTGCAGGAAACACGTAAATTTAAATATTTACTCAGATAGAAATTTAAACTTCATCAAATTCATACAGCCCAGTTTTTTTTTTAGAATTTTTTGGGCTTTTTGTGCCTTTAATGGACAGGACAGTAGAGAGACAGGAAATGGGGAGGCAGAGAGAGGGGGAATGACACACAGGAAAGGGGGCTGCCCTATGTGGGAGTCGAACCGGGGGCCAGCTGCAGCGAGGACTGTAGCCCCTATATATATGGGGCGCCTGCGTAACCCACTGAGCTACGCGATGCCCCCCAGATGTGAAGTTTAACGAACTCATACAGGTTTAAAATCAAGGTAAAACAAAAGAGAAGCTACTGGCAAAAAGTGAATTACAAAAGAGAAATAAATTAAGAATATGTGACGTACCTGTGTGTGTTTGTTTATGTTGGGGTTGGCAGGTCTGCTGGGGGCCGAGCTGTGGGCCTGGAGATTCTCCTCAGGCAATGTCCAGCGTACAGCCCCGATGGAGCTGCTCTGGGTGGTAATGCTGACCTCCAACGCCGGCAGCAAGCTAACCTCTGCAGGAGGGAGAAAACAGCATCTTTAAATTGATTCACACAGCTGATTTCCAACAGATACTTCCAGTAGAAAATGAGGAAATTAATTGGTGTAATAGAGTATCAATGTTTCCAAATAGCAATTAAATCTGATATATATATATATATCATATATATAATAAAAACTCACTTTTTTTAGCTTTCAGGATGCTCTTCACCTCCATGGTGGCGTCCTCACTCCTGTAAAGAAGAGATCACATTTAAAAATGTTTGGTGACCAGTGGTGGAAGAAGAGTTTAGATCCTTTAGTTACTGTAATAATGCAGGATAAAAAGCCCTGCACTGAAAATGTCATTTAAGTAAAAGTGTAAGAAATATATAAAAAAAAAAATGTAATTCATATATCAAAAGTAAAAGAAAGAAAATGGCTCCTGTGAGTTAGTTATGCTATTAATTATGCTATTAATAGATTGTTTTTACTGACATATAAATGTTTAAAGAAACATTTACTTTTGTAGTTGGTCATGGTGGAGTTAATTTGAATTGTTTTATATATGTTTTAATCTGTAGAAATATGTCATATTTTATAAATATTTAAAGATTTACCTTCTCTTTGTTAAGAAAATTGTGTTAACATGAAACAACTGTTGAGGAACATAATATTGCTACAAAGTGAGGTTTAACATTCACATGTGATTCACTTGTAAAGATATAAATAATGCTATACATCAGTTTATAAAATAAGTTGGGTTTTTTTCTAATTTAGAAAAAAGTGTATTTTCTTTAGGTTGGTGTCCACATCCAAAAACAAACAAAAAACAACTATAGTATTGAATATTCACGACATACATACACTTGAACCTACAAAGCAAAATAATAATTCTAAAATTGTGTAAAACGTCTTAAAGTCAAAGGAAATCTTCAGTCATATCACACACAGACCTGTAGCATAGACATACACAGTTTATCATAACCTATGCTGATGTCCCCAGAGTTCATCATGTCTTACCTTTTGTCTGAGAGAGCAGTGGTGCAGCTCTTCTGGCTGAGAAGACTGGACAGCTACTGCAGTTTGTTCAGGGTATTTGTTCGTGCTTGCATCTGCCTGATCTTTGGACTTTTTTATGGCCTCTGAGATGGCGAGGGCAACTTTCTTCGGAGCTCACAGACATGAAAAACCCAGGGCTTCCTGGCAGCAGCTGGCATGTTCACCATCAGGGCAGAAAGGCATGATTCTTTATGGCAGTAATAAGTGTCTGCATATCACTGAGAGTGACGCACATGCTGGGATTCAGCAGTGTTACAGTAACTACAAATACATTTATAAACAGGATTGTTACAGTAAATATCTATAGTGGGAGTTGAGATATAAGGGTTTTAAAAATAGATGGAATTGTAATGAAGTTCAAAAAGAAGCTAAAAGGTTAAAAATAATAATAAAATAAACAAATTCAACAGCAAAAACAACAGGTTTTTGATGTGAACATGAACCAGTAGTATTTACTACATTCAATATTTTGCTGAATCAACCTTTAATGCTAGTAAAATATATTAATCTCTGCCTTGACAGAGATTTCAATCAAAAATGACTCAGCTGAAACTAAATTTAAAACATTTGCACGCCTGCAGTTGCACAATGATTTCCTTGTTAGCAACAGGAAGAAACATCAAAGAAAAACTCATTACATTTTTCTTCCACCCAACATGCATCACTCCGCCCTCCTTAACCTGCCACCATCACTCTAGTACACACAAATACATCACACTGGACCAGGCAGTATTTATTGCCTATGGCGGTCATATAAACAGCAGTAACATGAATGTATGTCTGGATGCACGCGTGGCTGCAGCTCCTGCACAAGGCAAGGTGATTTTCTTATGTAACACCTTTACGCAACAAGGCAATTCAGACCGCTTTACATAGAACATGAAAGAATAAAGGGTGCAAACCTGGTCCCCAATTGTGATGGGACCCTTTGACTGCGTGGTTATCTTCAAAGTCAAAGTGTCAATTCAGTGATCCAGAGTAACCTGTGAACTAGTATAACCGAACCTGGAGTAGAGAACAGCATTTTAATTTATTTGTGTATGTATTTATTTTTTTGTGTTTTGTGTGTGTGTGTTTCAGATATGCATCTATTTGTCTCATTTTTCTTGTTACTCGAATTACGGCTTGATAGCCTTGAAAGCCTATCCTGAGACGTTTGGGGGGAGTTCTAAAAAAATGTTCACTTTTGTGTTACAGATTATATTTTATTTTTCCATTCATTAAGGTTCCTGAAATAAAAAATAATAATATAAATATGTCAATGTTGTGTGTTTATTCGCTCATTACATTCCATTTTCCAATCATCTGTCTCCATTAATTAACACAATTCTGTGTCTACGCCTGCTATGGCCATCCATGCGTAACAGGGCTGCACTCAAATCGCTAGATTTACGTAGCTAACTAAATTCCTCATCACTGAATCGGCACGGTTTTTGAAATGACTCTAAAATGTCAAAAAAACATCAAAGTATATTAAGACATAGAAGGTCATAAAAAAATTATAGTATGGTATGGAATAAAACGACATAGTATAGTAAGGCATAAAACGTCAAAAAAACATCATAGTATATTAAGGCATAAAAGGTCATAAAAATGTCACAGCATGGTAAGGAATTAAACGTCATAGTATATTATGGCATGAAAATGTCAAAAAACGTCATAGTATAGTAAGGAATAAAACGAAATAGTAAAGTAAGGCATAAAATTGGCAAAAAACGACATAGTATAGTAAGGCATAAAACGTCAAAAAAACATCATAGTATATTAAGGCATAAAAGGTCATAAAAACGTCACAGTATGGTAAGGAATTAAACGACATAGTAAAATAATGCATAGAAATACCAAAAAACCTCAAAGTATAATATGGCATAAAAAGGTGAAAAAACGTCATAGTATAGTATGGCATAAAATGTCAAAAAAACATCATAGTATATTAAAGCATAAAAGGTCATAAAAATGTCATTGTATGGTAAGGAATTAAACGACATAGTAAAATAAGGCATAAAAATGCCAAAAAAACATCATAGTATATTAAAGCATAAAAGGTCATAAAAATGTCATTGTATGGTAAGGAATTAAACGACATAGTAAAATAAGGCATAAAAATGCCAAAAAAACATCATAGTATATTAAAGCATAAAAGGTCATAAAAATGTCATAGTATGGTAAGGAATTAAACGACATAGTAAAATAAGGCATAAAAATGCCAAAAAAAGACATAGTAAAGTAAGGTATAAAAATGTCAAAAAGCGTCATAGTATAGTATGGCATAAAATGTCAAAAAAACATCATAGTATATCAAAGCATAAAAGGTCATAAAAATGTCATAGTATGGTAAGGCATTAAACGACATAGTAAAGTAATGCATAAAATTGCCAAAAAACGTCATAGTATAGTATGGCATAAAATGTCAAAAAAAACATCATAGTATATTAAAGCATAAAAGGTCATAAAAATGTCATAGTATGGTAAGGCATTAAACGACATAGTAAAGTAATGCATAAAATTGCCAAAAAACGTCATAGTATAGTATGGCATAAAATGTAAAAAAAAAATCATAGTATATTAAAGCATAAAATGTCATAAAAATGTCATCGTATGGTAAGGAATTAAACGACATAGTATAGTCAGGCATACAAATACCAATAAACGTCATAGTATAGTTTGGCATAAAAAGGTGAAAAAACGTCATAGTATAGTATGGCATAAAATGTCAAAAAAACATCATAGTATATTAAAGCATAAAAGGTCATAAAAATGTCATTGTATGGTAAGGAATTAAACGAAATAGTATAGTAAGGCATAAAATTGCCAAAAAACGTCATAGTATAGTATGGCATAAAATGTCAAAAAGACATCATAGTATATTAAAGCATAAAAGGTCATAAAAACGTCATAGTATGGTAAGGAATTAAACAACATAGTAAAGTAAGACATAAAATGTCAAAAACCATCATAGTATATTAGACCTTAAAAATGTTAGAAAAACATCATGTCAAAAAACGTCATAGTATAGTATGGCATAAAATGTCAAAAAAACATCATAGTATATTAAAGCATAAAAGGTCATAAAAATGTCATTGTATGGTAAGGAATAAAACGACAGAGTATAGTAAGGCATAAAAATACCAAAAGACCTCATAGTATAATATGGCATAAAAAAGTGAAAAAACGTCATAGTATAGTATGGCATAAAATGTCAAAAAAACATCATAGTATATTAAGGCATAAAAGGTCATAAAAACGTCATAGTATGGTAAGGAATTAAATGGCATAGTAAAGTAAGGCATAAAATTGGCAAAAAAACTTATAGTATAGTATGGCATAAAACGTCAAAGAAATCATAGTATAGTATGGCCTTAAAAGGGTATAAAAACATCATAATATGATAAGGCATCAAATGACATAGTATAGTAAGGCATAAAAACGTCAAAAAACGTCATAGTATAGTATGGCATACAAAGGTCATATTAAAGTAAGTTATCAAAACATCATAGTATTGTAAGGCGTAAAAAGTCATAGATTAGATTAGTATGATTAATCTTTATTGCTATTTTTCAGAGTACAGGTACAAAGCCAATGAAATTTAATTAGAATCAAACCAGAAGTTAAAAAATAATATAATTTACAGATACTTGCAGGTTAAAAGTAAGTTCTACAGCATAAGTCATGCTATATCTTACAATATGTACATTGATGGATAGTAGAGTTACAGGATACAAAAATTATGAATGTAAATATTTTAAATACGTATGTAGAGAAGTGGACAGAGTTAGAGAATAGCAAGTGTTGATGTAAGGGTACAGTATGAACAGAATATATACATTTATGTATTTATTCAGAGTATAAATGGCATTACAGTTAGTTTTATGTACAGTAACATTATTTGACCATTGTTTGAACAGTGTAGGTGGTTCAGTCCGTGAAAATCTGGAAAATATGAATAGTCAAAATAACATTAACATAAAAGTACTGTAACCAGTGCAGTAATGAGTGAAAAGATGCTATTGGAGTAGTGGTGTGGACTTCAGCAGGGTCACTGCCTCAGCGAAGAAGGTCTTGGAACCTGCTGGTGCAGGAGTGGAGGCTCCTGTAAAGCCTCCCAGGTGGGAGGTTGGTGGGAGGTTGGTGAAAAATATATGGTTAGAGTGGGACGCATTCCTGGTAATGTTTCTCGCTCTGCCCAGGCATCTGGTAAATATTCTGGTAAAAAAAGTAAAAAAGTAAAGCTGGAGTGCTTTATGGTCTGCTGCGGAGGAGTTGCCATACCACACTGAGATGCAGGTCAGGACTATGCTCTCAATGGTACAGGGATAGAAGTCCACCAGTATGCTGGGACACAGTTGAGCTTTCCTAAGGCTCCATAGGAATAAAGGCAATGTTGCACCTTTTTGAGCAAGATGGAGGAGTTAAGAGAACAGGTGAGATCATCGGAGAGGTGGATGCCAAGGAACTTGAAACTTGCCTAAATGTCAGTATGTCATAAGGCAAAAAAAGTCATAGTATAGAAAGGCATAAAAATGTCAAAAAACGTCATAGTATAATAAGATATACTGTATAACGTCAAGAAATGTCATGGTATATTAAGGCATAAAATTGCCATAAAAACGTCATAGTATAATAGGCTTTAAAAGGTTATTAAAACGTCACAATATGATAAGGCATCAAATGACATAGTATAGTAAGGCATAAAAATACAAAAAAATGTCATGGTATAATATGGCATAAAACTGTCGAAAAACGCCATAGTATAATAAGATATACTGTATAACGTCAAGAAATGTCATGGTATATTAAGGCATAAAAGGTCATAAAAATGTCATAGTATAGTAAGGCATAAAAATGGCAAGACGTCTCTCTGAGTGTTTACCTGAAACCTGCTATATTTTATTTGATCACTCAGAGGTCACTGACTTGTTGTTAGTAGACCTCCATAGAGAAGCCTGAAAGAGGAATATATCTTCTTATGGATCAACACTTTAAATAAAACTC